AACTGTTCAAGCTTATAATAAGTGTAGTATTTAGTTTAGTTTAATTCAGTTTAATTTAAAACTCAGAATTATTCAAGCAAGAGGAGTAGTTTAGTTTAGTTTAATTTAGTTTAGTTTAGTTTAGTTTAGTTTAATTTAGTTTAATTTAGTGTAGTTTAGTTTAGTTTAGTTTAATTTAGTGTAGTTTAGTTTAGTTTAGTTTAGTTTAGTTTAATTTAGTGTAGTTTAGTTTAGTTTAGTTTAGTTTAATTTAGTGTAGTTTAGTTTAGTTTAGTTTAGTTTAGTTTAATTTAGTGTAGTTTAGTTTAGTTTAGTTTAGTTTAGTTTAGTTTAGTTTAGTTTAATTTAGTGTAGTTTAGTTTAGTTTAGTTTAGTTTAATTTAGTGTAGTTTAGTTTAGTTTAGGAGCAAACATTTCTTCAAGCTTATGATGAGAGGTAAATGATTTGGTTTGTTTTCAGTTAGTTTAGTTTAGTTTAATAGCACACAATAAGTCAGTTATTTAACTTACAGGGACATAGTAAATGGTCAGGGGGCAACTGATTTGAGTTGGTTTTGGTTAAATACCACACATTTATAAATATACATATTTACACTTTCTCACCAAAGGAGTGATTATTTTGGAATATGAAACTCTCTTAAACAGACATATAGAAAACTATGCATGAAACAAAATGAAAAAGAAAAGCAGTAGAATGCAGTGAGGTTGCTTCATCCCCCACTACATCTCGAAGAGATGGGGTTGGGGGTAATGGGAGCAAGCAATGGGAGAGCTCATTATCTGGCAGACCATCTGCTATTGGGAGGGAGGAACTGTCTGTCTGTCCCAGACACAGACACTCTGAATAGGCCTGGAGTTAGAGTGAAAATGTTCCTCTAACTTACCTAAATTAGCTGTACATCTGGTGTGTTTACTGACACCAATAACGTGAGAAAATGCCAGGAGCAGGGATTTTGTGAATTGTATGTAAAGAATAAAGCAACCTATCAGGTCTTACTGCAGTCATCCTAATATTCCTATGTTGTCTTATTTCTGTGAGTTTATGTGAATCGTTGTTTTTTTTTTGTATTATTGTGGTTTCTTTCTTTGCAACTCTAGTTTTTATGTGATGTTTGTGCATACTTTAAAGGATGTTCCTGGTCTTGTTCTTCTAAAAATAATGCAAAAATGAAATAGTTGTATTCAGCGGTATAGACAGAGCCGGGTCAGTCAGATGGCTGCTGGGGGAGCTTAGTGTGAGAAGTTGCCGGGCGCAGCAGATGCTCTTTGTTGCTGTTCAGTCTATTGTTGTTGAAAGCTGAGACTGGGGAGACTGGGATTGGGTCCAGCTCCCGGCAGCAGGAGGACATAACCCCTTCCTATTGGCTGCCCGGTGTGTCAGTCATCTTCTCGTCCCGCCCACCAGCCCTCCTCCTTCTCCGGGCCGGGGAAGTTGAAGTAAAGTTTGAGCAACTTTGTCCGGCAGAAGTAAAGTTGCCAGCAGCACTTGGCGGTCGCTGCGGGACAGAAGAGGAAGAGACAGACAAGGAGGACCGCAAATATGAAGCTGTGTCGCACTTTTTTAGGTTCGTATCTCTGATTTATTCTGACTTTACTTGTTTAAAGAAAGAAGTTTCTGCTTCGGCATCTACCCCTCTAGAGTGTGTCTGTGCGCGTTTGTCTTATCCTGCCAATACTTTATTTGCAATAATTACGCATGATATAGATGAATATTGCATTGATAAATCTTCAAACGTGCTGTTCACAGCAGTCGGAACTGTGTTAATACTCAGAATAAAAGCCATTTAAAGACACTCTGCAGGATTAAAGAGGTTTCTAGATCTGTCGGATCGCTCTAAAACTCAGACTCAGACGCTAAATAAACTTGTGAACTTCTCCCCAGCTACTAAACTTCGACCTCCGTGGTAAAATAAAAAAAGAAAGAAAAAAATGGCCAGACAAAGGACAGTTGGTTCCCTAGGGGACCGTGTGGCCCCGGTACCGTGGGGACAATGCCAAGCTGCGGGCTTATTAAAAACTTTTTTTTTGTTGTGTTAGTCTGTCGGCTTGTTCCATCTGTCGAGGGACTATAGGGGCCTCCCCCGGTCCCAACCTCAGCGCTCAGTCAGCTGCTGCCCCATGTAATATTTATACACGGCCCCGGCTCCCGCACAATGCAGCCACCACACAAGTGCTATAGTGAGGAAGAGTGAGGAAGAGCGTTAAAGTGCTGCAGGCCTCTGCCATCTGCATCTGCACACACACTTTGTGAGAAAAAAGTTTTTCCCAGCTGATGCACCGGCTGTTGGGTCACCACTGACTCATCCTTCAAGATGTAATGTGTTCACATAGTTTTGTTAGGTTCACTTTTGTTTACTACTAATAAACATATTATTATGAACTTTAGATCATTTTAGGTTAGTTTACTTAGCCTTATTGTCTTTATTAGTTATTTAAACTTATAATGAAGGGTTAAGGGAGCAGAATTCAGTTTAGTTAACACTGGCTCATCTTTTAAGTTTGTTTCACTTTATTTTAGTTTTATTTATTAGTTGCTGTTTTTTTTCATTACATCTATTCGTTTCTTTCGGTTTATTTTATTTTGACGTAGCTTTACCTTTTATTTTGAAGGATAAGATCCTTCAAAAAAAAAAGAAAGTTTAAATAACTTTAAATAATAAAGTATTGATATAGTTAAATCTTTAACTATATCAATACTTTTTTTATTTTGTTTTGACAATTCAGGCTAATTAACGTTACTTGTGTTTTGTTTATTTCAGTTTAAATTAGTAACAAAGGATGATTCAAGCTTATAATGAGGATAAAGTGAGTTTACTTTCAGTTATAAGTTTTAGCCTTCAAAATAAAAGGTAAACCAACGAAACAATTTGAAATAATAAGTATTTAGATAGTTTTTTATTTTAGTTTTGACAAGTCAGGCTAATTAACGTGACTTTTGTTCTGTTTACCGTGTTTAATTTCAAGCTGACAATCAGGATAAAGTGACTCAGCTTTCAATTGCAAGGCTTTTCCTTCACAATAAAATGTAGCAAAAAGTTAAAACTACTTGAAATAGAGTATTGAGACTTCTGATAAGTGGTGAGTATAATTACATACATGAAATAAAATGACTTTCAAAAACAGTCGTGTATGCTGCCATTAAAGTTAGCCTGCAGCTACACCTAATGAGCCACATATTTAGTGAGAACAGCACGCACAAAAAAGCCTTTGTTAGCTCAACCTTAGCTTATGTAAGGTATTGTGCAGGCCTGGGAGCCTCAGCGGGCGTCACCGGAGCTGTCCACGGTTCTGAACACACACACACACACACACACACACACACACACACACACACACACACACACACACACACACACACACACACACACACACAAACACAGGTTCAGCACTTTGGAGCTGTCCATAGTCCTGAAATCTCATCACAACACAAATAAGAGCAATCTGAGTGTATATTAGTGTATATTAGGGTTTTGTGACTTCTATCTCTCTCTATAATCTCAGGCATATGTTTGAGTCAGGCCTCGGAGCCCGGCTGCGAGCCTCACACCCGCACCTTGCCTCTAGACCCAAACTTTCCTCTCGGTCCCCTCTTGCTGGACCAGGACCCGGGATGTTTTTTTTTTCACATTTTCTCTCTTTTGTTTATTGGACTGTCGATGCTGCTGCTGCTGCCGTTGTTGTTGTTGTGTGTGTATCCTCTCTCTCTCCGCACCCACAGTCTGAAATCATACTGATGCGACGTGCACGGCCGGTGATTGATTTCAGCTCCAATGCATAACAATGGGATTGCACAAAAAGAGCCTGCTGCAAAGAGATAAGAATTTAATAGAATTTCTGAAAGCTGAAGGTTGGGCTTTTTGAATATTCCCTGCGTACGCGGCGTGGTGACAGCAGATAAAGGATGGCATTTGTGGGGACTATTCTCAAATGGCTTGTAATGAATGGTTGTCATTTCCACTAATGGTTTCAAAACAGCAAAGCAGAAGCACGGTGTGAGCAACATTTGGGAGTGACTCCAAGTTGCACTATTAAGACTAGCTGTTTGTTGTTTATGGCCGCGCTGACAGTTGGCATTATCCTCTCAATGAGCCTATCAACAAATCTGTAACTGACAGTGATCACTCTGCTTATTAAAACTCCTGCGCCATCTCAACCTGAGACTTTTCACAGCGAATTCCTTGCGGCGCATTATTTTCCAGTGATAATTCAAATTGATATCGCCCTTTGCGTCCCGTCGCCTCCCCTGAGCATAAATATATTTTACTAAAGCTCCCTCTCTGCCTATATGTCGTTAAAAGCCCCCTCTCCATACGCAGGAATTATCAGATGCTGTCAGCGCATATTCTTACTCTGCATACAACTACTACATCATTTCCCAGTCCTGAAAAAAAAGTCCCCTGAATGAATTATTGGACGGTACCACTTTGCAGGATGTGTAGGGGGGGAGTTCGGTGGGTGAAGGATTAAAGCTATAACCTCCATCTGCGGAACATGAAGAACTTGTCAGCGAGTGGAATGTATAAAACATGAGATGGTGTGTGTCCAGAGATACTTCCTCACTGTGCGGACTGTTTATGGTGTTGTTTGGAAAGTGAAGCATCATGGGGAAGTTCTTTCTGGCGATGCTGAAATCTAGTTTGAAGTTGTCAGTTTTATTGGCTCACATGATGTATGTGTGTGTGTGTGTGTGTGTGTGTGTGTGTGTGTGTGTGTGTGTGTGTGTGTGTGTGTGAGAGAGAGAGAGAGAGAGAGAGAGAGAGAAAGAAAGAGAGAGAGAGACAGGGAGAAAGTGAGAGAGGGAGAGGGAGTGTGTGCATACATATACCCATTGAGTTAGTGTGTAGTAAGGGGGGACCTCAAGCCCTGCCCATCTGATGCTGGAGGTTTTACTACAGCTTCCGTGATGTCATGGCAAAGGGCGGAGGGAGGAGACGGGGGGTGTGGAGAGGGGATGGAGGGAGGGAGGGGGGGGTACAATGGCTCATGAGGGAAAGGTAAGTCAATATTACGTTTTTTTTCTCGCTGACAAAGGCAAATGAAGCCATGTTTTTGCTTACAAACAAGTAACATCTTAACGCTTCGATCCGGAGCCGTGCGCCGGTGCGCTGTGTAGGAGAGGGCCGCCCGGAGGACCTCCGCTCGCTCTTATTACCACTCACATCTGGACGTTTATAACGGGATAGTGTTTTTTAAAAAGAAAAAGCTTTTACTCGGGATATCTTTTTAGCAAAACTACTTGACAGCGAACCTGCAACTCTCCAAACACAGCGAGGACGCAGCGCCAGAGCCCAGCGGAGATATTGTTGAATCCAGGTAATGAGACATTAACGGCGGTTATGTTTGGATGATCAGATACATATACAATTATTATCATAAAACTTCAAATCTGATCTTTGTTTTTGTTGTTTTTTTGCACAACTTTGATCTTCCTCTCGTCGCTGTAGTGTTTGAGAGCTTGTCCTCAGCGTGCTCCTGAGCAGATTAATGTTGTTTTCACATTTTCATATTTTCCTCGAATATGGTTTCGAACTTACTCACAGCTACGGTCTCTCAACAGTTTGACCCGATTTTTCTTTCTTCAAAGTGTACTTACTCGATTTATTTACGTTTTCAAACCGCACCACTGTGTTAGAAACAGAGATGATGCTGCTTTAGCCCTCATATTTACACTGATGCCTCATAATAAATAAACCAACTATGGCGCTTTCTCAGAGCCTCGCTGATGCGCGTTTACCCACATCTCTGCCGCTCTGCCTCTGTTGGACAGTTCATCAGTGTGTCGGACACACTCAGGTCTAAAAAAGGACTCTATTATATTCCTCTGAATGCTCTCTTAGCGAACTGAGACACACCTGGAGTGCATTCTCCACTCTGTCCTCTAGCTTCACCTTCTGTATGTCCAGGAATAAATCAGCCCCTGCGCTGTACTGTACTCGCCTGTCCTCTGTTTGTGCGCTGTGACAGAAAAGTGCCATATCTATCTAGAGTTCAGACCAAATTGTGTTATTACGATGCTACAGTGTGTGTGTGTGTGTGTGTGTGTGTGTGTGTGTGTGTGTGTGCGTGTGGATGCACGGACATATGGATGGATGGAAGGATGGAGTGAGTGTGTGTTGTGTGAGGGAGAGGGAGGGAGAGAGGGAGGGGTTGGCCATTTGATCCTCTGCAGCAAAAAAAACAGAGATGCTCTCTTCAAATGTCAGCCGCCTTTAGTGGTGCGCAGATAAAAAAAAAGTCCTCAGAAGCGCGCTGGAAATAAACACCGGGGCGTCGGAGGAGGGAGGGACATTTGGTCGGATTTTCAGAGTGCTCCTTGTCGGATTCAGCCCCGAAGACTGTGCTGCGGCGCAGGATGTGAGCCTGTGCGTTGTGTGTGCTTTTTTTCTTTACTACACCCCCCAACCCCCTCCCTCTTCTTGCTTTGCTTAGATGGCCACGTAATGTGCTGTGTGTGTGTGTGTGTGTGTGTGTGTGTGTGTGTGTGTGCGCGCCTCACGGTCTGTCAAAGCACCTGCGTCCTAAGATGGAGGAAAAGAGATGAGGGATGATGATACACAGAGTGTTATGTCACCCGCTCTTTAAGTTGCAGCCTATAAGACAGCTCGGTGTGGCTCCATCACTGAGTGGAAACTTCAGCGTTAGTTCAGATGTCAGAGGGCTGGAAACAGGGAGAATGAACTCACTTTATTTCCTTTATAGTCCTTTAGAAACAGCATCAGATTGGCTTTTTATCGAAGAAGTCTTTTAATTGTTAAATAAATGCTTTTAAAATCTAGAACAAACCTCTGTTAGGCTGTTTGCAACTGTCTGCTTATATTCATGAAAATTTACAGAAGGAGAAGATTGAACGCACTATAGGCAGAAATGACACCTATTGTTTTTCTTCTGTTTACTTTTCCTGTGAAATGTAGCCTAGTTTCAGGGGATTACAGAATTAGGTTATTGGTGCCTTATGCTGTCAGTGGAGGCTGCAGCAGCAGAGTACGGGATCTGTGCGTGGCACAGGCCCCCGATATGAAGTTGCTTCTGTTTTTGTAGTCACTGTGATTGGAGGAAACCTCTCTATTTGTGAAGGCTTGAATAGCCCGTGGTGAGGACAGCAGGTGCCGGAGGAGGGAGTGCAATAAACACGTCGGAGGAGCAGCTGGGGCCAAATTGCGCCCTCGTCATTCAAAGCCTATCTGAAATCTAAGCAATACAAGCAAAGGTCAGGGTCGGCCTGGCTTTCAATGGAGAGCAGGCATTTAAAACGAAAGCCTAGAAATAATGAATTTCATGCCCTGCGTTAAAAGGGAATAAATAAGTAAGAAAAGGAAATGAATTAAAAAGTAAGCCAAGTGCGGACATTCTCAGATGCGCAGAGAGAATGCAGAAATGTTTAAAACATCACAAACTGCTGCTGTAGGCGCACAGATCCCTACAGTTCTGAGCAGCAGTTTGTGTTGTTCCTCAGATGCTGAGGTCAGGGTGGCCCTCAAGGGAGCTCCTCCAAAAGCTGGTTACCATGGCGCCCTCTCTTCCACACCCCCGCCCCTAAACGCCCATCCTGTAACCGATAAGACCACACAAGCACCTCACAGACACTCCGAGCTGTCGCTGACAAAACGCTCCTGTAGCTCACTGTGTTTCATTCTGCCTTTGGGCTGAGCGTTTCCACAGCTTGTATTTTTCTGGTCCTATCTATACATCACAAATCCAATTGTCACATCTGCCTGATAATCTAGTCACTCTGGGTTTTTTTTGTCCTGTGACACAAAGAAAGCATAATAGCGCGTAATATGAGACCGTCCAGCTCCTGTAACTTTTGATTTCTCTGTCTCTTCTGCCTGGCTCACTCTAATCACACTAAGTTGTCTCTAAATCCTGCTTAACAGGACCAGGGGTGTACAGCTGGCCCTAGCCCTGTATGTACACTAATACTGTTACAGACAGTTCACCCTGGTATTTAATCTAACTATGGATTTAGGCCTCTTTGCTCCATTGTCCCAGTGCAGTAAGCCGCCTGCCTATAATGGTATTACTCCAGCCTAAACTTTGTCTGCGGCTAAAAAAGGTTTTTTTTGTATCAATTTATAGACTGAATGTTTTTTTTGTTGTTGCAGAAAACAGGAAAGATGTTCTCAACTTTGCCTCTCAGATATGCCAGTTTGGATAAAATCACAGGCAGTAAAATACCCCTTTTGAATCCATTCATTTTGTTTTCATCCGTCTCCCCCCTGGCCCCCCCTTCTCCTCTGATTAACCAAACCTCCCCGGTGAATGGCTAATTGTGTCTTACTCCTCCAATTTTCACTGCAAAATAACGAGCTGCGAGTCTTTTTAGGTGCGAACGAGCAGCATCTGATCAAAGAATGAAGAGAGCGTGCATCATGAGCACACAAGGCTCAAATTAGTTTTGTGTTTTTTTCATCTGCAAGGGAACCAGATGTTCAGGTTTTTACGTGAAACAACAGAATGTGGCGCAGACGGGGTCAATTCAGCCATCTTTCCTCTGATTAATTACCTGTGATTCTATAAAGCTCAGCGATCAGATATTTCGCGCAGTTTCTGAAGGCTCTGTGTGCAGCAGGAATCAGTGGCTCAGGACTGAACAAAGTGAGCAGGGACGCTGACACATGGCCCGAGGCGACGTGTCCTAATAGAGCGCTGTTATATATTTGGCATTTAGGAAGGGCTCTCAGCTCCTGGCCAACCCACCCCCACCACCACCCAACAAACCAACAATACAGGAGAATGCTCACTTCACTTCACTCTAATAGAAGGGGGAGAAAAGAAAGTCAGTTTGCGAGCGTGTGGAGATAGCTGAGACAGAGACAGAGATGCAGACGAACAGTATTGCTGTTGTAATCACTTTTTCGCTGAGCGTGTATGTGTGTGGGGGGGCAGTGAAAGTTGATAAACAAGCATTTTGCAGAGTGCTGGCTGGGCTTTGGCGAGGTTTGCATGTAATGGGGCAAAGTAGGGATGGGCGTGGGGGGGGAGTTTGATGGAGGGAGAGGAGGAGGAGGGAGGAGGAGGAGGGGGGGAAGGAGGGGGACGGAGGGCAGGGCTGGTCTGCTTTTGGGACCCCTCAGATACAGCCTTTTGTTGTCTCACTGACTGTTTGTCTTCAGCACGCACCGTGGTTTCACATGCAGGACAGTGAGCGTGGAGAAAATAACTCTCCCTGAAAGCAACCAGGAGGGAGATGAAAAGCTAAAGATAATAGATAGGAGGAAATGAGATAGACAGATGCATCTTGCACTCTACAAAGGCCAGGGATTTATATTCAAGTGTAAAGAGGTTGATGTTTTGTTGCATCTCAAGACCGCTGCAGGTTATTTGAAAGAGCTTCATTTAAATTTGGAACATTTATTCAATTTTCGATGTCAAAATTCAGGCATTTTGCCTTGAATTCCCACTGTATAAATCCTGATTTGTGCATGATTACCCTTCCACAATATTGCTGCTTCAATTTACATTTTCAATTGGGCATGCTGACCCAAACCTTGGTCTGTGTTAGTGTTATTTTCTCCAAGATGTTCTTGAGAAGAGACAAGGCAGGTAGCCCATACAGAAGAAGAGTCACTGCAAACTCAAGGGCACTTCCTCTTTCACAGCGTTCTGCTGTCTGCTGCAAAGACGCGCACAATCCACATAAAGGTGAAAGCTAAAGGGTATGGATGTGTATATGTATCTGAAAAAGAATCAGATTTCACCGTACCAGCTCAACGGTGCATGAAAAGAGGGAGGGAGGGAGCCACAGAGCCACGGAGCCACATCCGCTTGTATTGGAGTCCCGCAGCTGAAGTGTTTTAAAGCTACACTAGTTGAGAAGTTCAGCCTTGGGCATTGACAGAAAAAAAAATACTCTGCACTCTCCCTGAACTTGAAACTGAGGAGAATAAAAAAAATACAACCGCCGCGATTATCAGGACAACTCTCTGTTTTGTGTTAAACACCTCCAACATCAGCAGCTTCTCCGAGAGTAGGGAGAATGGAAAAGGGATTTGTAATACATTTAGTTTCTCCTGGCCAATCAGGAAGATGAAGTGAAGAGCTATTACCTTGATGAAAATAAAGGGGAGAGAGGGGTAGCAAAAAAAGAGGCATGATTTATGTATGATTCATTATTTACTGACCATTCTTCACCCCCTCTCCTCTCACATTTGCCCATCCCCCGTTCGCTTATATATGCACCCTGAAACGCTCGATAAAAATGCGCAAATTTGATTGATTCTAATAGCAGACTGACAGGGACCCCAGCTGGGGCACTTAACCATGCCGTGTGTGTGTGTGTGTGTGTGTGTGTGTGTGTGTGTGTGAAGCATACACAGTGTTCACTTAGTTAATAAAGGAGTGTCTGCAGGATGCTCGAGTGGCCCGACCCCACAGTAGCACCCCCACCCTCCCCTCTCATCCTTTATCCAAACTCCATCCATCGGTGCTGATGCTGTTGATTTCATATCTCTCTCTTTTTTCCCTTCTCTTTATTTTCCCCTAAAATCTAACACCTTCCCCACTCCCCCCTTGCTCCGTTCCCTCCTTGCGTCCTCCCTCTTTTTCTGCTGCTAGAAAATGAGTTTCGGGGCGAGCTGGTGAACCAGCGGTGGACACGAGGCGAGAGGACCAGCAGCCGCTGTCAGGCCTCCCAGAGACTGCAGAGCCGTCGACCAATCATGGTGAGTGACAAGGCCTTGCGGCCCCTCCCCCCCTCACCATTCCTGTTTATACACACACACACACACTTCCAACCTGATTCTGCTTCCTGGGCATTTCCCCAATCCCTAACTCAGCGGGGAAAGTAAAAAAGGGTGGAGGCAGAGGAGGTAGGGGAGGATGGAGGAACAGGGGGGGATGCTGGACAGAAAAACATGAATCAAACAGCACATCAAATCTCCCGCTTGGCCCTGCCCATCCTCTGCCTCGGTTCAGTTTAGTTAAGCTCAGCATGGCACAGCTCAGCATTTTCCCGCTGCTGAGTTCACTTCACTTCACAGGAAATTTTTTTTCTATTGAAACACAATGAAAAAAGAAACTCAAAAGGATGTCCTTGAGCTGCTCATACTTTTTTGTCCATGATATTCCTCCTTATCAGCAGAGTAGAAAATGCTCTCTCTCTCTCTCTCTCTCTCTCTCTCTCTCTCTCTCTCTCTCTCTCTCTCTCTGTGTGTCCTGCCAATGCTTTTAACCCTGTCATCCTAAACCTGCCTCCCTTCTTTCTCGTTCTTCACTCTAAAAACTTAGGACCCAAATTGCCTCCATTTCAGGGTTATTTCTCCATTCTGGAAACATCTGGTGCCCTCCCACCCACCCCCGCCCGTGCATCACAACTGAGAGTGTGACACTCAACAAAGAGATGGAGGGATTGAGGGGAGATTGAAAGAGAGAGGAGAGGAGGGGAGGTGGGGGTTGTTTTCCCCTGGGCCCAGTAAAAGTAGTTTTGCCTCCCCCTGATGGCTCGGGTTCATCTGAAGAGATGACTTTTATTGATTTGGTTTGATTTCTGCTGCTGAGAGAGCTGAGGAGAGGGAGGCTACATGGTCTGTTTGGCCTGGCGCTTATGATACCTGTCACACAAGCTTCTTATTAACTGTTCAGAATCGCAGCGGACTGAGGACAATGAAACGGACTGAGGATTAGAGGCGAGAAGATGTTTAGTTATGAACACTGAAATCACATCAGGATGACTCACATTGTAAATGGCAAACCTCTGACAGCACACACACTCAGATCTGACCCATTACGCAGGCACACATGCTCATGCTCTTTTTTGCATACAAAGTGAGAAACATGCCCCTCCTCCCTCCTCACTGCTCCTCCCTGCCTTGTGTGAATTATTAAAGTGAAACTGTGAAAGGGGGCTCCAACATGGAGGCTGCGTGGCGTGGTCCGCCTGTCGAGTGAACTGTGGCGATTGCGCCTCTAATTGGTGGCTTGCTGTCTGCAGGTAATTTTTTGAGATGTCAGTCTCCATCGGCCGTCGTGAATCCTCTCTCCGCGTCTCCGCCCCACCTTAACCCCCTCCTTTCCTCATCTACTCTTGTAAACCTGAAAATGAATAAAAGAGCCATTTATGTGCACCAGGGGACGAAGGGTGACCTTCTATCTGAAGTCATTGCCCCCAGCCAGCCATTTACATAGAGCTGTCAGAATGCAGAGCAGAGCTGCGGCCCTCCTGCACACAAAGAAGGACATAATTGATAATGTACAACACAGCCTGTAGGGATGAGCCGGGTCTTCCTCCTCCTCTTCCTCCTTCTCCTCTTTTTTCTTCTCACTCTGCTGCTGCTCCACACCACATTTCACACTAGTTAAACCCCAAGACACACACACACACACACACACACACACACACACACACACAACACACACACACACACACACACACACACACACACACATATAAACACATAAACACACAAGCACATGCTGCTGTGCACAGGTAAGGGTTCCTGCACAGGCAGACACACTACCTCCGTCTCTCATTTTCTGCTCTCTCTTTCTTTCTCTCCCTCTCTCTGTTCTGCATAAGTCGTTGCTGGTACTGTGTAGGCCCACCTACATACAGCTTTCAAGGAGTCTAATTAAAAGACAACAAGGTAAAGGACAAGTTCTGAACATACATTAGAAAGGGCCCTTTGAAAGAGATTATGAAAATCAGGTGAATGCCTGCCTGGCTGCATCTGGATTTGCTCGCTGTGACTTTGTGTTCATACAAATTTAATGAGCTGGAATTGAGAAAAAGGACAGGAAAAAGAGGAGAACTCAGATGTGCTTACCTATTTAAATGTGCGTAACTATGGTTACGCAAACATGAAAGCAATAGGGTCCCTTTTCAGTCCAGGTTTTGATTCATCCGATGACTGTCAATGTATAAGGAGGAAGCAAAGGAAAGAGGATGAAAAAGTACAGGAGGAACAGAGTAGTATACAATCTTTTTATGAAGGAGGAACGTGCCCTTTAGTCTCATTCACACACACACACACACACACACTTCTCTCTCTCACACACATATTCATAAACATACTCTCTCCTTAGTTACATTCAGTCTTGCAAACTGGCTCACCAGCATGATTTCAATAGTTACAATTCCACCTATGTTATATATGTTATATGCATTTGATTCATCAACATGTAGCCTTTGCTAGCTCTCTAAATCAGCATCCAGCACTGTGGCTTCTGTTTTGCTATTTTACCATCTACCCATTACTTTTAGCTAACTGTTTCAACTTCACTGGCAGTTTTCACACATTCTCAGCACGTGGTGATGTTACAGCTGACTCAATATTCAAATAGTAATTTCTGCTGCAGGAATACCCCCTGGGGTACTTGAGTACTTGTTATGCAACTCATTTAGAGTGTTGTGTTATTATATATTATATTATTATCATTATAGTTTGATTATTATTACACAATATTGCCATAACGTCTGAGCAGCATTTTAATGGGGATGATTTGAACTACTACCACTATATGTTTGTCAGCGTGATCATATGTTTTCAACCCATTAATGTCCACAGTGCAACTTTATCATTTTCTTTGCAGTGCTTCAAGTGCTAACTGAGCTAAGCACAGATCCACTGATTCATTTCAAATGGGTCAAATGTAAGTTTTTCTTGACATACTTTGTTAGTTGTTAGTAAGGTTTTGGAGGGGATTCCAGGAAAACTCCTTTAGAACAAGAGGTAATGAGTTTCAGATCTTCATAATATTTGATACACTCATATTCTGGACTGTTACAATATAGATTTGAACAGAACAATGATAATCCGTTGCCTTTTGGTCCAGTATTGCCATTTTTCAGACCTTAGAGGGATTTTATAATGCATTCCTTTGGGATAAAATGAGTAACCCCTAGTGACTGCTGAGTAAATATAGTATGATACACAAATGGCTGCATCTATAGTGTAGAGTTATATGAAATGCTACCATTGGATTCAGGACAACTTCAGTTTCAATAATATGCTTTGACCCAGTGTAAATCTGATAATTAACAGGTTAATTTTTACTGTGATTTCAACAAAAATCAACTTTGTCTACCTATTAAGATGTGAAATCTTGAAATCTTGAAAGCTCTGGATTTTGTGTTTCTACCTCTAACAAAATATATTCTGTGGGGCTTTTCCTTGACATATTAAATACAATCATTAATGGAATTATGATCTGTAAGTGCAGTCAAATGTTTAGTATTTCCCTTTGAGATAAATATAAAGTAGCATAAAATAGAAACACTCAAGTAAAGTACAAGCACCTCAAAATTGTACTTAATGACAGCACTTATACTCCACTGCCCCTTTTACACATGCATAGAAAGAAGTGGAGGCAGTTGAGTGTAAGGAAATGGACTTTGAACTATACACAGGCAGGCACACAAAGGGGAGTGTGCACACAAACACACTGACAGACAACTCTTCACTCGTCCGCTCCTCTTCCCACACGGTGCCGTGAGCGGAGCACAAGAGTCAACTGCTCCCTTCAGGCGGGGCACAACACTGCTGCTTGTTGCACGGCTCCTACATTAACAACGCTTGATCAAAAGAGTTGAGGCAAGAGTGGCGCAACAGAGAGAGAGAGGGGAGCAGGCCAAGGCGGTGGAGACTCACACAGGAAGGGAGGGGCTTGTGGCTGCACCTGTATCTCCGGCCAAACACTAGACGCTAATGAATGAAGCGCACCCTCCTCGGAGGAAAAAAAAAGGCCTTAACAACAACAACAACAGCGTGCTTCATCTTCCTCTCATCCCTCTTATACTCCTTCTTTTCATAAGTAGTCTATTAGCAGGAAAGGGGTATTGCCAAATAGAGAGAGGGAGAGGAAAAAAAGCCGAAGAGAAACAGGGCCCCCGTGTTTGAATCCCACTGTGGCGGTGCCAACTTGACTATAGAGAAGCAACAAAGCAGCTAAGTGCCTGGGCAAGGAGAAGGGGGGTGTGGACAACTGAGGGGGGGGATAAAAGGGGGAGTTTGGGGTGTACAGGAGGGAGGACAGAAAAAGAGAAAGAGAGGAACCTGTGAGATATATATATATATATATATATATATATGTAAGAGAGTCCAGTAATCAAAGCTAATGGCTCCATTGTGTCTAAAAAGCATCTGATAGCTTTAGAGTGCAGTGAGAGCAGCACGGAGCTTGGAGAGGTGGTGCCGAGGAGGTGTGCCCCGGGTTCACAACGTGTGTGTGTGTGTCGGAGGCAGCAGCGTTAACACCTGCTCCTTTGTGGCTTAAAAGCCAAGCCAGGAGTAAGCAGCGGGCATGATGCACACACACATACACACATACACAAACACACACTCCTCTTCCTAAAAGGGTTATTACCGTGGCTTTTTAGCAGCCTCTGTGTTTTTTCCTTATTATTATATTCAGCATAGTTATGATTGCCAGTCCCCTCTGCTTACAGGGGCCATGGCCTGCATACGCCGCCTGTTGCCTCTGCACAGCTTACAATCATCTGTACCATTTCAGGTGCAGGAAATTACAGGGGGAGTGATGGGAAGCGTGCGTGGGGTAAGGGAGGGGGAGGGGATTTGAAAAGTAGCTGAAACAACAGGGTTTGTTTTCTGTTAGCCTTTGCTTTGGTCTCTTTTCAAAGCGAGGAGGACAGCAGCTTCAGTATGTGTCCTTTCAGTGGTGAAAGGTGGGTGAGGAGTGGCGAGGAACGAGCAAGCGCTGTTTTGCGAGAATTAAAGATATGATCGTCTCTTTGTGTCAGTGTTACCTTTGGTGTGTTTCAATGGGAGCATTCAGACTGAGGGTTATTATAGCAGTTCTTTTGAAGCAGAGGAAGGACAATTAACTGTAGATGTGTGGTGGAAAATAGTGAGAGCACTGAGGAATTACAACTGATGGTCTCTTCTCTCTCCCCTTCTGTTCCCTCCTTCACTCCCATCTCCCTCTCCTCCTCTCTCACTTTCTCTTCTTCCTCCTCTCTCTGTCACAGATGAGTGTGGAGGGTGATGACAAGCGAACTCGCACTCGGTCCAAGGGAATCAGAGGTGAGTGTCATTTCTCTCCATCATGTCAGGCCAGCCGTTCCACACAAGCACCCTTATGTTACTATATTCAACAAACAAGTCTTGACCCATTAGACTTGTGGGGTCCAGTATTTTGGTCCCCAAAAAGCTGTTGGACCCCACAAGTATAGTGTTTTCCCAGTTTTTGGACCCCACAAATATAGTAAAACAAGCCTCAAACACACATGCATTCAAACGTTCAAAAGTTTTATATGTATAGGGATGTGTGTACTGTAATTGTGTGTTTGCCTGTGTGAAGAAAACAATTTAACACAGAAAAACAAGTAGTCTAGATGATTTCTAACCATTCCAGACCCCACCCACTTCTGCTATAATAAAAGTTTGTGTGTACATGCATGTGTAAATGTGAATATAATTTAATTTTAGTTTGTAGATGTTTGTGTATATATACATATTGGTACATGTATTTCTCCATGTGTTTATATGTGTACAAGTCTGTGTATGTGTGTGTGTGTGTGTGTGTGTGTGTGTGTGTGTGTGTGTGTGTGTGTGTGTGTGTGTGTGTGTGTTTGATGTTTTGAAGCTAGACAGCAGAGCAACAGTTCAGAGGGCGTTTAGAGCGCAGAAAGGCGTCCAGTCATTCCAACTGCATGATGAAAGACTAAGAAACTGAAGATGCTGCACATACACACAGACACACACACACACACACACACACACACACACACACACACACAGACACACACAGCGGCAGTATGTTAGATTGTGTGTATTTTCCATGCTCTTAGTGTATCTTGATACTTGGGCTCTTTCTGACATGTGATTAATGCATGTGATATGGGAGCCCAAACTGAATTCTCCAGGAGCGTATTGTTTTCTCGTTTGCTCCAAATGAAAATAGGATATTTCTCCCCACTCATTCTATCGCTCAACTCCCAATCGATGCCTATAGCCGGCCGAGAGCGATGTGTGTGTGTGTCCGTGTGTGCGTGTTGTTTGTGAGTGGAGCTTGATTTATGTTTTGAAGGCAATTACTATAAGTTGTCCCAGAAAGAAGGGCTGTTTTCCACTGATGAAGGCAGTTTTCCTTTTAATTTCATTTTCCCAATTATGATAACTAAAGTGCAACAATTAATCATGTTTTATTGCTGAAGTCTGCATATAATTGTCACATTTTTTCCAAACAGCACGATGCAATTGGACTGATTTAGGTTTTCTCCTGTGTGTGTGTGTGTGTGTGTGTGTGTGTGTGTGTCTGTCTGTGTGTGTGTACGCTTTTGTGTTTGCCATTGTGTGTCATTCATAGAGTGTGTCTATGCGGGCCGGCGCTTACACTCCTGTTTGTTTTGCGCTAGCCTTTGTGAACATGTGTTTGTGTGTATGTTTGCATGCGAGCTCAGGAGTGTGTAGGTGTGTGTTTTTCCTCCTGATCATGCAGTCAGCAGTGTGTAAGCCTCTATGAGGAAACCTCATGGGATTCATATGCATTTGTGATTTATTGATCTGAATTTCTTTTAGCAGAGCAGCTTTCTGAGCAGTCGTTCACCTTTGTTCTCCCTCCCCTTGTATCTTTCTTCTCTCCCCCCCTCCTTCTCTCCCCCTTCCTCTCAGTTCCTATTGAGATCGTAGGACAAGAGCTGAGGTAAGGAAACACCTTCATCTTTGTGCAAATCCCTTTCATAAAGTTCTTTTATGTGCACCGCTGAGCAACCCCCCGGTACTTGTAGACTCACTATCAGTGCTTCTTTAGATGATGCTGTATATTATTATTTATTTTATTTCTTATCATCAGCACCTCTCAGCTCGTGGTCAGGGCCTCCAACAGGCTGCTATTGATTTCTAACAGCCTTTTGCTATTTCCTGCTATGAGCACATACAGTAGACGCAATGAAAGGGGCGTATGATCTTTTTACAATCTGATCCAAGGATACAGCGTGAGGAGGGAGGATGGCAAAGGGTGATGATTTTGTTTTTCTCTTGCCCTATCTTCCTACATCTTTGCCTCTCCCACCCAGGTGGCAGCTTTCAGGGCCTCGCCATTGTCCTCCTTCTCTCCCTCCTTCTAAATTATTTTTTCATTCTCTCTCATTTTGTCACACTTCACCTCCGAGCATTGATCTGTGCCCGGCACTCCAAAATAACCTTTTGGTTTCTGGATTGCGAAAAGGAAAAAAAAAAGCCAGTAGGGAGGCCAGAGAGCGCCTCATTTAAAATGCAAATGCAGTATTTTTTAATAAGTGAAATTAATAATAAGGATAATTGGAGTAATAAAGGGCAATTGCTGGGGGAAGTTAATGAGAATTGAAATGAGCCGTCCTGAGGGGTCATAGCAACCTGAATCAGAAGAAAGAGAGAGATGAGAGAGAGCGAGACCTGCTGATGATGACTGGTGAGGGGAGCAGAACAGGGGAAATTACAGCAGGTCTCGGCTGATCCTTATCGCTCACACTAACAGGATATAGGCCAGGGTTGATGTACGACATACAATATTATGTTCTCCCCGGCTTGATGCCACCTGCATTCATGCAGTATGTGTGTCTGCTGGATGGATGGGGGGTGTCTTTGTGCATGTGCATTTGTATGATGTGTGCTCAGTTTGCATGTCTCTGCCTTCCTTTGTTTATCTTACTTTACTTTGTTTTTTACCTGCCGTTATCACTGCTTCTGCGTAGGGACTAAAATGCACCTTGCCTTAAACATATCTCTAACCTCCATCCATCCCATCCAGCTGCCCTACCCCTGGATGCAATGGCTCTGGCCATATCAGTGGGAGATACTCACGACACAGAAGGTAGGGCAGATTAAAAACCCACCCTCTGTCTGTCCTTCTTCTCTGTCTGTCTGTCCACCTCTCTGCCCCACAGCATCTGCTTTATTGAGAAAATAGAAAAAGATTTTTATATTACATATTACGGTACATATTCGACATTATGGAAAACACCCATTCGCTTATGTGAGTTAGATCAGAAGGATAATACCACTCTAATGCCCGTACTCTAATTTTGAAGCTACAGCCAGTTAGCATAGCTTAGCATAAAGAGTAAAATTAGTTTTTGGTTCTGTCCAAAGGTTAACAAAATCCACCTACCAGCACTTCAGAATCTCTGTCGCCTTGTGACCCCTTAAAACACCAGTTAAGTCCCGCCCCTTTTTGGTCTGATAACAGTAGAGCAAGCCCCATCCCACTCCTGTGCACCTGCCTCATGACATAGATGTGAGGAATTTTTGTATGTATTTTAAGCTAAATAGGCACCAAATCTAAATAAAAAAAAATCAGTATTATTTAAGAAATAAGGGAAGAAGTGAAGCAAATTGTCTTAAAAATTCTGCTTTATTCTTCTGTTTATCTTGTGTCCTGTCCCCCAGGTTGGGAAATACTGACTTATTTACTTAATTGAAATTGCTTAGTTTCTTGAGCAAACAATAAACACAAAGACATAAGGTTGTCAGGATTCTGCAGTTGGTGATTTTATCTTTTGTTATTATGTAAATTGCAGGTGTTCCTGATAAGTTTCAAGGATACTGAATGACCCTAAGCGCCTAAATCCAATTGACAAAAGAGCACATTAATTATGTAATCTTCACATGCCAGTGAGAAAAGCTGTTCCCGAGAACACACATGCAGTGAAATGTGATTTCTTCAGCTTTTATTCCAGCTTCATTCTCTCTCCTTCCTCCTCTGTGTCGCTGGCCCTCAGAGACCTTGCGAGACTCAGGGCAGCTCACTGGCTTGAGACTCCTCTTTATTGAGGGGCAGATATTAGCTATCTGTTTACATGTGTACTCGTTCAGCAGGCAATTTCAGATGCACTTTGTTTATAGATCGTCCCTCAATCTCCCCCGGCGTCTCCCAGGTGAGAGTAAGAGGGAGTTTATTGGATTTCACCCTCTGCTGCCTCGCCTGCCCACCTCTCCATACAAGTTGTTCATTAAACGTTCCAGTCAATTGGCTGAGATTGGTTGTGATGTCTGAGTGACTGAGCATGGCGCCCCCCCTAGGCCACATCATGAATTATACTATCTGCTGAAAGAACTGCTCCATCCTTCTTCATGTCAAAACATACACACATGCTCCATCACGCGGCTTAAATTCACTCATGGACATGACGAGACTGTGCATGAGGTTTTTTGGACGTGTAGTTGTGATTTCCGACCCTACCAACCTCGCTTGGTATTTATCATCCTCTCCTTCTTCTCTCCTCCCTCTCTCCTTCTCTCTCATTTTTTCCCCCTCATTTAGCGTTCTGGGTTGCCCCATAGCCAGAAAGCGCCGTCTGGAGGAAGCAGAGGCTGAGCAGGAGCAAGACCAGGATACAGAGCAGCCTGCCTCTAAGAGGAAGGCCCACCCCCTGAAACTGGCCCTGGACGAGGGCTTCAGTATGGAGAGTGACGCCAGCAGTGAGGCTGAGGGTGATGGAGAGAAGGATGAGGAGAAAGCAGGTGAGAGCAAGCAGGCAGAGGAGGAGAGAGAGGAGATGACAGAAGACTTGACGCAGGACGGGCAGACAAATGAACAGAAGGAGGATACACAGAAGGAGGAGGAAGAGGAGAGGGAAGAAGAAGAGACATATCAGAAGGACGAGAACATATTTGCAGCTGATGAAGGTAGGCTAATATCAACCACAGCACTTTTTGGTGAGGAAACGTTTACTGCAACTCGAGGGCTTTTCAAGCAGTACTCTGTCTATATATAATTTTTTAAAGAGGACCAGCCGATGACGAAATTATTAGTGGTTTAATTGATCAACATCAATTCTGACGACTGATGAATTCTGTAAGTTTACTCAACGAGCAAAACTGACAAACATACAATTGTGCCACCTTCTCATGTGACTATTTGCTGGTTTTTCCTCCATTCCACATCAATGTAAATGTAATATATTTTGGTTGGTTTTTTTGAGCGTCACAATCCCAGCAAAAAAAAAAACAATTTCACCTTCAGAATTTGATGTATCCAGTTCTCCTTAATACTTCCGTAATTAGATCCTTAACGCCCACCCTCACACTCCTAATGACCACTAGGGGCACGAGGACTTTGTGAATGAGTTTCTGTCTGCGTAACAAGCTGCTCTACACCTACAGACTCTGTCACAGCGGGTGTTTTTATTTCAGTTCACTGTGAATGACTTAGCAGGCAGGAAAACAATGCTATCAGTGATGATAAAGATATTGCTGACAACAGCTTTATCTCACTTCATGACTCACTTGTTCCTCCGTGTCACAGCTCTGACCTCTTCATCTCTGTTTCCACAGAAGAGGAGTGTGTAATCATTGAGCCTGAGCTCAGAGCAGCGCCACCTGCAGCCGAGTGTCAGTCTCCCTCTCAGAGCAACGAAGAGGTGGCCAACTCTCTCCTCCACCTCGGGCGAGTCTCCGACAACAATACTCCAACTGTGGCCACTCAGCAGCCTGTTGCTATGGAGACTGAGGAGGATGTCACCGTGGCAGCCAAGCAGGGTGAAGAAGTAAAGGACAAGCAGGAGGGGGACGTGAATGAGAGGGAAGAGGAAGAGGAGGAGGTGGTGCACCGAGTTCAAGTACTGGAAGAGTCATCTGTTCTGCAGAAAGAGGCGGCTGAAGTGGAGGAAGAGGAGCTGGAGGAGGAGGTGGAGGATGAGCAAGGAGAGTGCTTGGACAGCAACAACCATGTGAGCCAGGAGAACCACCAGTATCTAACCGAAGATGTCCACCACCAACAGATCAAAGGCAAAGAGGAGGAAGTGGAGGAGGAAGAAGTTGAGGAGATGGCAGGGCCAGCACAGCAGAGGCAGGGCACTCCAGCAGAGGAGGAGGAGGATGAGGAGAAAGATGACGAAGACCACGGGGAGGTGAACCACATCTTGCCCATTTCTGACGTGCCAACTGCCATCCGCACCATCACCAGCACCGCAGCAGCTCAGGGAACACACATCGAGGCTCCAGAACACAGGGCCAGTCCTCTGGAGGACTACAAATCACACAGGACCAGTCCCCTCAGAAACTTCAATACCAACAGAACCAGTCCACTTGACAAATATGACTCTCATAAACGTAGCCCACTTCAAAACTACAAGGCCAGTCCTCCTTTAATCTACAACTCCCACAGGGCCAGTCCGCTTGAAGACTACTTTCCCACCATCAGAGGTGAGAACTATAAAATCCACAAAGCCTCGTCCTCTGCCTCCCCCGACGTTATCGAGGTGCGATCGGATAAGTCAGAGGAGAAAGACTTTGATGACATAGATGGGGATGACGAGCGCGACGATGAAGACAGCCTGTCGCAGCGTTCCACGGTGACGGACGAATCGGAGATGTTCGATGTAACCCGGGGGAACCTGGGCCTGCTGGAGCAAGCCATCGCCCTGAAGGCAGAGCAGGTGAAGCCGGCCGGGCCCAGAGAGCTGCTCTGCGCCCCAGATATCCACCACCAGCGATACTTCACAATGGATGACAGGCCCAAGCACCTGGACGTCCTCCGCAAGAGCTACTTCAGCAAAGGTAGGGCACAGTGGAGAAACTGAGAGAGGTACAGCACGGGCTGAGGTACAGCACGTACTGAGGCGTGAATGTTGCTTGAGGTAGGCAATACATCAGGAAGATTTAGTCCTCCTCATTTAGTCCGTTTTTAAAGCTACATTAGCATCATGTGGTTGTGCAGCTACAAGCAGGGCTGTCATCTTGGTGGTGCATTCGAGCACACTCAAACATCTGAGAATTGATATTCACCTGCCGATTTTCACTACTAGCACTGACAAGAATAAAGGGGACAATATGGTCTCTGTGATGAAAGACAGTTTCGCATTTTTGAAAGTTAATTTAATGTCTCTACAGTGTGCTGTTTGAATGCTGTCTGTGCAGAGTTTGACACTAGAAGGATGTTTTCACATTCATCTGCTGAAAGAGGAAAGTTTCTCTGTGCTCATTGAAAAACTGATTTTTAAGGGGCGGGGCCTACCAGCAGGATTTGTGACATCACAAATAGTCTGGAAGTCATCCTGGTCCAGTATGCAACTTGTACAGTGTGATGTAGAAACTTGAAGCCACCAGTGCACATCCACTGAGAATGGACTTTACAGTGAAGTAGGAGACATCTTGTGTCCAGCAGGAAAACTTTAGAAATCAACAACATTTGTATATTCTGAGATTCTGGAGGTTTTAATGAGGTAGAAGGAGGAGAAAAATCAAGCATTAATAACACTAAGCTCCTTACAAAACATACATAAAAACACATTAACAACACGATGCATGTTGTTGACAGTTGCATGTCAATGTTTTTTTAACATGTATGTATGTATAGACCTATTTTTGTCTGTTTAAACTTGTAATGCAACAGTCAACAAACATTATTGTTCTATTGTATATAGGTCTTAATACATGTCGGGGGGGTTAGTTAAAGTCAATTTGTAATCAATCGACCTAAACATGCATATCCTCCTGTATGGTTCTTTACATAGAGATGACTGGACCGTACATCTGGTCCTACGTAGAATAGCATGCAGAAAATTCTGCCCTCAATGTGTGCTGAACTTAATGTTGGGAGCAGAGCGTACAAATAAACACAGTGTACCAATTAAACGGCGATGAGTCACTGCACTCTGTTTAGATCCTCCCTCCTCCATTGTGCTGGGGATGAAGTGGTTCCAGCTGAATAGACTTCTATGAGGAGCATGGAGGAAGTGCTTGAAGAGAGAGTGAGAAGGGACAACAGCGAGAGAGGGAGGACAAGAGAGATGACAACAAGTTAGAGAGAAAGAGGAAGAGCGCAGGTTGCTCCACAGTAAGCGGTAGACTGTTTGTTTACATGCTGCATGTGTTCGGGCCTTGTATTTCACAGTTGGCGCGCTGCCCACTTGTCATGCTCTTCTCAGTATAGCAGTAGTGTGATTACATGCCTGGTAGTGCTGCCCTCTCCTTGGCCTCAGCTCCCTCCTGCGGTGACGTTCCTGTTCTGCTCAACGCTAATTAGGAGATGCATGTCTCGTTAACATTCAATTTGAAGGCCAATAGAGCATCGCACCATCCTCTTGCTCCTTTTTCCTCTTTCCCGTGCTGCCGATACTGGCTGGCCTACCTCCAGTGGCATCAGGGAAGAGTCTTTAGTTATGTATATATTACAGCCACAGGATTTCCTCCTGATACAGCTTCAGGTGTTGTTTGGTCCGAGATCTGACCAAATCCTTGAAAATGTCAGACAAGTGCTGAAACGGAGCAGAAAATCCTCAAAGTGTACAGGATAAGTAGATCGACTTTGATGGGGTTAACTTTGTAATAATTCATACATTTTGTAGTATTTCATCCCTGAAAGCATTTAGAGAAACACACAAGTCACATCTAGACTACTGCTTGAAACACATTGTGCCTTTAGAGAGATACATAAGACATGAGGCGCAGATACAGATGGTGTTGCTTTTGTACAGTTGTCTGAAATATGTCTAGATTTCATGCTCAGCCAAGCAGACTGTCTGATGGCATTAACCACTTGCTTTTGTCCTCCTTATTCACCCCACCTTCCCCTCTTGTCTTATCTCCCCTTCCTTTTCTCCACCCCTCTCATTGCTCTTTCTCCTCTCCTCTCTCATCCGTTTCTCCTCTATCCAGAGAGCAGTAGGCCAGAGAAGAGGGAGATCAAGTGTCCCACCCCGGGGTGTGATGGGACGGGTCATGTGACCGGTCTTTACCCCCACCACCGCAGCTTGTCAGGCTGTCCGCACAAGGACAGGATCCCCCCGGAGAGTGAGTTTTCTCCAGCTGCTTAGAAGATGAAAATAAGCACAGACAGAAGAAAAGTGACAACAAAGGGCAGTGTGACAGTGATAGAAACGCACCACCTCTCCTCACTGCGGAGTTAGACAGCACAGTATATTCACAGTACCAATTTAACCAAGAGGTTTTCCTAAAGTTCATGTTACTGATATTCACCTTTTTACATTAGAATAGAATAGAATAGATCTTTGTTGTCATTGTCACAGGTACAATGAAATTTAAAGTGCTCTCCGATCAGTGCTTAATTTAGCATTATTATTATGCTGATAGAGATTACAGTAAACAAGTAACAAGTAAAAGTTGAAAGTTAAAACTACCAAACTGGCAAAAATTTAAACCAAAATTTAAAATAGATGTTTGGATTTGGCTTTCATATGCAGTGATAGTGCATTTTTCCTGCTCAACCTCATACTGTGCTTGTGACTGTAAAGATACTTCCATTACACAGAGGCCAACTAACTGTAGCCATGACCACAGTTCCATTAAATATAGACAGGTTCCCTGCTATTCTCTGATTAGGGTTCACTTCATATTCATTTATACTTAGGGACTGTACTAAAAATATTATATATACAGGCCAGAAAAGGGTGGGTTTTTTGGTAGAAGGAGCTGGGGATGGTCTGTATATTTTCCTCATCTCAAATTGATATTTTCATTTACATTTATTGCAAAAGGAGAAGCACTGAGTTGGCCATGGACTTTAACTCGTGTTTTGATATTTGACATAGCACTACTTGACACGCTATTTGGACAAAACAGACCCCTTTAATTAGTTTAGTTTTGATGGAAAGTCAGACACCTGTCCTCAAACATTTTTTTTATCATTTTGAATCTTTGGGTGGGCCAGAGTAGCTGGAATATTCACCATTTTGTTATGTTTGCCACTGACAAAAGGAAATATTTATAATGCTGGGGGCTTGCTTTTTTATTTTTATAAAAAGGATTTTATTGTTTCAATTGGATTGTGGATTTCTCTTACCGAGTGATTGTGTGTGTCTTCTCCTCAGTTCTGGCCATGCATGAGAATGTGCTGAAGTGTCCAACTCCTGGCTGCACTGGTCAGGGCCATGTTAACAGCAACCGTAACACACACCGAAGGTATTCATACACACATAACAGTACAGTATCTGTGAACATCTGTATGTGTGTTTCTGACTGTCTGTATTACTGCAGACGAGGGTGTCATGCACAGGGCTTGTATTTCCGTTTATGTATTTGCGAGTTCACATATTAATTTAGGCAGGACATTGAATGTGTCAGTCCATAGCAGTGGGATGCAGATTTACATGGTCAGCAACATGCTCTCATGTTGATATTCATCTTCTTTTTCTTCCTCCATCCCTTCAGTCTGTCTGGATGCCCCATTGCTGCTGCAGAGAAGCTGTCCAAGGGCCATGATAAGCAGCATCTCTCTCAGCCAGGCACAGAGCACCTCAAAGGTTGTCACAACGACAGGGTGTTAAGGTGGGTAATCAAAAAAGTATCCAATTATATACCTATATATATTATATATAAGTATGGAGCCAGAATGATGCCATATCAGACAGTTAAATCAATGTTGTCAGTTATTTTTCCAACTGAGAAGCTACTGTTACAAGAGTTCATACAGTGATGTAATATGCAGTATGGAAGATCAACATTGCCCATACTACTGTGGTTACATGTCAAAGTTAGCTTCAGCTTGACAGTATATTTTGGTTAGCTAGCTCTTCTCATAGTCAGATGTTGACAGGTTTTTTGACAAGACGTAGTATTCAGGCGCTACAGTAGGATTGGCCAGGCATCCGTGCTCGTCAGGTGACAGAAAACGTATTAATAAAACTTTATACTGCACGCAGTATACAGATACAGATAAAGTCGAAGACTAGCTAAAATGGGACCCATACCTGGGAAACTGGGGTTTGAGTCCCCTGTGAGAAAGTTTTTTAAACTTAGTTGACTTATTATTTATTTTTATTATTCTTATATTCAATTTTCAGTTGCAGTTTGATTAGGTTTAGGCAACAAAATCTTGATAAGGTTTAGGAAATTGTCATAATTTGGGTTAAAATAGACAGATGTAACAATGTTAACCACATGTTAAAAAGCCTCGGGCAGAAAACTTCTCCCACAGGCACAAGCATGGCCAATGCTGGTGCTTGAATGCTACGCAGGGCGTGTCTTGCCATGAAAAGCAGAGGGATCCATAATAACGCATTGACACATCCATCTTATTATAAGCGTGAGAAAGAAGGGAAATATTTGGTACGGAAAGTAGTGAATAAATAAATGATTAAAAGAAAGCATTGGAGGTTTAAGGAAAAGTATTACACTTTTAAGTTACTTTTTACACTCCATTTTAATTATTTAGCTATTGGCATTAATACTTCACATATTCAGTTTTACTTTTGACTCGTGAGAATCCTTTAATACCTTTTGTTGGTTTCGGGCCTCCATAAATATGATGGTGAATGACAAGGCAGACTGGGCATAATGAACCTTTTGCCTACATAAAAGCTGTCTCCCTACAATCCAATCCCCATACAGCTGAATCCCTCTCAAGGTTAGCTAGTTTACTACTGAGCCACACAGAAACCACAGAGACAACCCTGACCTTGGTTATTGTGCCCCTCAGGAGAGGTAAAGCCGACCAGTGAATGGCTCAATATAACGAGAAAGTCTTGAAGCATTCAGTCTGGCGGTCCAATCATTACTGTCACCTCAAACGCAGAGATCTCTTTATCTCCATTCATCTCCCCAACTGGTCAGGCGCCGTGATCATGGCCAGAAGAATGATAATTAACACAAACCAGACGCTGGTATTATGCTCAGTCCGCGCTCTTCCTCATTGGTATTTTAATTAATAATGCAGCTGATAAGCTAATTATGCAAGTTGTAGGGGCATTGCAAGAGGATAGGAAAAATAATTGCTTTCCTTGAGGAAAACCTCATCAGTGGTCGGACAAAGCATCGAGGATTAAAACATAATAAGGTTTGCTTTGTTTCTCCCTCTCAGATTGTTATTAAAATGAGCTTGGTTGTCTGTTATGTGTGGGACTGAAGAATTCCTCGTGCAATCCATGTTCTAATGGAATCCATGTTGAATGAATAAAAAGAGGAAGAATCCCCTGTGATCAGTGGTAGAAAGTTTTATTTTTTTATTGTCATGTAAACCCTCCTCCAGATGTGAGCATGTGTTTTTGGGGTGTCGCTGTGTGAAGGCTGCCCCGATAGCAGCACGCCTACAGGCCAGGTCATGTCATGTAGCTTATTAATGAGCGTATGGTTTAGAGACCAGAGACTGTGATACGGGCTTCAGTGAAAAAGATGACGAAGGTGACTCCACTCCCCCCGCCCCATTCCCCGACCCCACCGTGCCTCCCTCTTTTCACCACTCCCCCTTCTTTCTTCCCCATTCCTCTCTCCTCCTCGTCCTCGCTTCTTTCTCTCTTCCCCCACCCTCCTGCCTCTCCCTGGTCTATCAGTGGATTTACGCCAACAGGTCTGACAAAAGCCCAGGCTCTCCAGGAAAACGAGAGGGCTTAAAGCTCATAAATTCCATGCTGTACAACATGCAAATGTGCCCTCTGCTGATAAGAGAGCTTTTAATCCTGCTGCACTCCTGCTAAGTACACCATTGCCCCTATCTTTACTCTCTCTATGTTGCTCTACCTCCTTCTCTCATTCTCTCATTCTCTTATTCTCTTTTTTCTCTTCTTTTTATTTGTTTTTTATGTCGATTGTGGGACTCTTTATTGAGCCAATCCTCTTTCATATCCCATCTCTCCTGGCCTATTCTATTCTGTTCTATTGTATTCTATTCCATTCTACTTTATTTCTTCTTAATCCCTCCTCCTGCCTTCTTCTTTACCCCCCAACCAGCCCCACCCTGACGTCCTCTCTCTCGTCTCTCCTCGCAGGCCCATGTGCTTCGTGAAGCAGCTGGAGGTGCCCCAGTATGGCAGCTACAGGCCCAACATGGCACCCGCCACGCCTCGCGCCAACCTTGCCAAGGAGCTGGAGAAGTACTCCAAGGTGTCCTTCGATTATGCAAGCTTTGACGCTCAAGTGTTTGGGAAGCGCATGCTTGCTCCAAAGATGCCCACCAGCGAAACCTCACCCAAAGCCTTCAAAAGTAAGGGAGGACCGCTGGTTTCTTTTGTGTGTTTCTAGCTGGGGTGTGATATTCCAGCGTTGGCTGGCCATTCAGTTTCATATAATGCTTTTTTCTTCTTCAATTTTTTACACTTTTATCTCAGTATATTTTATTGTTGGCACTGTATTAAAGCTGCAGTAGGTAATTTTTACAAAAAAGTGTCATATTTACTGAAACTTTCACTATACAGTGACAGTAGTACACAAGACAGATAATCTGTGAAACAATCTGCTTCATCTGGCTCCTCCTGGTGCTCCTAATGGTATTTACAAGAATCCAACGGGCCTGAACGAAAACAACCAATCAGAGCAGAGGAAGATAGTTAATTGTTGAGTCTCATTACCAGGGCGTCAAATACAGATGCTCTGGGAAGTCAACAATCAACTATAATCAAACGTCTTTCTATCTTTCTTGGCTCTGATTGGTTGTTTTCAGTCAGGCCCGGTGGATTCCTGCAAATGCCATTGGGAGCACTAGAATGAGTTAAATGTTACCTTCTGCAGCTTCAATTACTTTACCACTCTAAGCATTTAAGCTACTAAGAAATATCTATATTATCCACTGCTTTAATAGTCACCAGATCTAACGTTGAGTTTTCTCGATTGTTCTCCTGCAGCTAAGCCCTCATTCCCCAAGTCATCGTCACCTAGCCTCAGTCTCCACGGTTACGGGAAGAGCTCCTCCTTGGCCTACGACTACTCCCATGATGCAGAGGCCGCTCACATGGCTGCCACTGCAATCTTGAACCTATCTACACGCTGCTGGGAGAAACCTGAGAACCTCAGCACTAAACCCCAAAACAAGGTAAACAGAGCGCCACTATCCATCTCTTTCCAGGTTAATTAGAACATAACGAAGATTGTAATTAAAGACTAACAGTAGGGGAAATGAATCACCTAGTTTTAAGGTGATCAAAAAATAGATTACAATTGGGAGATGAGTGAGTTGTTTATGGGTTTGTCATTATTGTAAAGTGTGGTGCTGTTGTCCTCTCCTGAGCACTCGGACAAAGAGATTATTAGCTGATTGTAGTGCAGATTGAAACATTGCAGGCCACAGCTGGTGAGATGAGAGGGGATGGCAGTGGGTGTGCCTTTCCTATCCTCTCCTCATTTTTTTCTCTCCTCATCAACTCTGCATGAATATATCATCAGGAGACATTGGCTTACAGCAACAGGATGGTGTTGAGATGCAGTTGCATCACCTTTCCCGTCCTCTTTCATCCTTCCATCCCTCCATCCCACACACTTTTCATGTTGTTATTGAATTTGGCTGACTGCCAGTTCCCTGGATTACTTTTCCACCAGGTAGCCTTTTTTCATTATCTGCTGGACGGATCTCCCACTCTCTATCTCCACCCCCGCTACTCTTTCTTTCATTTTCTTTTCACATCTCTTTTTTTCTCTCTTTTATCTCCCTCTCTTCCTCCCCATGCAAGTCCCACTGTTTCCCTATCTGTCTATACCTCTCTAGCTCTCACTCACTTCCTCCTTCCCCTCTCTGTGCACAGGAGGTGTAATTGGAGCACCACTTTCCCCCATATTGTGATTTTTAAAAGCCCTTTTGCCTCACAGAGGAGAGAAAGTGACTGCTTCATCATTTTTCGATTTCCTGACATGGTTTTAGGAAGATAAAAAGTGAAGATTAATGTCTCTGGCAGCACAGCAGAGCAAGGTGTTGTTCGGCAAAGCACCGATCCAAGAGCAGGCCTTAGCTGCGCAGTATGACAGTGCAGATCAACCGGAGACTGATCTGGAATCAGAGTTGGAGCCAGTTGAAATCCAATATTGAAACATTGGAACACTGAGCTCATCAACCAGGGACAGTTCTGGGAACTGTTCCCGTTTTTTTCTCCTCTTCTCCTAACCCTTTGATTTTTCTGGCCCCTGACCAGCCCATGAGCGCCATTTTAGATGAATGTTGAAAACATGGCTCATCTCCCCTCTCTGCTTCTGTTCACCTGCCAGCACCATAATAGAGCAGGAGAGATGAACCCTTGTGCTGTTGGCAAAGTATTTGCAGAGTACATTAGATGTCATTACTAGCATGCTTAAGCGATGAAGGTGGTACATGAAAAGCACTGTAAAAAAGTGCATCACACTGCTGTATGACTGTATAAATATTTGTCTGGTACAAGCTTGAGGTCAAGTAAAGGTGGATGGACAGAAACAGGAAAAAAATCTATTATTTTACCACATGAAAGTTTAGTTTAATCTGAATCTAAATTCCTCCCTGTATGTGACACTGGGTTGAAGTTATGTCTGAGGAAAATGTAGGTATGTTAATGTATGAATCTGCTCAAGAGGTTAATTAAATTAATCACAAACATCATTATCATCATACAGGACTGCCTCTCCTACACTAAGGTGCAGGGAGACTGCATTAGCCATTTATATTTGGGAATACTCAATTAGATGTAAGGCCATAGCAATGGAGTCAACATTGGGGGACCAAATTAGTCAGGAGGTCCTACCAACATTTAAAAACAAACAAACGAAAAGGGTCAGGCGCCCGGTTAGCTCAGTCGGTAGAGCTGGCGACCCATATACGGAGTCGCTGCAGCGGCCCAGGTACAAATCTGACTTGTGGCCCTTTGCTGCGTGTCATCCCCTCTCTCTCTGCCCCCTCCTGTCAATCTTCAGCTGTCAAATAAAGGCATGAAAAGGCCAAAGAAATAACAAAACAAAAAAATAATTATATATATATTTCCATTTATGTATTCATGGGATTTTTTATTTTATTTAATATTGAACACTTTTGGACTCCATAACTGTAGAGTTCAAAAAGGTTTTTTTGTTGTTGGAGATCCTCCAACAGTTGATGATGATGTGATATGGCCTCAGTCCTGACTATCTTATGTGTTCTATCCAGGAAATAGACATTGAGGTGGATGAGAACGGCACCCTGGACCTGAGTATGAAGAAGCCCATTAAACGGGAGGGCAGTATGTCCGGCACCAGCCCAGGGGTTCGTTCCCCAGACCCTTCTTCCTCCTCCTCTTCCTCGCTCCATCATGGTGGAAGCAGCGGGATGACGTCACCAAACCTACACACCTACAAACAGGAGGAGTGGGAGGGACCTCTGGATTACACCAAACCCAACCGCCAAAGGGAGGAGGAAATGGACGAGGTCAGTACAATTAGACGAGCCAAAGTACAAGTCTGGAATGCGCAGTATTTCCTGTGATATTAGTCACAGAGGAAGTATTGCAACATAAATAACAACAGACAAAATTCCCCCTAAGCTTTTTGAATAAGAAGCTACTTGTTTACATCACTATGTCTTTCTCTAATCCCCTCGCCTTATTTCCTGTCCCCTTGTCCTCCTTGTATTATTCATTTATTTCACTGAAATGCGAGAGTTACTGTACAGTTAAAACATTGCACTGTATAACAGAGGTGGTGTGTCAGGTGCATTGCACCATCCTGACTTTGGCATATGCTAATTTTTACTCCTTTGAACTTTTTCAAAAGAAATATAAAGGGCTTTGAGTATAAATTTTTTATGAGGACACTCTGCATCACTTGTCTACAAAAGAATGAGAAAGGGATCAGAATAGAGACTTGTGTGCACATGGTGGTTTGCAAAGTTTTTTTGCTTGTATACAAATATGCAAACTATTGCGAGAAAGCCATCAATCAAAAATGGTCTAAAAAATATATCAATACTGTCAATACAGTCTAAACAACAACACATTAGTGCGATTCAAAGACACCCTCCAGACATGTATAAAGACATATATACGCATATGTCTTAATAAGTAGTCTGCTGGACACAAGATGTCTCCTACTTCACTGTAAAGTCCATTCTCAGTGGATGTGCACTGGTGGCTTCAAGTTTCTACATCACACTGTACAAGTTGCATACTGGACCAGGACTGTCATCATACTCATTGGCTCCACCCCTTAAAATCAGATTTTGAGTGAGCAGGGAGAAACTTTCCACTTTCAGGAACAACATTTTTTTTTAGCAACAATTTTTGAGTGGAAAGGGTCTTTAAATGATTCTCAGAGGAATTTGTGCTCATCTTCTTTTTTTTATATTCATTTTTCAGATGGAGCACACAGGACAGTCGTTCGTCTCGTCTGACCCGGAGGACTGTGACATGATGCAGGACTGTCTGGAGGAGAGGAAGTACCCAGGAGAGGTTACAACCCCAAGCTTCAAGGTCAAGTTCCAGCCCAAGGACAGCAAGAAGGAGCTGCTCTCGTAAGTGACAAGACAAATAACCAGCTCTGTTTCCGACTATGTTCACCTTGTTAGTTTTGTTAGCATGCTAATTTGAATTTTTAGTTAGTACTAAACAAAAGTACAGTTGATGTTGAGTTGAAGCTCATGAGAATGCCACTTCTGCATGTACAGGTATTGAAATTCTTACCTGATGATGGCGCTAGATGAGAAGTTAAGGGAACAGCAATGCTGTTACAGCTGATCCTGAGGGGAACATGAATGTGTCTCAAATTTCATGGCAATCCATCCAGTAGTTGTGGACATATCTCCCTCAAAACCACAAATGGAAAAGTCAGAATCACCACAGTCATTAGAGTCCATCCTCTGGAGACCATGAATATCTGTAGAAAATGTTCATCCAGGATAATGTAGAGATATTTTACAGGATAAGTGAAAACTTTTACCTGCAGATGGTGCTAGATAAAAAGTCAGTAGATCACCAAAGTCATTAAAATCAACTTCTTGAATCATGAATGTCTTTACACAGTTTCATGGCAATCCTTTATTCTCTCTGGACCAAAGCGGTTAACCGACATTGTTATCCAAAAACAACAAAAAAGAAGGGATGGGAAACTTAACATATTTAGTCCAAAATGTTCCGTCCCCCTGTCCTCTGTCTAACTCTGTCTCTCTTTTCTCCTCTGTGTATCTCACCCTCTCCAGGTGCCCTACACCTGGCTGTGATGGCAGTGGTCACATCACTGGAAACTATGCGTCCCATCGCAGGTAGGCACCATTGCAGCAGACTTATTTGGGTGACACAGTAGTGCTCTATATATATGAAATGTTAGCTCTGCTGAGGCTGAGAGACTCCAAAGCGGACACCCTACAACTAATTCAAATATTTTATTTGATCCTGACATGCCAGAGGCAATAATGTAGCGTGAGCCCGGGAAGCAAAGACAGTCATTGACTTTGATATGCATCAGTAATTTACCTCTTGCCGTCCGTCCTCTTCTTCCTAAATGACCTTGGTATGCCTTGCATTCTTGATTTCCCTTCACTCACGTGTTTCTCCTCTCTCCTTTCAATCCCCTCACACCGGCTTTCCTCGCCGCCCCCTCCTTTTTCATCCTTCTCTTCTTCTGCCTGTCCTTCGCTCTTTCTCCTTTCTCTCAGTCTGTCTGGGTGTCCTCTTGCTGATAAGAGCCTTCGGTCCCTCATGGCGGCCCACACCCCTGAACTCAAGTATGTCTGCTCTACACCTTTTCACTGTCACTTCAATGTACTGCTACTGACACTGTTCAACGCCACAGTGCCTTATTTTGCTGAAGTTAACTACTCTTTTGTTGTTGGCTGCTGGCTCTGCTGCTGCTGATGCATCTGTCATGGTGTCTTTTCTGCATCTGGCTTGGACTATGCTTGCTTTCACTTCAGTCAGTTCATGTAAATGTGAAATGAAACTGCAATTCTATATTAAGTAGTATGCATAGCTTTTTACTAGATAACAGGGTTTTTGTGGCCCACTATAGATAGTTATAACAAGCGTTTAAACAGCAAGGAGCCTGAATGAATGTAAAGCTTATATATACAACATGTACTTGCCACTGGATGTGGCACTAGAGTACCAGAATCTAAGACCAAAACAATGGGACAGAAATAACAACTCTTTTTTAGTCTTTACAAAGTCTTTTTAACAATCTTCCATGCTAGCTTGGTTGAGATGTGAAAATATTCATGAAAATGGCCTAAACATAAGCTAACTATGCCTGTCAAAGTACATCCACTAAAAGTTGTTGGTTTTGCCACTGACAGGCTCCGATTGTTATTCTAAGTGTCTGACAACATTATGGAAAGGGTCCCTACAGAGATAGAGCTTTTCTGTAACCAGATTCAGCCGTAGGAACACTGAGCCTCCATAGACAAAAATACTAATTTTACCTTGCATAACATCATAACTTTATTCAAAGTGGACAGTAACAGAATTGTTAGTCTTTCCAGTGTTCCAACAATCACCAGCTCTGGTTTGGTTGAAATAAATCCTTAATTCACCAATGTAGATGATAAAATTACACGGCGCAGACCTGCATGGAAACAAACCACAGAGAGGCTGCGATAGCAACACAGGCAGAGGGAGTGAGACACCATGACTCCACTACATCTTTACATAGAGAATAGTTGCTGATATATTCACGTTTTAAATCTCATATATAACCTAACCTTAAAAAATGAATAGGAAAATTAGCAATGTTATTAAGCTCTCATCTGCATAATCCCATATTCTTGAAGACATTCCACTGTGAGACATCTGTAATGTTATTTTTTCTACTAACCTTGTATTAAATGTTAAACGCTGCTCTGCCTTTCCCAGATGCCCCACTCCAGGATGTGATGGCTCAGGTCACATCACAGGAAACTACGCCTCCCACAGAAGGTAACAAACAAAAAACACAAATGCTCAAAATGCACAAAAAACCGCACACAAACACACACACACACACACACACACACACACACACACACACACACACACACACACACACACACACACACACACACACACACACACACACACACACACACACATACAGTCAGTCAGAGAGGCCTAGTGACAGTTCATGGTAGAATTAGACAGGGATCATATACTCACACATTTCCACACCTTTCCATGATCCTATTTTTGGCCATATTAGGCGTTTTTAAGTTGATTTGGTTTGTAATTTGGTTGAACAACCTCTGTAAAAATATTCTTCCTTATATTGTTCTCCCTTTATTAAGCAATCACTTCACCAGACCTTTTTTCAACCCTATGTTATCAACTCCATACTTTCTGTTTTCAGTCTCTCTGGGTGCCCGCGTGCCAAGAAAAGTGGAATTAAAACTCCTACCAAGGACAACCAGGAGGACTCCGAGCTTTTAAAGTTCGTACCGCTCAGAAAGCCATAATGTCTGCTTTTAGCGAGACTGACGGTAAAAGTAAAATGCAATAAAAAGAGAAACAGAGAGAGAGAGAGAGAGAGAGAGAGAGAGAGAGAGAGAGAGAAGTCACTGTGAATCATATGCAGAGGTAGTGACCTGCCCCCGTAATTGAATCAAACAATCAGGCCCTTACTGATGGGAAAATACACTTACTGCAGATACTGATTCTGAATGTAGTTCATGGTAGAGTATCCTAGAGTAGATTGTCAATACATAAGAAATACATGGGCTTCATATTGCATTTGCACACAAAACAGTTAATTTAACATGTTGATTACTGCATGTGCTAAACCTTAATAGTTCTTGCATCAGTAATATAATTCTTTGCATTAATAATATGTCAAACACAGATGTAAGACAATGAATTTGGCCCAGTATATATCTTAAATCTTTATTCTAATATTCTGAACTGAATTTCTCTACAGTTTATATTTTTGCATTCTCCTTATCTAACCCTTCTCCCTCTCTTTATTTCTTCCCCTGTCTTTTTCTCATTTCCCTCCTTTCCTCCTCTTCCTGCAGATGCCCGGTGCCAGGCTGCGACAGCCTCGGTCACATCAGTGGGAAGTACGCCACACACCGTAGTGCCTACGGGTGTCCACTAGCAGCCCGCAGACAGAAGGAGGGTCTCCTGAATGGCACACCCTTCAACTGGAAGGCCTTCAAGACAGAGGGGCCTACTTGTCCCACCCCAGGTTGTGATGGCTCCGGACACGCTAACGGAAGCTTCCTCACACACCGCAGGTACGCCGCCATGCACACAGGCTTTTAACTATAAGAGCTGGTGGCTATTTGCAGTTCATTTAAAGAAATCATTCAACATCTTGGGAGGTTGTATTCGCTTTCTACCTAAGCTCAGTTAAATGAGAATATCGTTAGCATTGTCACGTCTGGTATAGCTTCAACAGTTGAGACACAGAAAACAGCCTCTGTCCAAAGCTGAAAAGTATAGTTTTTAATTTGAGAGAAGGGCCATTTTGCCCAATCGGTGCATTTCCATGTTGTAATTTGTCAAAATTGAACTTCATTCTTTCTCTTTTTTCAGCACTGTATCTAATAACATATACATCTATTCAATATGTGTAACTGTCAATCTCAGGCCATTTTATTTAGGAAGGAAGATTTCGATCTTATTATTTCAGTTTTTTTATGAAGGTTTTAAGGAAGCATCTTCAAATTGCAATTAAAACAAAGTGCAAGACACTCCTAATAATGTAATGTATTATACAGGTAGTTTTCATGCATATTTATGCACCATATCCGTGGAATGTAAAACAGAAATGTAAATGTTTGTGTACCTAAAAACCAAACCAGATTAGAACTCGAATTCTCTGCCCAAACTCGATTGGACCTGACCTGACATGGCCTAAAACTGCTGCTGTAGGTCAGGCTTTTTTTTTTTTGTATGAAATATTTTATTAATACTATTACTTTAAAGGGACATTGTGTAGGAATTTCTCCCATATAGCGGTGAAATAGTATTTTGCATTCAAACGAATAGTGCTCTCTAGTGCCTCGCGTTTTCAAATGCGTATTGCAACTACGGTAGCCATTATGTACCAAGAAGCCTACCTGTCGAGGAGAAAGCAGGCAAGTCTTTCTCCTTCATTAGCTCTTTCCACCTGGGGAAAGCTACCCCGATGTTGACCCTCGTTTTTTGAATTCGCTGGTCACGTGGCCTTTTTAATTCCCTTTTTCGCGTTTTTGGCGACGAGGATTCCTCTGAACAAAAACGCGTTGTGGATTAGCTCGACAGGTAGGCTAGTGCTTTATGTCCCTCTCGGCGATTGTAGTTTTTCAAAATGGCGGAACGACATGGAAGCCTCCATGGACTTGCCCGTCCAATGTATATACAGATAAGAAATTCTTCGCTTACGAGGATAAGTCAGATCATTGGCAGAGGTAATTTTACACCAATGAGCACACATTTATGAATGAAGACATTGATTTTAGCTAATAAAATACTTACAAAACACTACACAATGTCCCTTTAAATTATTATTTATTTATTTATTTTTTATTACTTATATTTATTTTACAGAATTGTTTTGGGGGTTGGGTCGGGCCAGAGTTTTTGGGGGACCCAGGCTCATTATGCTAGGCTAAGCTAACTGTCTGCATTACCAGTTGGCTGTATTAAAGGTCCACAAACAGTGGAAAGTTTCTCTGTGCTCATTAAAAACTTTCCTTTGTTTTTCATTCAAAATTTAAAAGGTCCAGTGTGTAACATTTAGGAGGATCTACTGTCAGACATGAAATATAACATTCATAGGTACGTTTTCATTAGTGTATAATCACTTGAATATAGGAATCGAGTTTTTGTGTCTTTGAATGAGCTGTTTTATCTACAGAGGGATCGGGTCCTCTTCTGTGGAGTCCGCGATGTTGAACCACCATCTTTCTACAGTAGTCCAGAAAGAACCAAACACTGGCTCTAGATAGGAGCATTTTTCATGAGTTTCGTAGTCACTAAATCCTACTCTTGTGTCTGCAGCCTCTCAGGATGCCCCAGAGCCTTGTACGCCAAGAAGAAGGCCAAGTTCCCCACAGAGGACTACCTGAGCACCAAGTTCAGAGCCAGTGATGGTAAGAGCATGTGTGTGCATAAATCATAGGTGTTGTTCTCTAGAGCACTTAACTAACAGTGTGTGTGTTTTAAAGAGTTTGGACAAAAAAAATTTAATTATATCAAAAAAACAGGAACAAATCCTTTTGTTATAGCAAAGAATGTTGGGTCAGGTATGGAGCCAAGTCCAGGTACATAGAGGGTTAGGATTCAGAATACTTCTACAGCTCAGTACATCATTTTAAGAAAAATAGCAAATATAGATATAAAATGCATTTACAGAGCAGACACTATTCTTTTCAGTTTTAATGTATCTGGCTCCTCCTTTAGTTTTGGACAACGACGAGGACATCAAGCAGCTCAACAGAGAGATTAACGACCTCAACGAATCCAACAATGAAATGGAAGCTGACATGGTCAACCTGCAGACTCAGGTGTGTGTCTCTATTTTTGTTTTATTTTTAACCTCTAAATCACTGAACCTGTTCTTACGGGACAGGGGCTGATGTGTGTTATAATATTGTATTATATTTAGAGTTATATGAAGTACTCAGTTGAGTCACTTGAGCCTGTTAAGGAATATTAGGTACAGTATAGTGTTGATGTATAACAAAGCTGTAAAACCTTCAGAATCACAGATGGAAAAGTTATTCCTTTGAAAGTATCAGCCTTTCTCTTACTCTTTTCTTACTAATGAACAGTTGACTTCATAAGCAATAGAACACAGCTTGGCTCAATTTCATAAACGTACGGGTTTTGCTGCTAAAACCTTTTAATCTAGTTTTTGGTGGCTAATGTCCGCAAACTGAAGGTAAATATTGCTTTGTATGCAGGGTGCAAACTACAGGGGAGCCAGGGGCAGCATGGCTCCTCTTAATAAGACTGAAAACATGAGTTGTGAAATTTTGGCTCTCCAAAATATTGACTTATGCCATTTTTGCCATGCATTTCTATATTTCTGCATCTTCATTATCATGTATCATACATTAAATCAGGCTATTATTGATTTATAATTGATGCACAAGTGATTCATCCCCAATTCACTTTAATAAACATACTGGCTTACATACATGCAGGCTTTTCTTACCATCACCATTATTCATTTCTATGTTTTGTTGTCATACTGTAAGTCACAAACAGTAAAAACGTGAGCTTACCTGAAAGCCATGATATAGTTCAACATGTTGGTAACTGACATTATTCAGTCAGTTTGCTGCTTTTGTACTACAGTTTAACATTTACCATTATCTGTAATCTATAATTATCACTTGTGGCCTAAGTGGCCACCATTCAACATGGGTTACATAAACTGGCTTTAAATAACAAGTGATATTCTTTATGTTTTATTGTCAATAAATCTCATGAAAAGAGCAGAACCAACAGTTCAACAACATCAATACATTCATACACCTCCCTGTCTGTGGCTCTTGTCCCCAATCCCTGAAGATGTCTGCCTTAAAAATAGCTCACAAATATTTGTTTCATTAAAACATAAAAAATATTTCCTAAAACAGCTGTCTGCTGTAATTTGTTAGAAATTTTGAATCAAACAGCAGGAAATCATTTGTCGGTGGCTATTTTTAGCTGCAGATTAATCCACATTTGGTGTTTAACACAATGTCCCCCAGTGCAGCAGTGTTACAACATATATACAAACAATCTTCTTGGAACAGTAATGTGTGTCTGAGCTGTCTGCTTCCACAAAAAAACCAAAACATTTAAAATCATCTCCTCCTTCCACCTCATTAAAACCTCCAGAATCTCAGAATATACAAATGTACAAAAGTTTTCCTGCTGGACACAAGATGTCTCCTACTTCACTGTAAATCCATTCTCAGTGGATGTGCACTAGTGGCTTCAAGTTTCTACATCACACTGTACAAGTTACATACTGGACCAGGATGACTTCCAGACTATTTGTGATGTCACAAATCCTGCTGGTAGGCCCCGCCCCTTAAAATAAGATGTTCAATGAGCACAGAGAAACTTTCCTCTTTCAGCAGATGAATGTGAAAACATCCTTCTAGAGTCAAACTCTGCACAGACAGCATTCAAACAGCACACTGTAGAGACAGGAAGAGACACTGATTTCTGACTGGAGGGGGACTTTAAAATCTTACGAATGGTTTGGTCCTTTAATGGAAAAGGTTGACAATTTCAAAAAATATCAGAATATCAGAAGACTAATTTCTTCAAATATGACTTTCTAGTTGTATATAAAAGACAAGTTACAACCTTGTTTGTTGCTGTGTTGCAGATCTCCTCCATGGAGAAGAACCTGAAGAGCATTGAGCATGAGAACAAGATGATCGAGGAGCAGAATGAGGCTCTGTTCATGGAGCTGTCTGGTCTGAGCCGCGCCCTGATCCGCAGCCTGGCTAACATACGCCTGCCACACATGGTGAGTTCTTGTCCACGGCCGCACATTCACACACACAGGGCTAGACCCCCTCACACACACACCTTTTTTGATTGATTTCATGCATTTGTTTGGAGGTGAATCTGGTGTTGTTGGCCAGCGTGTAGCCGTTGGCCTCCCTGCTCTTCTCAGTTGAGATTGGTTGTTGTTTGTGCCACAGCAGGAGCCAATAACCGAGCAGAACTTCGACAGCTACGTAAGCACCCTGACCGACATGTACACCAACAAGGACTGCTTCCAGAGTCCTGAGAACAAGGCTCTGCTGGAGAGCATCAACAAAGCTGTGAAAGGCATCAAAGTCTGAGGCTCCACACACACACTAACACACACACACACACACACACACACACACACACACAGGGAGAACGCAGGAGCGTGACGGAGGTGGAGATGAAGGAGAGATGTTGAAATACTCTACAATATATTGAAATATGATTCAAAAACAAAAAGGGAATTCAGGTTATTTAAATAAACGGCAACTTAAAAAAATCAACCCAGGGAGCACTCTGTTTGAAGAAAAGTGACGCGGACCAAAATCCAGACCATGCTGCTGCTGGGATTAGGAGGAGGAAACGGATCCTTCAGCCAGAACGGATGGAAAAGAAGAATAATGTTAAAAGAAACTGTGTCTGGGGGTTTTAACATGTTGTGTGTTTACCTGTTGTCTCTTTTGTGTCCTTAACTGTTTTTGGAGAGGGGGGTTTCACTGTCGATCCGTTCTTCACGCTTACTACAAGCTGAAACGCAGAGGAATGCAGGATTGCTCACGAGGAGCTGAGCGCAGGGACTCTTGGTGCCGTCCTGTAGCATACACTGGCGAGCGCGCACGGAAGCTCGGGAAGCTCTTGGATTCATGAATACACATAAGCGCCAGCAATATGGAGCATGCACTAAACCCAGTTTGTGTTTGCTTTGCGGTATTGCTGCAGCGAAGATGTCAACAGTGCAATGTTGACTTTAGCAAAGGGGAAATATTTTCTTCAAGCAAGGTCATGAAACAGATCCAGGAACAGCTGATATCAAGATTTAAAAAGCAGCAGATAAATTGTTTTTGTTTTTCCTTTTTTTTTGAAAACTGAAATGATAATAGTGTGCACACATTTCAAATTCAGTTAGTCATATCAATAGTATTTATCAGCATAGGAATTGCACTTCATTTCTATGAATAGTTATGTGGTACAATAATTATTGTTATATATGAATTATTTAAACTTGTGAACTTTTAAATTGTAACTTATTGCCATTTATGTTATTGAGGTTTATTTATTTGAAGCAATCTATTTATTAACTTTGTTTTGTAACACACACACAAAAATGCATCTTTACTGATTATCATGGTCAAAGCAATGTCTTACGTCAATATTTTAAGAATCTATATAGATAACTGACAAGGCATATTTTGTTTTGAGTACTTTTTAAAAACCTTTTTAAGTGCAGATGTTTTATAACTGACAAAAAAATGTTTTTGATAATTTTACAAAAAAATGTTATTTTTTTGGGTTGTCCTTTTTTGTTTGTGTTCTTTCTGTTACTGCTACATTCAGAAACCCACTGCTGAGAAAAAAGAAGAAAGTATGTATTTATTATTTATTTAATATGAAAGAAATTGACTGATATGGCTGTATATTTATTTTGTTATTTATGTGCGTGATGTGAGTCTGAGTAGTCTTAAAGCTCCACTGCTAATATTTAAATAAAGAAACAAAACCAATACAAATACTGTTTGATTACTTAGGCTTATACCTAGACATACCAGCAGCTGATTGTAAAAAAACAACAACAACCCAACAAAAGCAATCACTTTTCTGTTTCTTTCTGGTCTCTGTGTGTTTGCTTTTGTCAGGTAAAAAAAAGAATAGAGTTGAAAAATGTTACCTCTCCCAAGCGTCTTGTAGCGGCCAGCAATGGCTCACCCAAAACCTCTGTAATGTACCACAGATGCTTAAGTGATGCTTTTTATTTTTTGTCTTATTTATTACTTTCATCAGTACAATGGTACATATATAGAGCTCTATTCCAGCTGTGGTTTAGGCTGGATGTATGGGTCAAAAACAAACAAACACACACACACACACACACACACACACACACACACACACACACACACACAGAGTGACATATCCAAACCTTGAGGATACTGTAGGTTGGCCTCCTTTTGACAAACGTCTATCAGATAAACATACACACCCTTGTAGCCTTACTCTAGATTTTAATTTTTTGATGCACAAAGTGCCACAAAAAAAAAAAAAAAAACTTTCTTTCCTGATTCTTCGCATTTCTGCAATGTAACAATGTCTGGTCCCGGGAAGACCATCAAGAGAGTGGTGATTGTTTCAGATGCCTTTATTTCTCTGCCAAGATGGCCATTAGTACACTATATACATTCTGTATAAATAGATTTTAAAGATGCTATATATATGAATATAAACATACATATATTTTTCCAGTGTAATTGTTGACTTGCTCTTCTTCTCTTGTATTACCTTATCAAAGGACGACTCGCTGTCTGGAAGAGATGTGAGGGGTGTTATCAATAGGAGGCAGTTACACCTTATTTAATATCACTAAGACCTGCTGAACTGTGGCTTTAAACATACCATTCAGTCAAGCTGAAGGCAAAGTAGGCATTGATGATACAGTACAATATTTTGGAAGTGTTTTCATAGTTTTTTTTTCTTTTCTTTATTCGTCTGTCCTTGATCCAGAAATGTCAAAAACATCTACTGTATGTTGTACAACTGAATCTGAGAAATGACTGTCAATTTGAAACTAGGTGGTTGGCTCTTTGTTCCTAAGTGTCATGTGAGTTCATGTATAGTTAAAAAAAAAAAAGTTGATGCCTCTGAATAATGTTCTGCACATAGTGTTTGGCAACTTTGTGCAGTTATTGTATTGTTGCTGGTAAGGCCTGCTCGCCATGAGCCCCAAGTTAGTGTAACCTGCCTTTGAGTGACCTGTTGATCTGTTGCAGCTACTGTGGTGTACAATATGATACCCTTGTGTAACTCTGATGTCAAAGGCATGTTGTAAATGTGCTTTTAGCCAACGTAGAATGAAACTCCTTTGTGCACTTTCTGAATAATCGTCGAAAATGCCAGCATTGAGTCTCGACTTGTGAGGACCCCAATAGATCACAAGCAATAGCAAGTATTCCCCCCCCCCCACGCTGGAGGGAGCATTACAGTACAAAGCATCGTCAAACCTGTTTGTTGCTGTAGAAAACAAGTATCGTTATGTCAGATAGAGACATCTCTTGGATTCAGGGGGTTTAGCCCGTGCTGTCAAATGGAAAGGAAGCTGTACTTTCTTTTCCAAACAAAAAAAACCAAAAGAGATTGACAGGAAGCCGAATTTGGTTCTCAGGTGACTGGGGAGAGCTGCTAAAAGCAGAACAGAGCAATGCCATAGGTCAGCCAGTCAGCTGAGGCTAGAGGCGATAGCAGCGGCTGGATCAAGGCCTCGTGTGAAATGAGATGAGTGTGTGGGAGTGGGAAATTGATTTGTTAGGCTACACAATCTCCCCCTTGTTTTAGGAGGAGGCGTTTGTTGCATAAATATGTGTCCATCACTCAAAAGAATGTCAAAGTGTTTTATGACTTTTAAACCCCAGCCCCCTACCCCAACAACCCCCTTCTTCATGTCTTGTGTAACCTTTCCTCAGGAAAGATAGTTTTGATGCATTTGGTTAACAAAGTAGCATATCCTTCCTCTCTTGAAAATGCACGAGAATACTACCCAAGAGTGTTAAGACTGCAAATATTCTCCTAACTTATTTGATATGGCATGACCCCTTTTAAACTGCTTGATGAAATTGTCTACTAAAGTATGTAAATGAATAACACTGAGGCCATGAAAGCGTAGCATTTAAAAAAAATGTCAGCTGAGAAAGCGAACGCAACCCACGGTTGGTTCTGCGCCCACGCACTGTATGTTTTCTTATTTACATAGAAGTATTGAGTGATGGAGTGAGTTTTATTATTCAAAATAGCAAAGGAAATTAAAAAAACGAACTGGTCAAGGCCCATCTTCCCTAAAGCACCTGGAATGAAAATGAAAAATTGAACAGTATGACACTTTCAGGAAAAAACCAGCCCAGACCAAAAGCCAGCTATGTGTTTGAGATGTAGGGAGGGGAGGCGAGGGGAGGGGAGCACATTTTTGCATCTTGGTTCCATGTTAGCCACAGAAGCTGTGCTTGAACAGTCACACTTTGACGCGTACGGCGTATACAAAATGGACTCATGAGAAAGAGAATGTGTAGTTGAGTGGCACTTTTCATCAAGCTGAGCAAAACCAAAAGCCCCCTCCCCACCTCCCCACCTCCCCAGTCCCCACCCTCCTCCCCTTACTCCCTGCCGTAGTTACAAACTGTGTGGTCTTATCATGTGTGCCTTTTTCACTCTGCTCATTTCAAGATACGGTATGTTTACACTTGGCAAAGCTGGTTCCAATACTGTTGAAAACATATGGTCTGGTTCTAGATCTCTTAACCAATACTTAAGGGGGCGGGGGGTCTGGGGAGGAGAGTCACTTTGTGTATGGAAATAAAATAAATGTGTCTTTTACATGCAGGTAGAGGCCATTCTGTGACAGGGATACGAAACGACAAGCTTTTGTTAGGCTAAAGAAACTGTGATCTCATTCTGTCAATTCAGGTACCAAACTGCATGGACAGTTTCTGTGAAGGAATCTGGAGAACATCATCATTGTCCTCATCATCATCATCATCATCATCATCATCATCATCACCATCCCTAGATAATGCGTCAGTGTGCAGGGCATTATTTTGAAACACGTGGAAGTCTCTGTACATATTTGTATTAAGAAGAAACAGTATTATTGTTGTTGTATTGAAGACAAGTTGAAAATGGTTTAAAAAAAAATTTGTGACAAAGAAAAAAAAAATCCACAGCCAAGGGTTGTCCTGCTAGCACATTTTTACAGAGAAGAGCTATTTTTACTGGTGATTTTCTAGGCATTGATATTGATATCCTTTTAAAAAAGTACAAAACTTCCAAAATTACAAGCACTTCCACAACGATAGATTGTATGGTAATTTTTGTTACTTTTGTAGATGTGGTCGTTCCTTTGCTACTGCACCGTTTTGTAAAGTGGGACAGGCCTTGGCTGTGTGTCCTCGGGGTCTCATGTTTTTTGTTACTTTATTTTATTTCTTTTGTTCAGGAAGTAAAACACTGTAGATGGGCTGAATTTGTGACTGTGTGTTTGTGTACTTGTGTACATGTTCCCCTGTTCCTGTGTCAGTGTTATAACCCAGAGAAGTGATGTCAGTTATTGTGGGGGTATGAACCATTTTAAATGTTCTCTATGAAAAACACAAATAAAGAATCATAGACAAGTATGCCTCTGTTGACTCACTGTGTGCCTCTGTTTGACTCACTGTGTGTGAATCTGTGCTGTTGTATGTCTATCTTTGTTAGGACCAATTTGAGTTTTACCTTGGAAGTGAGGACATGTTTGCAAAATGAGGACATTTTGGCCTGTGCTCACTTTGGGTAGAGATTGAGGGTGAAGACTTGGTTAAGATTATATTTGGGTTAAGGTTTAGGGGTAGGTGAAGGGTTGGGGTTAGGCATTTAGTTGTGATGCTTAAGTTAAGTAGCTAGGGCAGGGGGATCCTGTAGCTCTTTAGCCCCTCTCCAGTGGCTCCCTGTGGCTTTGCCAAAATATTGTATGGAAATTAATTTCGGCTATTTTTTTTAACATTTTAATTTATTACTGCTGTAGGTTCTTGTTGACTCTCTTTGTCCTCCTGTCGAGGTGTCCTTGAGTAAGATACTGAACCCCAAATTGCTCCTGATGCCGTATGACTGTGTGTGAATGCTTAGTTTCCGTTCTGGTGAGCATCAGTGTATAAATAGGGTGAGTGTGTGGCATGTTGTGTACAGTACAGCACATTCAGTGGTCAAAAGACTAGAAAGTAGTACAGTCCATTTACCATTTAAGTCCTGTAAGGCAGAGATGTACACCAGTCTTTTTTTGCAAGTCCAAGTCAAGTCTGAAGTCTTTGGTCACGATTCCAAGTCAAGTCTCAAGTCTCTAAAAAATAAAAGTCATATGTCTCTTCTGGTTGTAATGAGCCTTCTGTCATCTGCTGCTATCCGGTCTACTAAGAATACTGCACAGCTATATCTAAGAAATTCAAAGCATTTACTGTATTATTATCACTCCTTTATCTATTTATTATATTATTTAGATTATATTTAATTACATTATTTACATCATATTAGTGTATATATATATATACATATTAGTTTGATTTTATTCATATTTATCTTATTTATTCCATTTATAAGGCCAGTTTAGGAGTAACCAGGATACATTTCACTGCATGTTACTCTGGGACTTCTGTATGTGACAAATAAAGTAATCTTGTAAATCTATCATTATTAGTCATGCAATAATAACTAATCATCCAATCTCAGTTATAGTTAGCTACATGCTAACTATGGACACAAAATGAATACCATTCAGATGCTGGTAAATAATGCAAGTGGCTGGTACTGTATGCTGCACTCACCAGCCAAAATAACAATGGTAATCTATTGAGTGGCTGGTAAAATTTCAACATTCACTAGTCTAGCCATTTTGCCAGTGGACAAAAAAGTTAAAGGTTTGCACTCTGCAACCGTATTGTTTAATTACACTGGGTCTCTCATGACACATTCCTCTATCCTCTCACTCAAACTCAGTGTAATGGTAACCTGGTAAACCTGTAACATTAACGTTACGTGGTTAACAATTAACCTGTAACCTGCCTGTAAGCCGACAGTAATAACTATGTATTTTTCGAGTCCCCATCTCTGTTGTGAGGTGGGGCCTCCATGGATCGAATCCTGATTGGATTGAGATCTGGGGAATTTGGAGGCCAAGTCAGCACCTTGAACTTGAACACGTTGTTGTGTTCCTCCTTGCTTTATGGAACGGTGCTTTATCAATTCCATGAAAGCGTGGTCTGCAACAATGTTTAGGTTGGTGTTATGTGTCAAATCAACATCCAAATGAATGGCAGGACACCATGTTTCCCAGCAGAACATTGCCCAAATTCACGCATTGCCCAAAGTCACACTGCTTTCGCCGGCTTGCCTTCTTCCCACAGTGCATCCTGGTGCCATGTGTTGACCCTGTTACTGGTTCCCCGCTATTCCTTCCTTGGACCACTTTTGATAGGTACTGACCACTGCAGACTGGGAACACCCCACAAGGCTGCAGTTTTGGAGATGCTCTGACCCAGTCCTGCTTCTAACACATCAACTTTAAGGACAAAATGTTCACTTGCTTCCTAATATATCCCACCCACTGACAGATACCATGATAACCAGATAATCGGCGTTATTCACTTCACCTGTCAGTGCTCACAATGTTATGGATGATCGGTGGATATATTGGTATATTGCAGATATATCAGTATAAAAAAAAAAGTGGTACTATATTGGTGTCACTGCAAAGTTTAACCAGCAGAGTGAGCTGTGATTTACAATACTGTGGCAAGCAGCACAGAGTAAGAGAGAAGAAGCATCTCTCAGAAATCTTAACTAGAATAGGTTGACAATGTATATTAAATTATTCAACATGTTAAAGCATATCTAACTTAAATGTTCTTTAATTAAATTATTTGTTTAAGAGACTAGTCTCCTGAGTACCTTTGCAGAGTCATATCACTGCACAATCCACATAGAAAGGTTTATTTTAATTCCAGCTCAAAAATTCCCTTTATCAGTAATTGGTGAATTTTTCCCCTCTAAAATCAGCATCGGTCTCAAAAATTTCATATTGGTCGGGCTATGGGATGAGTGTTTAGTTCACAAATGTGCTACATGTGAATCCATACCGTAATCCTGTGATAGATGGGGTTATTTCTCCAGTGTTTTGCTCCATTGATTTTCTACCCCAGTCAAAGAGACTAAGGGGAAATGACACAAAGTTTAAGTTATTTTAAAAGCCTATAAGATTCTGGGCTTTTGGGGCTGGGGCCCCAGAAGCCACCCCCACCCTACTTTGCCCCTGAACTCCAGTCTTGAGTCTCCCTAGTTAGGTGAATTCCAAATCCAAAAAGAGAATTTAATAATGAGTGGACATATTGCTTTCACGACCAACGCTTGGTCTGTGGTGATAAATTAGCATAATACAGCTCAAATATATAATATATATATATATTTTCTTTTTCAAAATAATTTTGACAGTAAATTTGGCTGACCCCTGGGCTAGGGGAATGCATTATGTCAATGATGCTCCTCACCTGTATAGAGAGACAAATTATAGTGAGTATGAGAGAGATATTATTAATCTTGCATTGCGGTAACACCAGGGCTTGTGAATAAGTAAACTGAAGTACACTGTATATTATTTATTGACACTAAGTATGCATGGCCTAGCAGTCACATAACACCGGCTTCCTCACTGGTGAACAAAATGGGGGAGTTCAGTGTGCAGTTAATGTGCAGTTACATGTAGTTTTTATGTTGAACAGCACTGACATCTGGTGGACTACACAGTGAATCAACATGTTGTGTATTTATCATAGAACTTTACAGTTTTCCTCAGTTGCTTTGGCACAGAATACAGATGTTTCATAGTGGTTGATCAGGAGCATCCTCAAATGTTTTTGTCTAATTTAGTTTAAAGGTGCAACTCCTCTGTTACTCAAACACACAACAAGGTGTGTCCATGATGATTCCTGAATATGGACCAGGCATTACATGACATGACATGAGAGAGGGCCAGCAGCCCATACACATACAACACGTAAAATGATGAAAATGAAATGATTAGTTTAATTTAAAGGACCAGTGTGTAGAATTTTGTAGCATCTAGCAGTGAAGTTGCATATGGCAACTAAATGAACACCACTCGCATCCGTGTATTTGTCAATCTGCGAATGAGAAGGGGCTGTGAAGTGTGTGGGGAAAAAATGCAAAAGGCCTTATCTACTCTGTTTGGTTCGTATGGAGGCCCATTTCTGCCAATGTGATGGGAAAAAAAGGGATTCTAAGAGTCATTATAACAAGAAACTTTCTGAAAAAATGTACATAGCATCTCAAAATAGTAATTGTGAGCTACTACGGATGTTCTACCAGTCTGTAGTGGCCAGTGTCATCTTCTTTGCTGCGGTGTGCTGGGGAGGAGACATCGGGATTTGTTGTGCCAACAAGCTGAGCAAGCTGGTGAGGAAAGGCCAGCTCGGTGGCGGGGATGGAGCTGGACAGTGTGCAGGCTGTGACTAAGAAAAGGATGAGAGGGAAGCAGAAAGATATCAGGGACAACCCGTCTGACCCTCTCTACACTGAGCTCAGGCAGCTCAGGAGCACTTTCAGCCAAAGACTGATCCAGCCCCGAGCCTCAAAGCGGTTTGAGGCTAATTTTAATTAAGTCAATATTTTGAGAAAGTTTCTCATTATGACTTACAGAATCCTTTTTCCCCCTGTCACATTGGTGGAAATGGGCTTCAACAGGTTTGTCTCTTCTTGGTAACTGTAGAAACATGGCGATTCAATATGACTGACTCTGTAGAAGAGGAATTCTGTTATCTCAACTGGCTTGAAAATTAGTGCATAGAGCAGTAAATGGGAAATAATCTCCCCAGGGGGGTGTGCCCTAGGTTTACAACATCTGCTAATAGCAAATTTAAAATATTCCCCATTTTTCTGAGGTCCCCTTGGAACTCCCTCAAAGAGCCCTGGTGGTCCCCAGACCCTAGGTTGAGAACCACTGATGTGGGTCATTGACCTTGTGAAGGCCCATAAGAACTAACTACCAGGGCTTATTCAATTAAAACTAAGACAGATAAAGGACTCAGGTCTGACATACCAAAATTAGCTCCATAAAGACACCAAAATTAGAAGTACATTAAATATGTCGTTGTTGACCGTTATTCAGTCGTTAATTAATTCAAATATAGTCAAAATATCGTTCATGTGTCCTCTCTCTGTCTGGTTTTAACCCACTTCCACAACATGGTCCCACTGGCCGGACTCTACAATGTAGGCCATCCTCCTCCAACGGACGTTACTTTACGTATAATACGTCTGACGTCAACGCGTCAGCTGGCCGAATGTTTACATCCAGCACTGGTGTGTTTCCGACTGGATCCCCCAACAACAAAAGGCTGAACAGAAGGAAAGCACTAAGCCAGAGAATATCAGTCGGCATTTCTCCAAGGTACAACACTATCTTTATCACAATTCAATATGGCGGCTCAGTGAAAGCCAGCGCTTTGTGTCGACGCCAGCAGCAGCTAGCTGTTGTCGTTCCTGTCTCGATCTTTCTTCTCTCCCAGCGAAGAATGCGGTTATTTCTGTTTGTGTCGACCTTCACACGGCATGACAGCCCGTTACAGATGTAATGTGTAGTTTACTTGTATATGCTGGCTGACTGTTGAACCGAGAGAGCTTCAACTGTAGCGTTTATTCGAAAGTGTAGCACCCGAGTGGCGCAAATAGCAACCGCAGCAACGTGCAGCAGCGGGGATGTAACGTTATGCGGTGAAATGAGCCCCGCTGGAGTCACAGGTCGCAGCTGGGACTTTTGACTATCCCCAAGAGCGGTTGGAATGAAAGAATGGACGTGTGAGCTACTTCACTGAATCTGCGAACGAATGGCGAACCCCGAACAGCAGTGTTTTGCTGAAAGCGTGTACCCCACTAGCCTACTAAACCACTTAGTTTGTTACAGAACGGCTTACAGCGCCCTCTGGTGCTCATTTGTGCTAACAGCATAAAGAAGCAGTTTGTATTCATTTCAGTCTGGATCCTCCTTCCTAGTGCTGGGCAGGATGACAAAAACACTGTATCACGGTATTTCTTTTATACGGTTCTGGCGGTTTCACGGTGTATCATGGTATTTATTTATTTTTGCATGGCTGGGGCTTTATATTGGTTTACAGTGGCATATCAGAATCACAGATACTTTATTGATTAGGGTTGTGTACTGCAACAATCTGGTGATACACTGTGTATCACAGTAATGGATTAAAATATGTGCATTATATTACAATATATAACAACAATATATATAGAAAATATATCAAATAATAGTGTGTAAAATATGTACATTATTCCTCAGTATATAACATTAATTGAAAATAAGGCATTCCAAATATTTATAGTGCAGTATATAACAGCAGTGTAATGAATGTATGCTAATGATGGGTATTATGATGCTAAGAACTGGATCCCTGAATAGGTGTGCTATTGTCAGGAGTACATAGAATATACAGGTATATAGGTTGGGAGGGTTACTTTAAAAATGTATCCAATTACAAATTACATGTTAAATGTAGTTGGTAACCTAATCCAAGATTGTCAATAATTGTTTCTTTTTTGTTACTGATAATTCTGTTACATGTAATCTGATACTTCCCAGCCCTGTATATACTGAATGTTTTGAATACTACAGGGTTTTCTTGCCCCCACAAAACTATATTGCTGCAAATGAGTAAAAAACAGAACTTATTAATAAAAAAGATATACCAGTAACGTTTGTAACATTGGCACAAAATATTTTACTGACATAAATACTAAATTTAAGAGATATTTCTCAAATGTTCTATTGCACTGACACCAGCAATATCTTAACTCGGCTAGCGTTAAGATACTGTCCACACGAAACAAATGAGTTCCAGCTGTTATTTCGACTATGGACTGGCGGTATATGAAAACTTCATATCATATGAGAAAATAAATCCCGGCACTACATGTGAAAACATGTATTTATTTTGGTGCAACAGCTACTGTTTGTTCCTTTATTAGTTCAGTGCCTGATAACATCCTCTTCAACTCTTCAGTGGCATCAAAGGCTGGAGGTCGTGTAATATTTAAATGCACATGCTCCTTTGTTCTTTTATAGCCTCATGACTGTGGCCAGCATTTGGCAGCCAGTGCACCCTGTGATCTCCTGTCCTTTGGCTTTGCCCTCTGGTGTTGTTTTTAACAGCACCCTGACCCAGCTGCAGCATTCACACCTACAGTTGTATTCTGCTGCCAAAAGCTTCAATTAGGCCTCTAAATTTGGTTGGCTCAGGCTTACCTGTGCACACAGTCTCAAAGAGCTTAGCAGTGGATGTATTTTGAATCAATGATCACAACTTTGTGCTGTCAAATCATGTACTGGCAGGTTGGGATCGTCTAGGAGTTTATCCAAGTTGTGCACATTTGAGACTAGTAATGTACCCTTCCATGCTGTGTTGAGGAATTTTATTTATGCGTCAATGAATTAATTCCAAAACATTTAATCACAATGGCCTTAACCCAGGGGTGGATTTAGAGGTGTGGCTAAAAAATACCTGGCCAACCCAGTTTGGTGGCAATGATGTCAAATTTAACACATTCATTCAGATTCATTTATAAATAACATGTTAAAACACAAATTTACAACTTTAATTGAAAGATCTCTTATGGCAACATTTTAGACTCTCTGATAGGCTTAAGTTCAATGAAAAAAAAACATGTATTTGTAAAAATGTCTGAAGATTTGCAAATAAAACAATGCCACCTTTAGACATTTATATTCAGTGCCTTACTGATGTGCAACAGTAATGTTTTTGAGGTCAATTATCTTCATTTGTGGGCTTTTCCAAGCAGATATTGATATATGTGATTGTTTGTGATTAAATTGGCATTTATTTCTGCCAGCCCTTAAAGCTGCAGTAGGTACCTTTTTCTTGCTGAAACTTTCACTATATCCTGACAGTAATTCATGGGACAGATAAGCTGTTCTTTTTGGCTCCTCTTGTGAAATACAGTCAAATATTAAAATGAAGCTATCACAGAAGGACATACTTAAAATAATTTTAGGGCTCAGACTACTGATTGTTTTCAATGTTGAACATTCTGCTGATTACTTTTTCAATTAATTGATTTATCAATAAAACAAAAGTTAAAGGATCAGTGCGTAAGGTTTATTGGCATCTAGTGTAGTTGCAGATTCTCTGTTGCTTCCCCCTACCCGGTATGTAGTATAAACTACGATGGCTGTGAAATGAGCGCAAAAACACCCTATCTAGAGTCAGTGTGTGGTTTGTCCATTCTGGGCTACTGTAGAAACATTGTGTCTTAACATGGTGGACTCCATCGAAGGAGACCTGTAGCATCTGTAAATATAAAAGGCTAAGGTAACAGAAACACAATGATTCTTATTTTATTTTCAGGTGATTATACACTACTGAAAACATACCTATGAATATTACGTTCCATTTCTGACAATAGATCCTCCTAAATGTTGTACAGTGGAACTTTAAATGCAGATTACAATTCCTCAGACCCCACGTTGATGTCTTCATGTTGCTTATTTTGTACAACCAACAGTCAAAAGGCCAAAGATATGATTTACTAGGAAAATCAGCATGTCTTCACATTTGAGAAGCTTGGAGCAGAGAATGAAGACATATTATATTATATATATTTATAATTGTTTCAGAAGTGGTTGCCTATGACGGGGTGGCTGTGACTCAGAGGCAGAGCAGGTCGTTCCTTAATCGGAAAGTTGTGGGTTCGATCCCCGGCTCCTGGTGCCACATGTCGAAGTATCCTTGAGCAAGATAGTGAACCCCAAATTCCCCCAAAATGCCGTGCATCAGTGTGTGAGTGTGTATGAATGAGTTAGTTTCTGTGTGATGGACTTTGCCATCTTTTAGTGAATGTGTGTGAAAGGGTGAATATGGCATGTAGTGTAAAAGTGCTTTGAGTGGTTGGAAGACTAGAAAGGTGCTATACAAGTACAGGTCCATTTACCATTTATGAATATGAGGATTGTGGGAGTTGTACCACTTAGGTGTGAAGATGACTTCTATATTTAAAACTTTTATTTTAAATGCAGAAGTATAGAATTTTGTCAACCCTGAAGTCTCCCATCTACAGAAATTGAAAAAAAAGTAAAGTTACATGTTCATCATCATTATCATCTGGGATCGTAAACTTTCTCTTTGCCCTCAGTCAAGATGGGTGGAGCTGTGAGTGCTGGTGAGGACAACGACGACTTGATTGACAACCTGAAGGAGGCCTACTACATCCGCTCAGACCTGGTGGAGCGGGCTTTTCGAGCCATTGACCGGGCTGACTATTACCTGGACGAATACAGGGATAATGCTTACAAGGTGAGCAACATGGAAGTGTGTGGAATCCCCCAAACAGGGTCCAAAGAAACTCAGAGAATACACGATAAAACTGGATATTTATCATGTTTTTTTTTAAGTTTCAAGAGTTTGATTTATCGTTGTTGTCGTTAGGATTTGGCATGGCGGCATGGAAACATCCATCTGTCTGCTCCGTGTATCTACTCTGAGGTGATGGAGGCCTTGGATCTCCATCCCGGCCTCTCCTTCCTCAACCTTGGCAGTGGGACTGGCTACCTCAGCACCATGGTTGGCCTCATACTGGGTACGTGGTTAACTGCAGCAATTCAGCATGCATGTCTTTATTATTGTTCTGGTATCTCAGAGTAAACATATTAGCAGCATGAAGGCCATCAGCAACGCACCAAGCATGAAGTGGTTCCAGTGAAGCAATCCTGCAGGGCTGATCCAGTGTGCTAACTCCCAACTGCAACATGCCTGGATTCACGTTATACTTATAATATAATAATCTGATTTATAGGCCTGAAAATGTCTTAAATATGATTTTGACAGGTCTTATAAAACAGTTGGGTTAATGAAGTTAATTTTACTTATAAAATTGCATTTTTTTCTCTTTTAAAGTTTTTGGAAAGATTTGTATTGATCATGCTGTAACAACTACAAAACTAAACCAACAAGCAGCCAGTAATGATTTTCCTTCATATCCTTTGTACTTTTTAGCCAGTATGGACGTAAAATTATCTTATATTGCATTCATAATGGTCTTAATAAGGTGTTTAAAAGTCCTAAATTGAACCTGTTGTGACCATAAAGCATAGTCTACCTTGTCACTCCCCACTCTCTGCTATGCTGTGATTGGTGTTTCCTAGTGGGTAGTGACAAAGTTGGACACCAAATATCACCGCTGTGCATATTCTACAGTCACATAAAAATCTATTATTATAACTCATCTGGTAGAGCATTGGCTGAGTCCTTACCGCAGCGGACTGGGTTTGATTCCAACCTGCTGCCCTTTGCTGCGCGACGCCCCCCCCCGTCTATCTTCAGCAGGGTTACTAAGTGCTTCTTAATAAAAGCATTCAGCAGGAAATATTAAAAAGTAAGAAACAACATAAATAACGTTAGGAAAGCTTCGATCAACTTAAAGTTGCTATATGGACACAGTGACTGACAACAGTTTTCAAATATACTTAAGTGATCGACAGGTAATAATTAAAATGTAATACTGCATTATAACACTGAAGTAATGTGCTCGCTGTGTTTTGTCTTTGCTCAAAGATGGGCTGTTGCAGTTTGGCTGAGCTTCATTCTGAGAGTAGAATGGATTAGCAAAAAAGTATTAGGGCTGTGCATTGGCAAGAATATGGCAATACAAGACATATCACAATACAGGGGTTACAAATCAGTATATTGCAATACTGTAAGCAAGATGATATATTGCGTTTAAAAATATATATAATTGCAGGATAACTGTCCTAGTATAAAGAACATCCCATCTGATGATACAACAGTATCACGATACAGGGGTTACAGTTCAGTGTATTGCTGTATATTGCGATACTGTAAGAAACTTTCATGGTATAAAGAACAAACCATCATATGCAAGAAATCTGAGTAAAAAATTTACTGGCGAGAATCTGGTGATACTATACGTATCATGATACAAGGGTTACAATTCAATACTGTACACAAGCTGATATATTGTTTTTTTTATAATCTTAATTTAGGAAAACTTCCATTGTATAAAGAACACACCAGCATATGTATAAAGTCTGAGTTAAGAAAGTGACCATAACAGCGGGATTTGCACTTGTCCTTGTAACATCCAACATCTCAGCCCTCAGTTTATGTTCACTACTTATGTTCTAGCAGTTGGGGGTTTAAACACAAATCAATAGTGGTTTTGTGAATCTATACAACATCACAAAACAAATATATTGTGATAGTCAAGTGTATCCATATTTTCAGCCCTAGAAATTTATTTCTCACTCATTTCAAAAGATACAGTATGTCTGGAATATAGAGATATTTGGGGAAACCATGGTTGCTCAACTTTCTTAATATAAATGCAAAAATCTAGAGGGTGTATAACTATGCAGCTCCAATTTAAAGAAATGTGATTAAAGCCTTGGACACATTACATGACTTGAGTTGTCAGATCTTTGTACTGTTCACACTACACAACTTTCAGTCTTGTAACTGGGAGTCTTGAAGTTTTCACACTACATGACTGATCAGCAACAGGGGGTCACACTCTGACTGGTTTCCAAACTAACTAAACTCATAACTAACAGCAGGTAATGTCAGCTAGTGTTTCTGTAGTGGTGACAAAACGTTAAGAATTATATCTATTATCAGTTTGAACTGATACACTAAAAGCTCCCTGCACCAAAATTGACTTAAACACTTTTGAACAATTCCTTATGTGTCTGTAAAAATATGTCGACAGTCCTCTTGTCAAATCGGCATCAATATAATCTATAAAGATCGTAAAGAGCGGTATTCTGTACAAAGTGTACATTTTGTTTTGAAGTGTATCGATGTTCTGAATGGCCTAATGGCCTTCATAATCATAATCACAACTGCATACTTGTGTTGAATGACATTATAAACATATGTTTTTGTCCATGTAAATGTGGGTTATGGTGTGCTAACTGTTCCAGGACCATTTGGAGTGAATCATGGAATAGAGTTACATGCCGATGTAATTGAGTATGCCTACCAGAAGCTTGACTCCTTTATCAAAACCAGCGACAGCTTTGACAAGTAGGTGTCCAAATGTGTCGGTGACATTCAATTGTGTATCGCATTTATTTTTCTCTTGTTCTCTTTCTGTCTGTACATTGTTCTCCTTCGCTCCTGTGTCTCTCCTCAGGTTTGAGTTCTGTGAGCCGTCCTTTGTTGTGGGGAACTGCCTGGAGATCCCCCCAGAGAGCCGTCAGTATGACAGGGTGTACTGTGGGGCCGGGGTGCAGAAGGAGCATGAGGATTACATGAAGAACCTGCTCAAGTTAGGGGGCATCCTTGTGATGCCTCTGGAGGAAAAGGTTTGTGTTTTCACAGAGAAACCGAGATACTTCAAATCTGTGTTTTTGCCTTCTCATTTTGCATAGGCATTTTATAAGCAACTATAAACTTTGAACAAATGGTTTACAACACATTATGATGTAGTTGTAAGCAGATGTTTATTTATAAGTGTTTATTAATGTAATTATTGAAAACTATAAGTCTTCTGTGGAAACCAGTGAGTGGAAGCTGATGTATAAATAGATAATAGACTGCTTGTAATAATAGAAAATGTCTTTATAGGAGTCAAGTTATAACTGCTGACAAACATGAACATTACTGAACATTACATAAAAAATGTAATTTATATCTCAATCTCTTATCAATTATATTAGTGTGTTTCCAACCATTGATTTAATGAAATGTTTTATATCACTGTCATCTTCTTGTCCATAATTATTCATGTGTATCTGTGTCTGGAAATCTTAGTATCTTCTTCTTTGATTGATATTATATTGTATGCAAAGCACTTTGTAAAATGATCCCAAAGATTTTCAATATTTTTGAAACATGAATGATGTGTGCCCTCAAAGATATTACAGTATATCACATTAACACACATTGTAAACACTACAATTTAGGCTATTCAAAGAAAGCTGCTTGTTTTAAGTTACCGAATTAAAGCTGCACTAGGTAACTTTTATAACAATAATTTTGTCGTATTTGATGAAACTTTCACTATATCCTGACAGTAGTACACAGGACAATAATCTGTGAAAAAATCAGGTTCCTCTGGCTCCTCCTAGTGCTCCTAATGGTATTTGCAAGAACCCACCGGGCCTGAACGAAAACAACCAATCTACTGCAGCTTTACATCAGCTGAGAAAACAATACTACACAGACAAAAACAAAAAAGCAACAACTTCACCCTGTTGTATTTTCTGCAGTTGACCAAGATCACACGTACAGGGCCAAACAGCTGGGAGACCAAAAAGATCATTTCTGTGTCCTTTGCTCCTCTGGTGCTGCCTAAACACAGCACAAATGGCAAACCCAAGACTGTCCCACTACGTGAGTCTCCTTTATTTAAATTCAAAAATACAAATAAGTATGAATATTGATACAATAATATGAAAAGTATGAATATAGATATCAGTATGTTATGTCTAATTGACCTTTCTTAAGCTCCAATAAAGTGCTGCAGGAATGAGTCCTAAAACCCAGGACTCCTTGAAGTCAGTAGATACCCCACCTGTGAATTGTGAAGCTTTTACATGTCCTAAAAAAGGTGGTTGCTAACAAGTGTCTAAATGAGATTGCATAGGTTGTCGGTGACATTAAAACACGGAAACTATCTATTCACTAGTCCGCTTTTACAGCCTTGTTGTGTTTATACTCTTGCAGACAATTAAACTTAAACTTTACAACTTGTAGATTTTAATCACAAGATTTAATTACAAGTTGGAAGTTTAGTGTTGGTGACATTGAAGTCAAGTCACGGCTTAGTTTGTTTATAGCCTGACGTTAGCTTTTTACTTTTGGTGATCGCATTTACACTTCAAACCGCAGAGCTAATTCTCTGCAATAATCCAAAAGCTTTTTTTGGAAGGAAACAGGGTGATGCTAACTTTCAGGTTGGCTGACAGAAATTACTTGTCTAGACACTACTTAAGGGTCACTGCTTCACTTTTGTTGTCTTTCCACCCTGTTCTTGCTATTTTCATTTCCATTCTGTTTTCTCATGCTCATGGTTCTCAATTTTTGCAGCCAAATATGAGGTACGGTCGTTACAGGAGCTGGCTCGTATCTGCATCCGCCACACCCTCAGAGTGACCACAGATGGAGGAGACAGCCAATCGCGCGGCCGAGGGTCCTCATTCAGCGTGGGCAGGGGCTTGGCAGTGGCTGGGCTCCACAAGTACGGCCCTCGCTTCAAACGCCGACGCGTCCACCGGCGCCACTGCAACGCTCTGGTCCTGGCCACCCGCCAGGTGGTGGCCAGCAGTGGCATCGGTCCCGCTCCTCTGGACAGCAACAACAACCAGGGAGTGAGAGAGGAGGATGAGGAGGAGGCGGGAGAAAGGGAGGTGAGGCGGCAGATGAGAGGGAGTAGGAGGCTGGGGAGGGGAGCCGGGGGGGTAGTGGAAGAGGAGGAGACGGTGGAGGAAGAGGACGAAGAGGAGGAGCAGGAGGAGGAGGAGGAGGAAAAGGAGACCGGGGAACTGCTCCGACCCCAGCCAGCCGTGAACATCCTCAGGGAGCGGATACTGGGCCTGCCACTGCCCGAGCCTCTGAAGATGTACCTGCTGTACTACAGAGAGAAGTGAGCCCCGCCGTAGCCACAGCCAGGTCCTGAGTCAGAGCCCAGAGCTGACAGCAACAACGTGACCCCACCACCACCTGTTCAAGGCAGGACCCCAGCTCCACCGTGGCTCTCTTTCTCTCTGTTCTCATCCTCTCCATCATCCATTCTCTTTCCCACTCCCTCTTTTTGCCCTGCCACCCACTGTACTTTCATTTCCTGACATTATGAAAAGTTGGTCCAATTTGTCCAGTGGAGGAGGAGGAGGAGGAGGAGGAAGGTGGGAGGGTTAAGCTGCTCTGGGAAAACAACGTTTCAGACAAGCAAACAGTCACTGATGTAAACTTTGTGTCTCCTTTGAGGTGCAAAGACATATATATTATATAGATAGTGGTACATAACACACTCAAGCTCTCAATGCCTAACAACAGCTTAACAGCCCACAGCTGCCTGAGCACCGCGGCTTATAAAACTTCTGTGGTGCTGACAAAGAGAACCATCACTTTTTAGTCTACAGCGGCATACACATTGTGACACAGTTCAGACACTGTAGAAACAAGGAGAAAGAGAGAGCTCTTTTCTGTCTGCTGATTACAGTCCAAAGTTTGACATCATACGCTAAAAGCATAGGCCGGTTCGTGCATAAGGCGGTGCGTGTTATCATCTAACGGGGGATGGTTGGCCTAAAGCTCAACTGTGTGATTGAAGAAAATGTGTATTTAATGAGTTCTCAGTCGCTCTGTCATATTTAATGATATCATAGCTGCAGCCAGTGGGCAGGATGGTGCAGCGGTTGTCATTATATCCAAATAAATATGATGATTCAGCTGAAATGATCTGCTTCTCCAAGGCCAAGGGTCAGTAATCATTTCAAGCATTTTAGGAGACTAGTTAATATAGTGGAAGGTTGTTTTTTCCCCCTTTTTCTATGCATACGTTTAATTGTACGAGTTGTCTCCGGACTTTGTCACATGGAGATGACCTAAGTCCTTCCATGTGTATCCAAAGGGCAGTGTTTCTCTACATCCCATCAAATTCTCTTAACCAAAAGAGAATGACCATAAAAGATGACATACTTACTAATATTCCAATTTACATAAATAAACCAGCATGATAAAAACAAATAACTAATGTTTTTGATGATTGACAGTGTGCAGGCTTTCTCTCGCCGTGCTATCGGTATTTTTTTTTGTTCTTGTAATATTTAGATTTTTGAATTTTATGAGACTTGAAGTGGCGTGTACATATAAAATTGTTGTATGTTTTGTTTTGTGAATCATAAAAAAAAAAAACACGAAGATACTTTGATAAGTAGAGCAAGTATCTTTTATCACAGTGTTTTCTGTTGTAGTTTCTAGTTAGATGGGGCATTATTCCTTTGTAATTTTTGCTTTTGTACCAAACTTTCTGCTCCCTTCTGTGCCAAACCTCGGTTGCATGGACTGAATTCTCGAGAGGAAGATCAACAGCAAGTCGTTCGTCTGAAGAAAAAGACTTTTTATTTCAAAAACTGCTCCACGACTGCTGAAACGATGCCGGTGGTTGTTTGTGTGCGTTTTTATCATGTAAAGCTTTAGAGTACTCCCATATGAAAATCTGTATCTGAAGAATGTCTGTGAAGAATAGCAAAGTGATCTTTGCGCCCTGCATCAGTAGACAGTTAATTATGGATGTAATCACAACAATAGGAGGACTTTGAGAACGTCCAGCTTATAGTGGGGAGGATCGTGTCCAGAAAGCAGCTTCTCATCAGGTCAGGAGACTCAAGTCTTTTCTGAGTCCTGCTGTGTGAGATGTCATGCTACACTATTTGGCCCTTCTACCATTTCTGCTGCTGCTGGATCTGCCTTTCAGTACTGTATGTACACCATTCCTGTACTCAACACGAGTACCATTCATGTTCGGTTGTTGTGATTCTCTGCTGAATGTATATGATCACGATGGGGGTTTCTTTGGCACTTAACATTATGTTTTGGTGCGAATGACTTGCTTGTTTTTAAGGTTGAGCTGTATTATTAACTGCTGTTAATAAAGTCCGTTATACAAAAGGAACTCCAGTTGCAAGTGAAATCATTTGATCAGCTCAGGCAGCCGCTGCTTGTTTGTACCCAGTGGTAGAAGAAGGATTTAGCTCATTTACTTTAGTAAGTACAAAGTGCTAATACCACACTATCAGCGTTCCAATGCATCCTGGAAAACCTGGAAATTTAGAGACTAGTTTTCCAGTCATGGTAGAGCTTTGATTCTCTGTTTTGGTTGAACACCTGCAGTGATATTTTCAACATTGAGTCTATTTTTTCCAAAGTTGTGAGCAAAATTGTCATATTTACATTTATAGCATCAATTTTCTTGTTTCTGTTACTGATAAATAGATGCACAGTGATGTTAATTGTACGTGCACTAACTTTTCTGTCAAAATAAATTCTACTGATTTGAACTGTTACTGATAGGCTGGGGCCAAATTAATGTAGTTAATGTGTTCAACTGTTTGGTGGAGCACATTTTGAGTAACTATATCTTATTGAAAAATGTTGAATTTAACTCTATACCACTTAGTTTAGGTCTATACCATTTTATACTTTCTATTCTAGAAAAATCCTTTGGCTTTAAAGAATCTGCCTGTTGTAGTTCACCTCTTACAGGAAGTTAGCGACTACAAACATGACTCTTTTTGGTGAAATTTTCAAGGATAAGCATACTTTTTCAACACATCAAAGAATCTGAAGTCTTACTGAACAGTATTATGTAACTTGATACAACACTAAAAGAGTTTGGTACAGATCATAATTTTCTAAAAACAGGCTCTACCAAACAAGTTGTTTGTCCTTTTAGGGTAAGTAAGTAAGTAAGTAAGTAAGCTTTATTTATATAGCACCTTTTTGACACAGAGATCCAAAGTGCTTTACAAACAACAAATAAACATAAGGGTATAACCATACCCAATCAAACAAACAGGGAGCATGTAAATACAAACAAAGTAAGATAAAAAAAAAAGAGGGAAAGAATAAATTAAAAGAGAGACGACAGATGAGGAAACAAACACGAGACTTGCCTGTAGAGGAGGGTTTTGAGCAGCCGCTTAAAACAGTCCAGAGATTCAGTGAATCTGAGTGATTGGGGAAGAGTATTCCACAATGTTGGGGCTAAAACAGCAAAGGCACAGTCACCTTTAGTTTTACAGTTAGAGAGGGGAACGCAAAAAAAAGGCAGAGATTTGAGGAGCGAAGTTGCCGAGGAGTGGAATGAGGAACAAGGAGATCTGAAATGTAACTGGGGGCAAGGCCATGAAGTGCCTTATATGTAATCAGTAAGATCTTATAATTGATTCTGAATTTTACTTGAAGCCAATGAAGGGATGCGAGAACTATTTTTATTACTACAGTTACTATTATTACTATAATCACTGCTCATTGTCCTCCATCGTTGTTGTCGTCGCCGTCGTCGTCGTCATCATCTTCTTCATGTTCATCATCAGTCACTACTATTAGTGTAGTTGTTGCTACTGTTGTTGCTGTGCACCTCTCTCTCTCTCTCTCTCTCTCTCTCTCTCTGTCCTTCTGTCGTTACCTCTGCTCTCTCTCTTTCTGTCTCTCTGTCTCTCTCTCTCTCTCTCTCTCAACCCAACTGGTCGAGGCAGACGACCAACCACCTAAAGCCGGGGCCGGCCGAGGTTTCTGCCTCTTAAAAGGACGTTTTTCCTTGCCCTTGTCGCCAAGGTCTTGCCCATGGTGGTACTGTTGGGTCTCTGTAAATAATGTTATAGAGTTCGGTCTAGACCTGCTCTATTTGAAAAGTGTCCTGAGATAACTTCTGTTATGAATCGGCGCTATACACATAAGATTGAATTGAATTGAATTAAAGAATCAGTACTTTGGCCACCTCTGCTTTGTGACGATGCATTTTCAATCTAATCAAAGAAAGTTTTTAAATAATTTATTTTGTTAGAAGTAGGAGAATTTTCTCATCACATAGAGGAACACTCCATCCTTCAGTTCACCATCAAACATTCACACTCATCAAATTTGGAGATACATGCTTTTCACCGGACAGGAAGGTATGAAAAATTGCAATCTGTAAAGTAACTAAAGCTGTCAGACAAATGTAGTACAAAGTAGAATACTTCCCTCTGAGATATAGTGGAGTACAAGTATAAAGTAGCATAAAATTGAATACTCAGGTAAAGTACAAGTACCTGGATTGTGTACTCATGTACTGTACATGTATGTGTCTTGAGTAAATGTACTTCCACCACTGTTGGCCTTACAAATGTTTTATCATCATGATTTAAAAACAGAATATTAAAATTACTATTATTTTTTTTTGAGGATAAGTTAAAAAAAAATAAAAAAAAAAAAAAAAAAAAAAAAAATTAAGAAAAAAAAAAAAAAAAAAAAAAAAAAATATAACCTGCTTACCACACTGGGGGGGGTTTGGAAGAAGAGAAAAAAATTTCCAATCTTATTAATTCATTACTAAAAAGCTTTAGAACAGAGACCTGATATTTAACAGCCCACATTTCATTCTCTTATTTTGTGCTACTGAGGGGGGGGTTTTAATTTTTATTATATTTTTATGTTGAAAACCCCTTTTTTTTATTTTTTTAAAAATTTAAGGGGGGGGGGGGGGGAAAAAAACCCAAGGGGGGTTGGGGGGGGGGGGGGTTTTAAAAAAAAAAAAAAAAAAAGGGGAAAAAAAAAAACCCCCCCCCCCCCCCAAACCAAAAACTAAAAAGAAAAAAAAAAAAAAAAAACAAAACAAAAAAAAAAAAAAAAAAAACCCCAAAAAAAAAAGGGGGAAGAATCACAAAAAAAAAAAAAAAAAAAAAAAAAAAAAAAAATTAAATTCCCCAAAAAAATAAATAGGATGCTTTTTCTATCATTTAGTAAACTGACAAAGTGACATATTTTATAGATATTTCATATTATATTAAATGTATTACAGTAACAGTAGAGCTGATAAACTGTACAATGAACCCAAACAGTGAAACACAATAACTGCAGGGAGTTTGTGTAAAACCAGAGATTTGGATGAATTTTAAGGCCGATTATTTCCTGTGAATATTGATCAGAGATGGGTTTTCCTGATATTTTTATACAATTCTCTGTCTGTATGATGTATTTTCTTTAACAATAATCATACAAATGTAACAATCATACATACTTAAGAGGCTTTTTTTTTCAATTTCTAAGTAAGTGGGTACTGATTTCTGGAAAAAGTTTTTCAAATGTTTTTTTTTCTTGGTGCTTTGGGGACTACTAGCCGTAGTCGAGTGCCACCTGGTTTATTATATTGGAAAGAAGGATGACGTCTTCAGAGCTCAGCAACTCACACCAAAACAGTGTAGATGGATAAATTGCACGACGCACTTGTGATTTTGGGGTGAACTTTAAATAAAACAACACAACTCAATATATATATATATAATTGAATTGTCTTTAATATTCAAAAGAAATTAAACAAGTAAAGACACAGCCAGCCAAAGACAGTGCCCCAGCAGAATGTCATTTGGCTATAAAAACAATACCAGCACATAAAAGTAGGTCACAGATATGGAGTTTGGATCCAGTGATGTAGCTATGGGATACAGATGCAGATGCATTCAATTAAATTAAGACATTCACATTTTGCTTATCAAATTCCTATGAATGATGAATACTCACACAACCAAACAAGCTAGGTCAGATCATGCGGCAGGTATACAGCATTGCAGTGATAGTTACGACAGTTAGGCCTTATTCTAAAGATTATGTTTATGAGGTTAAATGTACAGTGAACTTGTAAATACGTGCAGTCTCCACACTTCCCTAAATCAACACTGTGCAACAGTTGACCTGCACGTTCGTCTTCCACGTGGAGAACCTATCGACTAAAGCATTTTTAAGTGCACACACACACACACACACACACACTCACACTCCCTCCACCTCACACACACACACACACACACACACTCACACTCACACTCACACTCACACTCACACACTCACACTCACACACACACACACACACACACACTCACACACACACACAGAAGAAGATTAAGGACACACAGAAAAAAGGTTTTCTGACTTCTGTCTTTAAAATCAGAACTTAAATAAATGTTTCACATGTGGCCCTAATCTTCTTCGGAAGCAAAAAAGCCTTTACCTTGCTGAATAAAAAAGAAGACACGCACATGTATGATGAAAAAAAAATAACATTTCAATATTAAATTACAAAGCTAAAAAAATAAAACATTAATCTATTTTAAAGGAAAAAAACTGAATCAAAATGTATATCTACATCTGTTTATAAAAATGAAAGATTATAATAAGTTAATTTTTTTTCAACCCATTTTTTAATTTTTTTTTATATATCTGCAAAAGTGACTGAGAATTGCCTATCAACAAGACTATAATCATTGTTACATATCTAAATACATAAGGTATGCAGGCATGGGTCCAACAGCAAAAGAGCTCCTTTAACAACAGGCTGGGTGGCTCTTAAAGCTGCAGTAGGCAACTTTTCTAAAATACCCTTTTGTCATATTTGCTGAAACTTTCACTATATCCTACTCCTAGTGCTCCAAATGGCATTTTTAAGAATCCACCGGGCCTGAACAAAAACAACCAATCAGAGCCAAGAATGATAGCTGATTGTTGAGTCTCATTCCCAGGATATCAAATACAGACACTTTCAGTTCCAAAGCTTCAAGCCATCAACTCAAAGCGTCTATATTTGACGCCCTCTAGGAGGAGCCAGAGGAACCCGATTTTTTCACAGATTATCTGTCTCATGAACTACTGTCAGCAAATATGACAAAAAGTTATTTTCATAAAAGTTACCTACTGCAGCTTTAAACAGACAACTGCACAAGTCACAGGTATTTGAGAGGATTTCATTTGCTGCTGCACCACAGCCTGTTAAAATGTCACAGTGGGTTGTAAAACCCTACACAGTAGCAGCGAGCGGACAGCACACCCCTCACAGTTAGAGTATGGGGAACAGAGAGCAGCAGAGAGGCAGGCTGAACCATGGAGGTTAAACTGCATATTATTCACCTGTAGGCAAACAAAAGGAACGGTTTGTGTATTCAGATGCATTCAAGTCCATATATGTGAGTTCTGTGGCACCACTGCAGTACTGTTTAGCGCTCAGGACTCCCCTGGGGTTTTATTTAGTGTTCTGTTAGACCAATCAGTTCTTTCCAAGGACCACTCAGACCAATACAAAGCCCTCTGCTTCCCTTGCCTTCCTGTGGCCCTTACCCAGAAACCTGGGGGTGGTTGCATGCAGTGTCCAAATGCTCTGCCTCTCCATATGAGTGCACCCCTTTCTGAAAGGAACGTCGGGACCACACTAATAGCAATTCCCTGATGCCGGAATAAATGATTAGATGAGAAAAAAAAAAAAAAAAAACACTGGCCAATAAGAATGTGTGCATGCTTCATATAAAAGGAGCAGAGAATGAGGACACAGGTTAAGGCACCTTGGAACCCTGATAAATCTGAGGCACATTCCAGGACAGTAACTTTGAAGTGATCCAGGGTGTGGTTAGCTCTGATCTCCTGCTCAGGTGTCAGGTGGCCCGCTGCACTGTCGTGCACCCTAAAATGAGTCCGCAGTGGGCGTTTGTGTAAATGTGTTGAGCTCTCTCCCGTCGTTCCCCACCTCCGTCTCATATGCCCCAGGAAGAACAGCATCTACTGATTACAGCAACTTGTGACAGAGTCTGTAGTGTGCTTTACTTTCTGGCCTGTGCATTTACAAGCATACAGAGTTAAAGGAGCAGTTCCACATTTTAGGAAATTCAAAATGTTTTGATTGTGTATATGCTACATATGAAGCCAGAGCTAGCAGCTAGCCCGTCTCTGTCCATTCGCCTACTAATGAACATTGACCACAATTTATCTTGTTTGTTTAAAGGACCAGTGTGTACAATTTAGTGGCATCTAACGGTGTAGCTACCAATTACAACCCCCTTGCCTCACCCTCTTGTTCCAAGGGTGTAGGAGAAACTGTGGTGGCCGTGAAATTCGGAAAAGGCCCTGCAGTTCCTCTAACCGCCACTTGAGGCTGGCTCGAGCGTTGAGTCAGTCTAAAATGCCTAACTTTACAGCAGAAATAAACATGTTTTGGTACAAAAAACACTTTTGCTCTCTATAGCTAATTTCTCCCGTTCATGACAACTATACGGGGTTGAACTTTTATAGCACTCACCTATTTTAATTATTGGGCTTAAAGTGATGCATAATTAAGGGGCGTGGTTGGTTTGAGTGACAGGAGGGTACAGTCACAGGCAGCTGTTTTCAGTAACCAGGCTAAATTCACGCTCCAACTTTGACCATTTTTGGATTAACTGGGAGCCAGGGGAGTCAGGACTACGAGGATACCAGAGCCGACCACACTGAGCTTCACAACGGCTCGTCCATTTTTATTTACACAGTCTATGGTTTCTACCAACGGATTCTCCTAAATGTTACACACTGGACCTTTAATCCATACACAAACAGAAATGTGAAAGTGACTGTGGTTTTGGCAGGAGGCGCATGCTAGAAATATTTCATAGCTGGCCACGCTGACTTCTTGGGGTCTTATTGTCACCATGAGGTTGCCTCTACATAATACCACATGAGGGGGGTACTGGTCTTCTCATCTCACTCTCTGAAACCAAGCCAATAGGCTTATTTCCCAAAATGTTGAAGTATTCCTTTAAGACATAAACGACACATGCACAAAAGACTTATCACAAGACCAACAATGGAAGGAACAGCGCAGTTTGACATAACCCGAAATGTTCCATATTCTGACAGCGACGTAAAGACACACACAGATATGCGGCCTGACATACAACACACACACAGCCTGTTGGTGACAACTGCAGAGCTGCCCAAGTCCATGTGTCATAACGTCAACCCCACGCCCCCCACCCATGTCCACACTTACAGTAAGAGACTACAACACACAACACGGATCTGGGAAGATAGGAAGAAGTAGTGCATTGAGGATACTGCAGTCCATCAAGGGGGGATTGTAAGCCCACCTTCATTTTTTTCCTGTACATTAAGAACATTGTGACACATAGATAACATAGATAAGACATCTGTGGCATTCAGCCAAATGTAGGGAAGGATAACAGCAGTGTAGAGTGATGTGAGGCTTCATGCGTGGCTGCTGTCCTGGTGTTGTACTGACTCCCTCTCAGGATGAGGGGTTTCACATCTCGAAGATGAAAAGCTCATGATAACAGTTAATAGTGGTGTGGTTACAGTTAAAACCTACAAAGCAGCATTAGTCTTAAGTTTATCTCTATCGTCATCTTGAAACTACTCGAACAAAACAAAACCCATTCTCTCAAAGTTGAGTCCCAAAGTGGCAAGGTGCACGAGAGAGGTTGGTGGTGACATTTAGTGGTAAAAGCTGTCACTTGGGCACCAGGCCGCGGGATTGTGGGTACAGCGGGGATCCTGGGCTGGAGGGGCTGAATGGAGAGGTTGGGGTGCTCGACTTCTTGCCTGTTCTTGGCCGACTGAGGAAGCAATGACAGAGGATTAAACATATTGTTGGAACGACAGCTAGGGTTTCTTTGCTTCCTGACCAAATGTGCGAGCACCAGCCTGACCACAGTATATGCCTCTTGCAAATGAACATAATGACAGCTGGAGGAGAGCTACGAGGTGTTTGCCTTACCCAGACTTTGGTTTCTTGAGGCTGCTGCTGCTGCTGCTGGCGGGTGGGGTTTGTCCCAAGCTGCTGTGAAAGCCTGAGGCATCGACCTGGATCTCATCCTCATCCCTTAGAGCATCCTCCAGAGCTGCCGCCACCTTTGGGGCGATAACCGGCTCCTGATACTCTTTAGTGGTCCGAGCTGGCAGGTCCATGTCCAGCATCATGATGTTTTCAGCCTGGGGGAAGGGAAGCAGAACAGAAGCACACACTCACCTGAGATAAACAAGTTAATCCATCCACATACTTGATTCACTGACCAACACTGTTAATACTACACTGTACTGTAGTGTCATCAGTACATCGAAGCCCACCCATTTGGCTTAATCAGTGACAGATAATGAGTGTGTCATGAGTGGTCGTTTATATGCAGAGACCAGTCACTGGAGGGTTATCAGTGAAAAATGTGAGGAGGGTGTGAAGCTTACTTTGTATCTCATGTCAGGCCTCAACATCATGGCCATGTGAGCATGGTGACTGAGAGGCCTCTTGTAGCCAACCGCAGACAAAGGCCTGGTCATCATCTGATGGTCACTGAAGGAGACACAAACAGTGTATACAGCATCGTGGGAACATTGAACTGTTCTATAACACAGCATGCTGGTGTTAAAATTATTACCAAATTTATGAAAATGCATTTTTTTAAATTTGCTAAGTGGGAAGGAGCTAGCAGAATTAATGGGTGTAGTTAGAATTTACTCTTATTTTAATCTCTGATAATTCTTTAGATTAATCTATTAACCATTTGTCAGAAAATAGTGAAAAATGTCCATCCCAGGTGCACAAAGTCCAAGGTGATGTCTTTAAATCTATCATTTTGATGATCCATAACCCAAAAGTTATTCACTTTAATATGCTATAAAACAGAGAAAAGCTATTTTGAGAGGCACTTTCTGCCATTTTTGCACAAAAAATTACTTAAACAATTAACCGATAATCAAAAGTTGGTGATTATTATTTTTCTGGCAATTAACTAATAAATTAATTGACTAATTGTTCCAGCTCTAATCGTGTTTGGCCGTGTTCAAGGCAATCATTTCAAATGGCAAATGAATGGAGAAGAGGTAAAAACTGACCATACATTACTGGTTCCACTCCTGACTCAGTGACATGTTTTATGGATATTTCATATTAAATTCAAAACTGTACAATGAACCCAAACAGTGAACTCAGTAGTTGCGTAAACAGAGTGATTCTGATTCATTCTGAGCAGATTATTTCCTGTTTAGGGAACTTTTTATGCAATTCCCAGTCTGTATTATCACACAGACTTAATAGGCTTCTTTTCTGACAAATTTAGTGTTTTCTTGTCCCTGATGCTTGGCCACTGTTCTATTGGACAATTTACTTTACATTTACTTTTCCAAACCAAATGCTGTGAAATGTGAACCAAATGCTGAGATATAAGCCTACTATGTATACTGTCATTGAATTTTTTTACACGCCATAAAATCAAGAAGGCCTTGTGACCCCCCCCATTAAGCTTTTGGTGGGTCCCATCCCCAAGGTTGGAAACCACTGTAATAAACAATACTGCCACAAACCGTGCTCGTCCTAATTTTGACAGCTTTTACAAACGTGTATGTTCCAGTTGGAGCACTACATGAAGAATGTACAAAAAAAGCGTGTTATTAATATTCTGGAACTCACTCCTCTAAACGTGTGATGGGCTTCATTTTCCAGTATTCATCCTCCTCATCAAAGTAAGCCCTGTTTACTATTTTGTTCTTCTCCTCTAAAGGAATGAAGTTCTCGATGATAAGATGCCTGAAAAACACACAGACAAGTAATTAGACAGAGGCAGTAGCAGGCAGACAGACAGACAGACAAACAGAGAAATAAAAGCAACACAGAAAAGGTCAGATGAGACCGAACAAATATAAACACACAGACAGTATAGTCTTGTGACTCCTTCCCTCCTGTGTGTTATTATTTATTACACTGAATCAGGAAGTCTACTGGTTTGGGTCTGTGGTCAGAAATAATATGCCTAATTCAATTCAGTTCATTAATAATTATACATTTTAGAGGAATTGGGCGGAAGAGAACTAACCATCTGACCAGATCCTGAGAATGCAATAGTACAAGTTAAAAACCCTTTTCTCCTTCTTATGCACTATTTGAGCATTATGTTAGCAGGTTAGAGTTGGGCTATTGTCTATCTAACAGAGAACTAGAAAGAAGCACAACAACAATAATTACCAACATAAACCACCATGTTCTGAACAGACGCATTGCAACACAGGGTTCCCACTCTTTTTAAGAAATCGTTTTCCAGGACCTTTCCAGAACATTTTCTAGGAGTTTTCTTGACAATACAGGACAGCACTCACAAACGGTCATATAAGTTACTGGTAGGCCTAGTGTTGACACTTTAACCCCAGTTAATTACAGTTAAGTGGTCAGCATTTATGGGACAATCCACATTAGCTCACTTTTGTGCCACTCTTGGCTTTTATCACCAAAGCAGATCTGTCTACTGCAGTCTGTGGCAAAGTGACTACAGTTTACTACAGATGTTTTCTAACTGTAACATCAATGACTCGACGAAGAATAGATCGCTACAAGTCCGTTCCACTCCTCCGGTTTAGTCTCAAACAGAATACACACATAGGCTTATGTAAGTGAGCGTCTGTGGGAGTCTGTGGAGTTTGCTCCGCTTAGGTTTCAAAATGAGTATGAATGTATTATTCAGTGCCTTTTTATTGGGCATCGACCTTGCATTACATGTGTATTGTTGAAAAAATAGACTTAAAGCATAAATAAATGCTTCAAGTTGTGGTTAATTGAGCCTGCGTGGAGACGCAGCAGAGCTGCATAAATGCAAATAATGCTGCATTCACGTGGATTCAGTGAGACGGTAGGCAGACAGCACCTCACAACAAAAAAAATCTGATGAAATGGCAGCACGGCAACATGAAACACACACACAACGATATGTTGCTATGGTTGCCACTAACATGACAACCGGTTTGCCTACCTTTGTGCAGCATTCAAATTAAAAAATATAAAAGTCTGTGTGTCTGTGCAGAGTATCACAGCATTATGTTCTGTTTAACATTATTATCTTATATTTAATATCACAAACCAATCATATCCATAACGTCCACTTATGGACCACAGAGCAAGTTTTGGTGAGCAGGCATATGGATAATGAATGAAGAGATGGCAAACTGGTCTGTAATAAAGAATTTAAAATTCACTTGTCATTCGTGCCACAGATAACAGACACGCTGCTTCCCCTGACAGTAAGTTTAAAACCATAATTATTACATTGTGTCTGGGTTTGAAGCCATATGCAGTTTGGACATCACTGCAGTATATTCTCCCTCCTCTGCCAAGGCAGATGGTATCTATAATAGATATAATACTGATCAATGTCTTCCAGCCAGGCCAACAGTATGATACGCAGGCTCCATACTTGAGTTTGAGGTCCCTGGTGAGCTCGTTCTGGGTCTGTTCCAGCTCTTGGCGGTCGTTGATGTGTACCTCCTGGATGTCATGGATTTCTGCCTTCACTGCCTGCAGCTTGGCGAACAGCTAGAGGACAGACAAGGAGAGAGGAAACCAGGGTTACCATGATGAAAAGGAGAGTATTCAGCCTTTGAATTTGGCTTAGACACCTGACTTTTGTTAGGAATAATGGACTAACCAAGCAGACATAATAGTCTTTTCTTACCTGATTTGAAATAGTACCTGGCATACTTACTTGCAAGGCAGTTTATTATCAGATAAAGGTCTCACAAGAACTGAACATCAGACATGCTGTACCTATGCTTTCACAAATGATCAAACACATGCTAGCAGTGTATTTTTATATACTGTACTAGCCAGGACTGGAGGGGCATCCATTACTCAGACCACTCAAGTTTGCAGGCGCTACCTTTTTCAGCTTCTTGGTTTTGATGTCGACCTCCTGTTGCAGAGAGCTGTAGGTCTCCTTCAACTCCAGAGTCTCTTCGTCGCGACTCTCCACCTGCTGCTGCATCTCCCGCTCTCGCCGTTTCTGTAAACGCACACAAACATGTACATTCATACATTTACAGCACGGCTGCCTGTCACAAATTAAAAGTGAGATACACAATTTCTATCCTTCAGCCAAGTAAGGGCCAGTATACAGCAAAATGGTCATCATAAAAAAAAAGCCTTCCTGGGAAACAACATGGACCACCATGTAAAGTGCAGGACTGTGGGATAATGGCTAATAATGAACATAGGGACTCTGGGACTTCAATTGTGGTTTATGCTTTCTATCAAGACAAGTACAGACTACAAGACTTTCAAAATCTCAGACTTGCTTTTGCTGCTCACATTATAAGATTGTTGTCATGTTGACAGAAGGGTGCACAAACCACACAACTGATCTTGAGCTTTATTAGTATCATTGGTAACACCTGTGTTTACCCTACTATTTCATGCCAAAATGGCTGCTGTGAAAAAGGCATATAGTTACAATATTCAACGAAAACCCATGAGGCACTGTGGGGCAGATGGCAGTTTTTCAGGTGCAGATGTGATGTATCAAACAGGAGAGCAGGTGTAAAAATAGCATGGATGGGATTTACACAAGCCACAAGGAAGGTTGTGGCAGAGAAATAACCCTTAATCTGTGGAAATCTCAGTTACTGCAGACAGACTCAGACAAAAAATGTCACGTCCTCAGTCTGATTAGAAATACAAACAGGGCAGTATCAACACCATCTCCACCTTCACTGTTAACCACTGGATCTCCTGCTCCATAAGGTTCTCTCTTGCCTGCTGTCTGTGTATGTGTGTGTTTACCGTCTGTCTGTCTGTTTTGCCTTACAGGTCCCTGCTTGGTAAGCGGACTTAATCAGGGCAACAGGGAGCACCTGGCCAGTCTCCATGGGGTATTTAAAACTTGGCTGTCCAAATCTGTGTGTGTGATAACACTGTTCATGGCGATGACTTTGAGATAAATAAATACTGAAGTGTGTATATTAGCTGTACAGCTCCTATGCTATGGAGTTAGATTTGTGTCTTTATTACATGCGAGAAAATAAATGATCTGAGAGAAAAAAAGATGTTTGAGAGAAAAAGTTATCACACTGATAGCAAAAAAGCATTTTATGAGAGAAAAAAAAAATATTTGAGAAAAAGTTTTCATACCAATATCAAAAAATAATAATATTTGAGACTAAAAAAAGTTTTGAGAGAAAGTATTTTCTCATAGAACATAAAAAAATATTAATTTTTTATTTTTACAATTATTCCTGAGGAAAAAACATCTCTCTCAAAATACTTTTTTAACTCTCAAATATTTATATTTTTGCTATCAGTGTGAAAACATTTTCTCTCAAAAAAAATGTGTTTCTCTCAAAACGTTTTTTTTCTCTCTCTCAAAACCTAAGTCTTTGCTCTTGATGCAGTTTCTTGCTCTTGTGTCAGGATTTTGCTCTCGCTGTGAAAATAATGTCATGGGCGGGGCCACGTTCCTATTAGTGCAGCAGATTAGTAAAAAAATCGTTCAGATTGGTATACAAGCATGAAATTTGGCACAGATACTCTCTAAGGGCCACTATTTTGGAAAAAGGCATTGGCCACTCAAAAATTCAATATGGCGGCCATTTTTCAAACAGTGATGTAGGCATAACATTTTGTGAAAATAGTACATGTTAATTGAAAAAGATGCTTGTCCGTCAAAAATTCAAGATGGCCGCCATTTTTATAGATGGCCACCGTTCCTGTAGAACATTAAATATTTCAATTGTTCAAATGGTGATGTAAGCATAAAATTAGGCAGAAATACTCTTCAAGGAACACTGTTTTGGAAAAAAGGTATGTGCCACTCAAAAATTCAGGATGGAAACCATTTTTCAAGATGGCTGCCATTCCTGTCCTATGTTTATTGCCACTGTTTCCAAATAGTGATACAGAAACTATGCCACAAATACTCTGTTAAGACCACTTTTTGGAAAAATTGGATGGCCAATAAAAAATTCAAGATGGAGACCTTTTCCAAGATGGCCGTCATTTCGGTAGTATGTACACTGATGCACACATGCATGTTAGCAAAAATACTCTAACGGCCACACTTTTAGAAAAAGGCAATCACAAAAATTCAAGATTCATTTTTCAAGGTGGGTGTTGCTTTAATAGTTACTCTGTTGGGACTGAGTTAAAAGAAGGACAAAAAAAAAAAAGTTCTATTCACATTTTTACCAGCTCAAAGGCCTTGTGGCTGGAGTGTCCAACCTGAGATTGAGAGGTTGTGCCCTGCCGAGTCATAATAAAGACTAAAATGGTAGCCAAGGCCTCCCTGCTGGGTAGTCAGCAAGTGTTGTATTGGGGGCAACATATCCAGGAAGGTGTACATATACATCACAGGCAGAAAAAAGGAAGCCCCCCCCCCCACAACCAAAAAACCTTTTTAATAACATTTACAATTGCAATTTACAGTCAAAAAAAAAACAAAAAACAAACCCACCCAAAAAAAAAAAAAAAAACCCTGAAAAAAAAAAACTAGAGGAAGGAGAAAAAAAAAAAAAAAAAAAAAAAAAAAAAAAATAATAGTTTTATAATAATAAAAAATAAAAAAAAAAATAATTGAAAAAAAATCTCTGTGCTGACACTGGGTTGGTCACCCGCAGCCTGCCTGATATGCTAGTGTGTTGAAGAGAGTGCTCTTTTGGAGGAATGGCTTCATGGCCTCTGCCGGGCAACATGTCAAGTCTAGCCTCCTACACTAACAGCTGGCTTGATCATCATATAGCAGGACCACAACTTCTCAAGGATTTGCAGGTCACTATCGTCAGCACAGGAGGGATTGACTTAGTTTGCTGAAGATGAGAGCCTCAGAAAATGTCAGTTTTTTGCAAAATACAGTATCACAATAAAGGCGTGAAAGAATAGAATGCCTTTGGTCTTAACCAAAAATGGTTCATGAACACCAATCCACCGTAGGCTCACACCATACCCAAATGCAACCCACAGCTGCTGGAGACCAAGATCCTGGAGGGATGGGAAGATGCTCAATGCTATAACAAGAATATCAGTGTCATTGGCTTTGATCATTATGGATTTGCTGCCCTCCTCTGTGGCATGTTTGGCATGTACAAAGATGCGGCTATCAGCTTCCTTATGGAAACATTTGTCTAGACGATCAAGACAGGTTTCAGATGTACTCAAGACATTGTGTCCCTTGGTTACAACAACTATGTTTGGCACAGCCATTTGAGCAATCTTGTCAGCCAGAAAGTGGAAGAGGTCTGTTTTGTTATCATTATGTCTCAGGAAATTGCGCCAATTTGATGGAACTTTGGGACACTAAACTTATATATATAATATATAATAGCTATACTATTACTACAAGTCAAGAACTACAGTGTAAGTAAAATTAGATCAGCCGACACTGAACCCCATGCTGAGTTCCACAGCAGTGAAGTCACCAGTGTGGCCTGGTTGTGTAATGACGTTCACTCTATTGAACAAAACCTTCTTTAACACATTAAATTGAGCTCTGACAGAAATGGTGGCCATCTTGAAAATGGTCGCCATCTTGAATTTTTGAGTGTCACACACCTTTTTCCATGAGAATGTTCCTTGAAGAATATTTGTACCAAATCTCATGATAGCATCACCATTTGAAAAATGTATGTAAGGATTCAAGAGAAATGGCGGCCATCTTGAAAAATGGTTACCATCTTGAATTTTTGAGGGACATGCACCGTTTTCCAAAAAAACATTCTTGAGAGAGTATTTTCACAAAATGTTATGCCTACATCAATGTTTGAACGATTGACATAATGGGCATTTGACAGAAATAGCGGACATCTTGAAAAAATGGCCGCCATGTTGAATTTTTGGGTGGCCAACGCCTTTTTCCCAAAAAGTGACCCTTAGAGAGTATCTGTGCCAAATTTCATGCTTGTATACCAATTTGAACGATTCTCTTGAAATATGCCATTAATCTGCTGCACTATATTGGCCAGTCGGGTGAGAATCGTCTTGGGAGTCGAACTGAATCATTACACCATTGTCGATTCACCGGCATAGATGTGCTGCCTTAGTTGAGCGCGGAGACTCCAATGTTTGGGTAAGATGATGACACACACAACTCGATGGGTAGGTAGCTGAGCAAGTTGGTAATCAAAATCATTCTCATCATAGGAATGACTGTCTAGCCCTAACAGGTTAGAGAGTAACAGATCAGAGGTATTAAAGGGTGTTTAACTGGTTAGAGAATAACAGATCAGAGGTATTAAAGGGTGTTTAACAGGTTAGAGAATAACAGATCAGAGGTATTAAAGGATGTTTAACAGGTTAGAGAGTAACAGATCAGAGGTATTAAGGATGTTTAACAGGTTAGAGAGTAACAGATCGAGGTATTAAAGGATGTTTAACAGGTTGAGAGTAACAGATCAGAGGTATTAAGGATGTTTAAGGTTAGAGAATAACAGATCAGAGGTATTAAGGATGTTTAACTGGTAGTAAAGGATGTTTAACTGGTTAGAGAGTAACAGATCAGAGGTATTAAAGGATGTTTAACTGGTTAGAGAGTAACAGATCAGAGGTATTAAAGGGTGTTTAACTGGTTAGAGAGTAACAGATCAGAGGTATTAAAGGGTGTTTAACTGGTTAGTAATGTGGAGTTCAGCTCAGCTAACATCACTGAAGATTAAACATTAAATAGGCTATCCTAAATGGAAGCTAGTTTGCCATTACTGATGTGTTTGTCAGATTGTCATGGACAAAGAATAGCACTCATATTCATGAATGTGTATTATATTCACATAAATCGCTAATTAACCATCATGCTAGGTAAACTTGCAAACTCACCTGGTTTATACTATTTTTAAATCAAATGCCAAATGAATATGTTGATTTAGATAGTTTCACTCCTTATTTAGTGAGTAGTGAGCTAGTTTCTTCCCTAATTAGCGATTAGCTTTACTAGCGATTATGCTAATAATATAATACACATTCATGAATATGAGTGCTATTCTTTGTCCATGACAATCTGACAAACACATCAGTAATGGCAAACTAGCTTCCATTTAGAATAGCCGATTTAATGTTTAATCTTCAGTGATGTTAGCTGAGCTGAACTCCACATTACAACCTTAAAATTTTGATCTGTTACTCGCTAACAGTTAAACACCCTTTATACCTCGATCTATTACTCTCTAACCAGTTAAACATCCTTTAATACCTCTGATCTGTTACTCTCTAACCAGTTAAACACCCTTTAATACCTCTGATCTGTTATTCTCTAACCTGTTAGGGCTAGACAGTCATTCCTATGATGGGAATGATTTTGATTACCAACTTGCTCAGCTACCTACCCATCGAGTTGTGTGTGTCATCATCTTACCCAAACATTGGAGTCTCCGCGCTCAACTAAGGCAGCGCATCTATGCCGGTGAATCGACAATGGTGTAATGATTCAGTTCGACTCCCAGGACGATTCTCACCCGACTGGCCAATAGGAACGTGGCCCCACCCATGACATTATTTCCACAGCGAGAGCAAAATCCTGAAACAAGAGCAAGAAACTGCATCGAGAGCAAAGACTTTGAGAGAGAGAAGAAAAACGTTTTTCCTCAAATAATTTTAAAAATTTCAAATTTATATTTTTTATTTTCTATGAGAAATACTTTCTCTCAAAACTTTTGTTTGTCACAAATATTATTATTTTTTGCGATTGGTATGAAAACTTTTTCTCTCAAATATTTTTTTTCTCTCATAAAATGCTTTTTTGGTATCAGTGTGATAACTTTTTCTCTCAAACATTTTTTTTTCTCTCAGATCATTTATTTTCTCGCATGTAATAAAGACACAAATCTAACTCCATACTATGCCAGCCTGGTTGTCTTTAACTTCAGCTGGAAGTTGGAGCTGAATATCTTAAACCAAACTAAATGTTGTTTATAGAGTAGCAACAGTAATGTTCACAACAGCAAAGTCAAATCAATAACATGTCAACAAAATTGATCTCATTCCTGACATCAAAATGCTGAATAAAGTCTATAAAAAATGAATTCATCCTGTCCCCTGTCCAATGACTGCAGGTACTGCTGGTAGAGAGATGGGGGGCTAGTTAGAGCTAGACAGATTTTAAGATATGTGGCGAACTAAGATGAACAGACTACATACATACAGCTTTTAGCACAGCAACACCATGCAATGCATAAATTGGTGACCGGACTAAAGCAGCAATGTAAACAAGTGTGTAAGAGCATTTAAAATTGACATTAAAATGACCAACGTAGTACAAATACAAAGAAAATACATCTCAATATGGGCGCAGCCATCTTTGTGTTGCGAGTCGTACGTTTAACCTTGTTCAGCTCGGTGTACTCTGAGGAGCCCCGAGTGGGACGGTCGATATTACGACCAAAAGGGGGTGTGTCTCGGAGAAATGTCGCGAGATAGCAGTGACATTTACACTTTCCAACTCGGCAGGGGATTTACGAGACAAATGGATCGCAGCATAAGATTTATGGGTCAGCCCTACGGTCCTAACAAAACAGCTATCCTGTGAACATAGTATTGATTTAGGCGCTTCAAACAAACAAGAAGTTTAATTAAGAGTAGGGTTAATTTTTCAGTTGTTTGGTGGTATACCTGTTCAGCGATTTCCTGCCTCTTCTGCTCCAGCATTCTCTGTTGCTCATTGGTGTGATCCACAATGTTCTTCCCCCCTACCAGGAGCTTACTCTCCATTGCCTGGATGGAGAAAAAAAGTCACATGGGGGAGAAAAGCTGCAAGTTGCAATTGACTCTGGTATATTTCAGCAGCTGGGAACAACATGAGACAATCTGAAATATGAACCTGTACTACACCTTCTTTACAGATCAAATCAGATACATACATAACGTACAGTAATGCAGTTTGACCAATGCAGCTTACCTTCACTTTGGCTGCAAGCATCTCTCCAGCCTCCCTTTCCCTCTTCAAATCTTCCATCTTCTTTTGTTTCTCTCTAAGCAGCCGAGCTTTCTCCTCAGCCACCAGACTGTGATCCTCCATGATTTCCTTCTTCTCTGTCTCCAACTTCTCCTGCTGCTCCCGCCAGTAATCCCCTTTATCGTCCCCATCTTCGTCGTCCTCCTCCTCCGTCTCTCCTTCTTCCAGATCCTCGCCGTCGCTCCCTTCCCCGGCCCTCCTCCTCTGCCTCCTCCTTTTCTTTTTCCCAGAACGCTTTTGCAGCTGCGCCTTCAGCCTTGCGATCTCTTCCTGAAACTCCCTGAGCAGGGCATCCTTGGGATCCTCATTGATACGTGGTTTATTCTTGATGTTTTTAGCCCTGTTGGAGTAGCGCAGCGTTGTCAAGGTCTCCTCCACATTGTAGGATGCTGGGCCAATGTTGGCAACCATGACAGTGCGGGCGTTTCCCCCCAGAGAGTCCTGCAGCAGACGGGTGAGTTTTGAGTCTCGGTAGGGGATGTGGCTGCTCCTGCCATCCACAAGAGCCGATATGACATTCCCCAGAGCAGAAAGTGAAAGATTGATCTTTGTGGCTTCTTTAAGCCTCTCCCCCTGAGCGCCAGTCTTGGTCTGCCTTTCACTACCGGCTAAATCTACCAGGTTCAATTTGCCAACTCTGATATGGTTCTCCCCATCCACACCCAGCTCACTGCACTCTACGGTGATGACGAATATGGCATGAGAACGGGAGCTGTGTTCATTCATGTTAGTGGCACCCACTGAACGATTCTGGTTGCCCACATTCATGACATGTTCAATCTCGCGCACACTCTTGGTAACAAATGATGAAAGGTCTTTGACATACACACCTGTGTCAGGCCTCTCCCTGAGCTCGAGACGACGTGACTGGTCCTTAGAGAGCAGGTCTCTGATCTCCTCTTGGTAAATTTCTAGATATGATGCTCTCACCAGGTACTGCTGATTCTGGGACCGTGAAATGTGAGTGAAGATGTGCTCAAAGGAGTTAGGAATCACCCCTCTCCTCTCTGGATCGTTTCTCACCCCCTCCATAGTATATGTTTTGCCTGTACCCGTCTGCCCATAGGCAAAAATGGTCCCATTGAACCCAAGAAGAACTGAATCCACCAGGGGCCTGAAGGTTTCATCATACAGATCTATTTGTTTGGAGTTCCAGTCATAAACTGAATCAAAAGTGAAGACTTTGGGGAGTTCATTGGCTGAAGCTTCCCTGGGGTTCCTGACAATAATTTGGCCAAATTTGACGTCGACAGATACCACCCTTTCAAACTTGGCCGCCCGCTCTTTTTCATTCATAGGGCGACATCGGACCACCACCTTGACAGACTCGGGGCTCTTGCTCTTGGACATGTTGCAGAGCGGCTGCCAACCCAGGTGGCTTGGCACTTTGTATGCTCTGTCTTCCAAGTGCAGCTTCAGGAACAGTGCACCAGCACAAATGCCCACATCAGAAGCTGTTGGAGAAGACACATTTAATAATGAGTAACAACCTGCAGTGGCAACTGTAATGGTGACTCACAACCTTGACAATTGATGCATCACACACATTTATACTTACAAACTGAAAGACAAAAGAGTTCAATGTAACACAAAGCAATTGACAGACTTTAAACAATGATAGAGGTAGCTGCGTGGTGTAGGAATTATTCAGATACTTAGTTCTGCACTAAAATGTTCCTTGTCAGTGTTTTACTATTATAGCTGATGTTTTTGGATTAATGTTGATACTAAATAATGTGTATGTTGCATTTTACTGCTGTAGATGTTTAAGGTGGAGCAAATTTTAACTATGGTATATACTGTTGGGTAGTTTAATCTACAGACATGAATCATATTCTAGATGATCATCATGTTTGTAGCGTCGTGGTCCTGTGAGAACCACATATCTCTAAAAAGTTCAAAAAACAGCCCTTTTCAGAAGAAGTAGGATCATTTTCTCAACCCAAAAATACTTCAGTTTATCAGAAAAACTCAAAAATTCTCAAAATTACCAAGTTTGGACATACGTTACATGCAGGGGTGAATTTAGAGAAATATTAAAAGGGTGTCATTGAGACCTTAAGGGGTGGCAAAAATATATGCTGATTTAATCATATATCAATTATACTTGTCTCCTTTTAGAAATAAATGTAAAAAAAATAAATTAATCTGAATGAATGTGTTAAATTTGACAGCATTTGACTCCAAGAGACTTGAAGATGAATTGATTGTTGAGTTCCAAAGCATCTGTATTTGATGCCCTGGGAATGAGACTCACCAATCAACTATTATTAGACTATATTTTAGATTTATTCACTATTTACAAAAATTACCTACTAACGTTACAGCTTTAAATACAGTAACTTACACGTAACGTTACTTAACGTTACTTGGATAGCTGTTAGCTTACTGTGCTTCAACGTTCCTTTAGATTGATGACAACTTCTTGTAGCTACATGGGAACGCTATTTAACCGTAATAACACACCTGAGGTTAAAATGAACTGGTCAAAATTAATAACTCGTCTTCATAATGTTACAAGACAACGACGAGAAGCAGCATTTGACATTACACACGGCTCGAACTGTTGCCACTGGCCCAGTTTAGCTAGCTGACTTAACTAAATGTTAGTTAGCGTTTGAATGCGAGGTTGTGAAGTGACAGCCGTTGGGAACTCTCTGCCAACCGTACCATGGTCATAAACTGTCGGTTTTAGGCAAACTGCTCAATTAATGTTAGCAACGACTGGTTGAAATAGCGGATCGGCTAACCAACGTTAGCTTCTGCGAAATATAGCCCATAACGAGACCACAAGACCGGCCTAGCAACGCCAAACACACTGGTAACCTAATCTACAAGTCTGATAGCATTACCTGGCTAACGCTAGCAGCGAGGGCATACAATGAACGCAACACATCGCCATACACAAATAAAAATCACATTACACACATACGACACATGCAGTATAAACACAGCTTTCCACCAGACACACAGAAACGTCGTTAAAGACCTACCAGAGGCGGACGTTAGCTAATAGAAAACTCCCAGTCAGCCATTAGCCGCTGCTCATCCCCGCAGCGGTCCGGGTTATGGTTGCCACTTTGATGAGCAGTCCCCCCGAAGAGGTACGTGTGAAATCATCCTAACCCATATAAATGTTGTGATTCTGAGCGAGCATTTGGATTACAGTTAAACATAAACATGAAAATATACTTAATCAACTGTGAATAACGAGGTTGCAAGCCCACATACATACATTTTATATGAATAATACGATTTCAAGGTATCCTAGCATATCTGGCAACCAAGTCTCAACGAGCCTGTTCAGCATAGTTTAGGTATCAGCTGATTCAACTACTCACAGCTAAGCTTCAGTGAGGGAGCTAAACAGATCGAGGCTGTTGGTTCTTTAAAAATGAGTTAGCATCACTTTATTGGTGAAAAACATGATAGAAAACATTTTACTGCATTCACTGCTTCCACTGCTTCCACTGCTTCCACACATCCCCAACTGCATTTAATCGACACAACCAGTGCAAATCAACTCTTTTGTCTCCCTGAAACATTATGTTCACATTCACCAAGTAACAATATGATGATCCCCATGACATTCAGGACACAGTTCCACACATTTCATCAGTTTTTTGGTCCTAAAAATTTTTGGTTGTAAAATGAGAGGTGGGAAAGACTTTTTCCTTCCTATAATTAGTACGTATGGGAGGTTCGGTTACTGTGCTCTCCTTGGAATGGAGGGCAGGTAGGAAAGAGTTAGCTGGAAAGAGATGGCGGGATGGAAAGGTAGGAAGAAAAAGAGAAGGAGAACATGATCGCTGACACTGCAATCAGTCTTTTCCAGGGTTCACAGAGGTCACCAGAGGTCACCAGAGGTCCCTCTAACATGTCTGGATTGCAAAACATGGTTGCCGCTACAGAATATGGCAGGAGCTACATGAAATGTGTGCTTCCCTGATAGAAACAAAAACTGGTTTTAGTATAGTGATCTTAAGAGGGAACATACAAATACTGGATTTTCAAGCAGGGAACAGACAAAAATAAAGTGTTTCTGGCAACAGCAGTGTCTGTGTCATTATACCACTGACCTCCTATATCCTATTTTATAAGCCCTTTCTCACACAGGAAGCCCCAGCCTCAAATGGGACCGGCCTTGACACACAATGAACCATCACGTCACATATAAATGTCCTTCCACGTGCTCTCTCGCCTCCTCACTCATGACAGTCATCCAGCATTAGCGCCCCGAGGACAACCACCTGACCCTCATCCTCAGAATTCGTCTTTGTGATTTAATTTCCCAGGCTTGTCCATGCCGAAAAAGGAGGATGGAAGGCCGTGGACGTCCCGTTCTCTCTTCACGAACGCGGAAAAGGACGAGACGCAGTTGCCAATGAAGTGGTCAGCCCGGCCTAAGATGTACAGGTCCATCTGCGCCGAGTCTGGCTGAAGACTCACCACTTTCACCTGAAAACCAGAGCGAAATACACAAATAACAATCAGGTGGGGAAATACAATGCTGTAACAGTAATCAAGTGAGAGTACTTCTCATTCTCAACAATTGTACAAATCCCTTTATCATATCAAATTACTACAGTATACAGGAAGGACTGGATTCCGACTTCCGCTCTCATGGGTTAACTATAAATCTGTGTCTGTAAACTATGTGAAAACTTTGCTAATTGTGACAAAACCTGATTTTCCAAATTGTACTACAGTCAACATGTCTGTTCAGGTTTTGTTTAAGGTCACACATGACAGAAACCAAGGGGGCCAAATTTAAAGCAGATGTTACTTATGACCAGGAATGGATTTTGTTAAGATTTTAACGGCACTCTTACTGATACTGCTTATGGATCTGGTACTTTAACTGTACTGTTACTGGTTCTTTTTGTTATTCTTTAAAGGACCAGTGAGTAGGATTTAGTGGCATCTAGCAGTGAAGTTGGAGATTGCAACTAACTCAAGGTTCCCACCCTTTAAAGAAATCATTTTCCATGACCTTTCCAAGAGTTTTTAATTAAGAATACAGGACAGCACTTGCTCACAAACGGCAGGTCTAGAACTGACTTCTTGTTTGACGATGCAGGGTTCATCATGAAGAGTCTCAGGTCTATTACAAGTAGGTGGTCAGCGGTGGTTGTTCGCACCACAGCTGATTCTTCCACTGCGGTTTAAGTCTAAAGGCTGTTATATACTCGCCGTTCCCGACCTGTAGCGCGACAATGTGACGCCACTCCAGTGACGCCGCTCCAGTGACGTAACTATTTATACTTGCTTACTTACTTGGTGGTCGCGACACTAGTTGCAGTCTTCTCCTGAACAGAGGTGTCGCAACTGAGGAAAGGCTACCGACTTTGCTATTTCTACGCACTAGAAGAAGAGAAAGATAAACAATGGCGACCTATTTTTTGATTTTCCAAATCGGTCGCGGAGGTTCTTCCAAATTTTCCTACATATGGCCTCCTCTTTTCCAACATTCATGGCGATTTCTCGCCATGATTTCTGGCACCTCTGTGTTCCTTAACTGAAAAATCGTAAAGATGCCTGTAGAGGCGCACTTGCTCAGAAAGCTTGCCCTCGAACTCGTCCATCTTCCTGTTTCCGCTTTGGCGCGCTAGTGTTTGGTTTGTCTATTTTGGGCTACAGTAGAAACATGGTGGTTCAGATCCTCCTAAATGTTACACACTGGACCTTTAAGAGAAAAAAACAAATGTATAAGTTGTTGTACAGACACTGCGGGTCGCCTTCCATGGAGTTTGCCATGTTGAGTATTTCTGATTCTGATTCCGATTCTGAACCACCTAGAAGGGCTAAACCAAACACTCGCTGTAGATAGGGCCTTTAACGTCTTTTGCACGTTTTGCAGCCACCGCAATTTTTCCTAAGACACCTAAGATACATGTGCAGAGGCTTTAGAAACCCACCTTGCCCTTGAAGAGCTTTTCAATATCCCTGCTGTGGGATTCTGAGTCAGTGGCGATGTAGATGGAGCGGGCAGAGGTCTTCTTCACCCACAGCTTGACAGCCCTGCGGATCTCCGCCAGGTCAGGGAGGCACATGGTCATGGTGAGAGGCAAGGCTGTCTGGCGGTTGTAGCCAACGCACTGAGGGGAGGCCATGAAGTGAGGCCCTGTATCACCACTCTTCAGCATTTTGCATGCATTTTGCTACAAGGGTGGACAAAAAAACAAAGATTTAGATCTTGAGAAGCAAACTAGTACCACACTGACTGTACATTACTACCCACTGTAAAGTTGCCAATCTACCATGGTTCTGAATTGCGCCTTAAGGATACATCCAATGATATTCTATATTTTTCTTATTGTCAATGAATCTACATATTCATCTATGCAGTAGAGCTCCATTGTCCTCCAAAATCTATTAGAAACACATCAATGAGCCACACTGATACACTGAGTGACATATTCCTCACCAGAGCACACACACTGTAGTTTATTTTGACTCAGTCCCACACATTAAGGGACCCTTTTTCTATCACTGAGTACGCTGATAACCACTGACTTATAAACTGTACAATGAACCAAAACAGGGAACGCAATAACTACAGGAATTTTGTGTAAAAAGGCTTCTTTTCTTGACAAATCTATACTTTTAGTAATAATAATCTAAACTTTAATAATAATTTAATTCACTTTTCTTCACAGAAATTAACAAAATGCTGAGATTATATAGGCCTCCTGCATGCGCAATGCAGTCTTTACAATATAAAGTAGATATTGCTACAGGTACAACAGGTAGGAACGGTGGAAAACCATGATGTTTTTTGATTTGCAGTATACAGGTTGAACTGAGTGACTGAGCTGATCCTGGTTTCTGCAGGTTTCAACAGGTTAAACGTAAGCTTTTCTAAGACCATAATGAATGCAGTTTTAGACCTAATTTACATTCATACTGGCAAAAAAGTACTAAAGATATGAACAAAAATCAGTATTGGTTCCATGTCAGTTTTGTTTGGTAGTTGTTACAGCATGATCGAAAATTATCCAAAAACAAATTTAGAAGTGAGACAACTTCATATCAAATCAATCTTTAAGACCTGTCAAAATCATATTTAAGACATTTTAAGAAAAATTCACATTGTTGGATTTGAGACTTTTTAAGACCCCACAGACATCCTGCTGGTTTTGACTATGAGTGAACAGATATGTAATTGACCTTATGAGTGAATGAGAAAATTAAAAACAATAAGAGACAGTAAAGTAAGACAAGCCTTATGTCCAAACCCTGGCTCCATATACGCTGTAAAGCATCTCACCCAGTCAATGCCAATCCTCAGGTGAATGCCGACATACGGCCTGGTGAGCAGGGTGGCAATGTGGTCTTCTCCCTCCTTTACCATCTTGTCTGACCACACCACGTAGCGCTGCAGGCCCACATGCTCCTCTGTCACTGGGAACTGGGCAGGAGCCCCGGGCAATGCAAGGACAGGGTGCTCAGATGGAGGGAACCTATTCCAACGGAGGAAGCAAGAGGAGAGGCTGCCTGTTAGAGGAGGCACTACCTTTTCATATAAAATCAATGGAAACTTCAGTGGGTTCTATGGCCAACCAGACTCCATTGACAAAACCAGTAATTTTATCTAGCAGATAATCGGAAAACACACTTCAAACTGTTTTTGTTTAACCAGAAACAGCTGTAATATCGCTATCACTCACCACCAGACTCCAACAGTAATTTTACCTTGCATATCTTTGTAACATCATAACTTAATTCAGAGTGGACAGACCGACATAGATGAAAAAGCAGCAGTGTCAGGCGCTCCACTCAGTTGTAAACAGACAGACTCAGATGCACATGCGGCCAGACCAGCTTTGTAAACAAACCACAGAGGCTGATATAGCACAGGCAGAGGGAGTGCGGCGTCATTCTCTGCTCAGGACGCCGTGACTCCACTACTGTATATCTTAACATAGCTAATAGTTGTTTCCTGCTTTATTAATGTTCCAAATCTCATATATTTAACCTTTAAAGCTTGAAAACTCACTTCTTCATCCACTGAGGTTGGTGGTAGGCACTGAAAGAAATTCCACCAAACAAGACAGACGTGTCAAATTCCACACCGACATAGTCCCAGAAAGGACCAAATGGGTTCCCATCCTGAAAATGAATCAGAACCATCCGTCTAGAGCAATGAAACAGTAACAGTAGCATTGTAATTATGAGCTTGTGGTTCAGAATTGGTGGTGTATGGGCCACCAGAGGGTAGCATTTCACCATCATTTACTGACAAACAACCTGAGAAATGACAGTACCTAAGTGTATACTGCTTTCAAAGCAAGCTCATTTTGTGTGTCTTTACTTTCTATTTACTATTTAAAAGCTGCAGTGGGTAACTTTTTGTCATATTTCAATTCAATTTTATTTGTATAGCGCCAATTCATAACAGAAGTTATCTCAGGACACTTTTCAAATAGAGCAGGTCTAGACCGAACTCTTTAAAACATTATTTACAGAGACCCAACAGTACCACCATGAGCAAGCCCTTGGCGACAAGGGCAAGGAAAAACTGCCTGTTAAAAGGCAGAAACCTAGGACAGATCCTTCGGCTCTATATTTGTCAAATGAGGTTCCTCTGGCTCCTCCTATTGTTCCTAATGACAACTATCAACTTCTCAGCTCTGATTGGTTGTTTTCAGTCAGGCCCGGTGGATTCTTGCAATGCCATTAGGAGCACTAGGAGGAGCCAGAGGGCTGTCAGGATACAGTGAAAGTTTCAGCAAATATGATATGAAAAGTTAGTTATTTTTATAAAAGTTACCTAATGCAGCTTTAAAATCTTTCATTTATATTACTAGACTATCTGAAAGTGGTAACCAATATCTGCAGATAATCACCTATCAATCAAATGTATCTATGCCCCTGCACTCTCACCTTCATAGGGCAGGATTTTTTGTCTGCACTCCGCTGTGCAGCAGTCTCAAAGCAGTAGGCTTTCCTCTGTCCTGAGAGCCAGTGTTTAGGAGCCAGCTTCTCCATGAACTCCTCCAAGCTGACCACACGGTGGTAGGTAGACAAGGCCTCCAGTTGGAAAAACTCTCTGTAGGGAACATGGGCCTGAATAGAACAGAAAAAAATTAACAAATCAGCACTGTCCAGTTTAGCAATTATCGATAAGGCTTGTGATATTCTAACTGTTTGTTCCTCCTGAAGATTTCTTGACAATACAGGACAGCCCTTGCTTGCACTTGTCATATAATTTACCAGTAGGCCTAGTATTGCACATTTTCTAATGATGCAGGTTCATGATGAAGTGTTTCAGGTTCATTACAGGTGGTCAACCTTTATTGGACACTCTGTGTTAGCTCTCTTTTGTGTGCACTTGCCTGTTCTCACCACACCGCTAAGTGTTTTACATACAATTAATGTTTCTGTGCATGTATTTAACAACCACCACAACAAATGGGATCACTGTTATGTAGATATGAGCATTTACAGCATTTCCAATGAGCTTCTCTGAGAATTCCACTTATGGCTCCAGGCAAAATAGACTGGGAGCCTAAAAGATTGCTGCACGTCTGTTCCGCTTCATGTCTGATGTGAACCGCGAGACTGACTGACATGGGAGCCGAAATGACAAAATTATGTTTTTCTTTTCTACGATAAGTGTCATCCCCCTCAGCTTAACCCACCAACACTTTTCAGTTGTCAGTTGTCTCTGTCAGAGTTTCAAATAAAATCCATGTTTACACAGACAATCTGAGCTTAGAGCTAAAAGACTTTTACATTTTTCCAGGACAACATCAATTATTTACAGGATTTCATCATTGTACTGTGTATATTCACTGCATATTAGAGATAATATTATGGTCCTATATTTAGTCTCTATCCTAAGTTTTAATTTGATTCTGCTTCATGTTTTATTTTTGATTATATTGGTTCCTTACCTTCTTCATTTGTTCTTGTGGTGTTGTGTGGCTGCAATTTCCCTATAGGATTAAGTGCGATCCATCCATCTACCGTTACATGATAAATGATCACATGATTTGTGGTTGTCAGTGACAGTTCGCTGACTGTACTCACATTGGTGTAAGGGGGTGTGTGGTGGCGGTACACTATCCAGGGAGGGACTGCCAGGGTTCGGTTCAACATCTTTGCAAAGGCCAGAGATCCCAGGAAGTGGTCTGCCTGGTTTCCAAAGCGACCTGAACAATAACATTGGTACACTTTATGCTCCTTCTCGTGATAACAAAATGTTGGCTCGGGAAATGTAGCATAAAGTAAGTCATGCCCTGTATGTAACGCAAGTTAGTATTACTCAAGCCCACAGTTTCCTTAACTCCGCTAAGCTAGCTGCTAACTAGCTCCTGTAAGTGTTTGAATGCTGTCTGGGTTGAACGCTCCTCAACAGAAGGTTCTCCTGCTGAATGAAAAACAATATGTCGAACTGAAGAATGACTCCTGGCAGAGTTCAACACAGGCTTGGGTTCCTATTTAATCGATATGTCCCTCTGTCGATATAAACGCCGCTCTCAACTTATGAATGGGTGAAGTTTTGGACTCGCTAACAGAACAGAATGCTAACATCTACCGTTATAAAGAGGGAGTTACCCATGCACGGGCAGTACAACACGTAGCCATTCTCATCCCACTTCAACTCTTCGGCAAAAGTCCGACATGTTTGGAGCAGAAGTAATGAAAGTAAACATGTCACTACCAGATCTTGATATGCTTGTTGATTAACCGCCATTGTGTTTATTTCACATCCCAGAATGCACTGGCTTTTCGACGTCTTCTTCTTCGGGTTTATTGAAGTTTTCAAACGTGCATCAAAAATGGTTACCTCCACCTACCGCACCGGCGTCCTACTCTGCTTCTGATTGGTTTACCGTGACATTCTTACCCTAACCCAAACCAATCCCACGCCTCATGTCCAAACCTAACCAATCAAACCAATGAGGGCAACGAGTACTAGCCAATCAGAAGCAGAGGAGGGCGGGCCATGACTTCGCCTCCCTCGGGGAGAAAAAGGTGTAGTGGAAGTGGTAGAGTGTGTGTGTGGAATGTAGGTTACTTATATCCTTACTTAAAACAATAATATTGTATCAATTAACCCCGAGCAACAAAAAGTACCATATAGTATACCTACTCACCGTTCTGCTCCTGCCAGCAAAGCTGCCTTCTCCCTCTAGTTAGAGTCATTATAATGTTGTAATTTTTTATTAGTTTTTATTTTTATTTCGTTTTTAATTTTTGTTTTCAATTCAGTTTAGTTAAAGTTAGTTTCAGTTTTAATTTAGTTTTTTATTAGTTTTAGTCTTTCATTATAATACAGGAGGTACTCATCAGATGCAAGATTGAGAAGTTCAGAACAGACCTTTTTCAAAGCATCCATTTTGAGATGAAATGGTTGGGTAAACATAGGTTTCACCAGTAGTACTTATTAAGGTTCCTTTTCACTCAGGTCAAACTGAGTCAGGGTGCTGCTATTGTGCATGTTAGCTCACTGGAAAGGCTCTGCTATGGAATTGAACATTAATTGGTTTAATTGGTAAGATCTGTAATTACTCTATTTCATGTCAAAATGCTGCTGTGAAAAAGGTCTTACAGGTATTACAATACAAACACATGTCTTGACCAAATTGACAAGACTAAAAACACTTCCTATATGTACTGTAATGTATCCAAGTTTCTTCCTCTTCATGTCACAGGGGACACTTCTCTGAAGACATGACCCAGTTTGTCAAGTTGTTCCATCTCAGTTTAGCTTCCTGTAGAGACAGACTGATCTTTAACGTCCCAGAAAACTTGGTTTCAAGTCAGAAGCATTTCTACATAACACTGAATATTAGTCACTTAATAGGCAACAATGAAAGTTAACGTTTGGTTAGCCTGTGTTCATATTAACTTGTGGTCAAGCTCAGCCATGCTTTACACAATTCTAGTATATCTAGACTACCAGCTAGCTAACCCACGTAACAACCTTTGTACAGTCGATAGGGTTGAGCGATTATTCGGCTAAAACAAGTAATGTACCCTAGTTTTGTAGTTGTAAAACTTTTCAATATCCGTACTTGTAAACCACTTTTCTAAAAAAACTAAATAGTTCTCTAACTAAAAAATATTGTTGTGAAGCCCTATTCTGAGGCAGTTCTGTAAACAGTTTCTAATAAACATACTAAGGTCTGATCAACATACTAGTTAGTCCAACCCACTCCCAGTTTAAGCACCACCCATGTCTGGTTTAAGCCACGCCCATTCGAGGTACAGATACAGATAAATTAGTTGGCTGAATGGATACAGATACAGATAATGGTGTGCTTGCTCACTCATTCCCTTGGTGCACAGAAATGTGTACGATTATCTGTTTCTTAGAGTGAATCTTTGGTTTGTGGGCAAAACAAGACATTTGAGACAACACCGTGGGCTTTGGGAAACACTGATCAACGTTTTCTGACACTTTTGGAACCCAACAACAGATCGATTCATCAACAAAATGATCAAGAGATTAATCAACAATGAAAATAATTGTTAGTTGCAGCCCCTCACAATCATACAGTATAGGGATAATGTGCAAACATTGTAGCAAAATTCTTAACATTAGACAGTATATGTAGGAAATTAAAAATGTAAAATAGATGTAACTGATTGGTGCAGACAGTCGTATACAATCCTCAGAACAGCATGTAACTAATTTTGTGATTTTGTGGATGAAGTGTGAAAAGTTTAAATCCAAACTGAGACACAAACCATTGACAACTTGTCACAGCTCTTGCAAAATGAGGATGTGAGAAAACGCATCAGTTTTCTTTTCTGACATTAGGTGTTAATTTATTTTCTGCAACCAGGCAGAAGAAAAACAAGACTTAACCTTTTTACTCATTAGTCATTAGCATTAGATTTCTAAATTTTCCTGCTGGACACAAGATGTCTCCTACTTCACTGTAAAGTCCATTCTCAGTGGATGTGCACTGGTGGCTTCAAGTTTCTACATCACACTGTACAAGTTACATACTGGACCAGGATGACTTCCATACTATTTGTGATGTCACAAATCCTGCTGGTAGGCCCCGCCCCTTAAAATCAGATGTTCAATGAGCACAGAGAAACTTTCCTCCTTCAGCAGATGAATGTGAAAACATCCTTCTAGAGTCAAACTCTGCACCATTGAATTAGTTCTTCCAGGTCTGTGAAATGACCTGCATTCTTTCTAATGGCCAGCAGGGGCAGTTCCATTGGCTGCAGAAAGAAGTCTGATACTATTGAGTCTTTTGGAGAAATGAGCCAACTTCTACCTTGATTTATCAGCTCAGTAAACAGTTGTTTATGGTCCTAATGAGATTATGGTCTTAAACTCTAGTTTGAAGTATTCCATACAGCATAATGTTCATTTGGTAAATTATTGTCCTTTTTTAAAAAAAAAAAGTATTTTTTGGGGCTTTTATTGCCTTTATGATAGAGACAGCTGAAGGTAGACAGAGAGAGGGAATGACATGCATCAAAGGGCCATAGGTTGGATTGGAACGCTGGGCCGCTGCAGCAAGGACAGTACATGGGTCACCAGCGCTGCCAACTGAGCTAACCTGGCACCCTGATCATTGTCCCTTTTAATATTTAAAATACAGAGAAAGATATGCTATAGGTAGTGGCCTGTAGAAACAAGAAGGAAAACATATTTTTGTTAATGTTAAACTAACTTGCACTCATAGTAGAAAAATCCCAGTTTTTCAAGAGTCACATCACAAAGAGAAAAACATTGCATTAAGCTTCCTGCTTTGCCTGCATGAGATTCCCTGGTGGAAATGAGATGGAGCCAATCAGCGCTACGTCCAGTGATAAAGGAGCAGCATTCCCACAGGCTCTTCATTAGATGTTCACATGTGTGCTCAACATGCCCAAACCCAGTATGGCAACATGTGGTCTGGGTGCGGTCTCAAACCTTTGTTACTTTAGAGTTCAATCTGTGGACTCTCTGCCAGTCCGCCTTGTTTGACTGAACCCGCTGATAATTGCTTTAACGTGTCACATTTAAGAGATCATTATCTATTGTTAAGTGCGATACAGCTCATGTGATCTGCATTCACTTTGTTGATCATTAAGGACAATAAAGGCGATAACAGATTATTATCCCCTAAAAAACAACTTGTGGCCAAAACAACAAAATAAATGTAAATTTTTCTGTATTTAAACCAAAATCCATGACTTTTCGTTTGTCAGTTCTTCACAGTCAGCAGTTTGAGATGTTTTCTACTCAGGCCTTGGCTTTGAAGGGTTCTTAATCCCTCCACATCCTCTGGTTCAGCCGAGGCAGTCTAACGTATTCTCTCTTTGTGTTCAATCACTCTCGTTTTTCTTCCCTCTGATGCTCGACAGCTGGCTGTTCTTTTCCTCTTTTCCTGTGTCGTTCTCTGTGTCTGCTCCTCCCCCCATCCCTTGAACACACACTGTTTTTCATTGTTAGAGATGACAGCAACGATAACAATGCAAAGAACCACAACTCACAGCCTGAGAAAGAGAGAGAGAGAGAGAGAGAAAGAGAGAGACTTCTTTCAGGTGAACAAATTACATGGATCACAACAACCAAATCAAACGTAAAAGTGTACGCCCTACTTTACTAAATTCTTCACACTTTTATTGGATATTTACGAGGTCTGATCTTGTAATGGCTATCAAGAAGAAGAAGAAGAAGAAGAAGAAGAAGAAGAAGAAGAAGAAGAAGATATACTTTATTAATCCCCTAAGGGAAATTGTTCTTTTCACTCTTTTTTTTATATACACACAGACTGAAAATACACACTTCATGCACATCATATTAATCAATAATGGTAGATTTGTTAATCTATAGGATGAGATTGTACATTTTGTTTTTTTTGTGTCTCTCTGACGCACTGTTCTGTGCTCTAGCAATTTCATTTCCCTTTTTCAATCAATAAGTTCCTCAGGCACACAACGCTTTGCTTTGAGAAGCTGCAGAGGAAGAAGGTGACGCTCGCATTTCATAAAAACATCTGCAGATGAATATATGTCACTCAGTCTCACCCCTTCCTCCCTCTCTGTCTTCACCTCTGCCTCTTTCTTGCTCGCTGCTGATGCACAATAACGGGCCTGTAACGCTCTGCCTGTGTCCTGTCAGGAGAGGGAAATGTAAGGTAGTCAGCTTCAAACAACCTGCCTCCTGTTGACCTTTCTGTGTTGTTACTGACAGTCTGGCTTTCAGTTCAGCTGAAGGCTGCAAACGTGCTGTTTTTTCCAGATTTAGCATACAGAGATCTTATATATTTAATTCAATTCAATTTTTTCAATTCAATTTTATTTGTATAGCGCCAATTCATAACAGAAGTTATCTCAGGACACTTTTCAAATAGAGCAGGTCTAGACCGAACTCTTTAAAACATTAATTACAGAGACCCAACAGTACCACCATGAGCAAGACCTTGGCGACAAGGGCAAGGAAAAACTGCCTGTTAAAAGGCAGAAACCTAGGACAGATCCTCCGGCTCTAGGTGGGTAGTCGTCTGCCTCGATCAAACAATTTACAACTAAGTTCATGTTAAATCCACCTAGTTTTCCACCAAATAGCTTTTTAAACATAATAAATGGCAGTAAAAAATAATTCCTGGAAGTAATAAAAACTCAATCTAACTCATTTCGGCTCTAAATCTACCAAAACTTTATTTTTCTTGTTAGCTAGGATCTGAGTTCAGCTGGGGTTTAATTAACAAAACTCCATTCACAAAACGCCTGTTTTTAGTTTTCCTTTCAGCTAGGACCCCAGTGTAGGGCCTTAATGACGCGATGGGAAAAAAATCAGTGTAACATAAAAGACACAAAACACAAAATCATTTAGGTTTAGAGGTGTCAATGAAATCGGCCAAAACTAACAAAACTGTTGACAAAATGCCTATTTTTAGTTTTTCTCCCAGCTAGAAACGTGGATGAAAACTGAATGGAACATGTGTAGAACTCACAAATATGTAACACATTTTGGGTTAATTATGATTACTCTGCTGACAAAATACCTGTTTTTATTTTATCCCCTTTGCAGCGGTGTGCCTTAGTGACGTAAATGTAAAAGTACATTTTAACATGACATGAGGGGACAAATCAATCAAACATAAAAGAAATAGAAAAGTAACAAATCTCTGTTGACTTGATGCCTATTTTTATTTCCCCCTAGCTACAATCCGTTCAGTTTGATGGATACAAACTGAATCTAAACATAAAAGTAGTAAGTAGGTAACAAACAAAATCTATTATTTTTCTTCTCAGCTCCTCCCTTGGCAGTGACTTAATGACGTGGATAAAAAACTGAATATAACGTAAAATTAACAAAAAGTAACAAAATATTTTTTTTCCCACAGGTTTATTTAAATTTAGAGATGAAGAAAACTATCTCAAACTAACAAAATTCCTTTGGGTCACCTTTTGGCATTGACATGACTTAGTGACAAAAATGCATCTGACTTACTTACTTACTGAGTACCAAAAAAACTATATACATAATAATTTTGGCTAACAGAACTAAGTGTTCCTCTCAGCTAGGATCCCCTTTGGCAGCGGTCTGCCCTAGTGACTTGGATCTGTGGCAGGACAGGACGCTACGTGTTCCACCCTTCCACCTTATCAACCTGCTGCAGGCTGCCGCAGCCGGCTGTCTGCGACATGATACCCCACCTCAGCACAGCAAAGTCGGTCCCAGCTGAGATAGACTTCCCCACCTTTTACTCTGAGCTGCCGAGAAATGATCGCACACCAGATCCTCGCTGGTTACATCATACGCAGAGGATGTGATCACAAACCATCTTTCAGGGTTTGACATCATCTCTGCAGGCATGTTATGTAACATTTGTGTTTTGAGCAGTATTCACATAGATTTTTAGGATGTGATGTGTATTTTAATCAAGCCTCATGTACTTTGATGCTGGCTGTGCTGTTGAATTAAGGCCAAATATGACCAAACCCCTGTGAAAGAGAGTTTGGAAAATAAGTCAAAAATCCTGTCTAAATCCATGATTCTTGAGTCCTCCACCATTTAAAAATCTGTTTTTCTTCTTGTTCTTAAAATTGGATGTTTGAGCTTCACTGTGCAGAAGGATGAATGTTATACTGATGTCCATTAAGGTGCTCTGTTACTATCAAACAAATAAAATAAAAATAAATCGAGCTGGACTGACTCACTGAGAATGACTTGTCAATCACAAGTTAACCACACCCTAAAGCATACCCTACTTTATTGTCTATTTTACTCTAAATGAACCATCATGGAAGAAGACTGAAACTAGAGATTGAGACCATAAACTCATTAGGAAACTGTTAACTGAGCTAATATATTGAATCAGAAGTAGGCTCATTACTCCATAAGACTCTTATATTATTAGACTTGCCCAGAGCTGCCCCATTGGTTCCACTTCACAGACCCAGGAGCTCGGTCCACTAATTGTATACTGTCAGTGGTACAGTTTGACTCTTGAAGGATGTTTTCACATTCATCCGCTGAAAGAGGAAAGTTTCTCTGTGCTGATTGAAAACCTGATTTTAAGGGGCGGGGCCTACCAGCAGGATTTGTGACATCACAAATAGGTTGGAAGTCAACCTAGGTCCAGTATGCAACTTGTACAGTGGGTTGTAGAACTGTATTTAAAGGAAGAACACAGAGCCAAGAAATATGGGAAGATACTTTGGGTTGGTGGAGGTAGTGAAAGTTCCAGCAAATATGACAAATGTTATTTTTAGAAAAATTACCTGCTACAGCTTTAATGCATGTCGGGAGGAAGTATTTTCAGTCCATGAACCAAACAGAATAAATTAAGTCTTAGACCCATATAGACTCATAAAAACATAACATATAACAATAATAGAACCTATTATTGTAACTGTAACTTAACATAACTGTAACAAAACCGAGCAAGAAAACCATGCATGTCCACAACAGGGATGGTGGTGTCCCTCTCTCTGCGCCCCGGCGGTTCCCCCCCCCTCCTTCATCCCCATCCTTTCCTAAGCTGTTTATCGCCCATCTCTGCTAATGTAAACCACCCATCTGCTTTAAACAAAACACATAAAAACACACACATAGTCATTTCCCACCACGCCGGGCCCTGAAAGTAGGGGTTGCTGGGTATTCTGGTGGCAAGGAAATACACTCCAGATGTGAACAAATTGTCTCCCTTACTAATTGCTATTGTGTTCACTGATGCTGATTTTGGATCTCTTGGATTGGCATCGGGGCCAAAACTTGCCAGGATTTGTGTATGTGTGTGTTTGTTTGGAACCTTGAGTGTGTGTGGTCATAAGGCTGATGGCGTTAAAAGAAGAGCTGCAAGGTAAAGAGTGGGAAAGGGAAAGAGAGGTAAATTGGGATGACACTGGAGGAGCAGTTGGAGGACTGACTACCGTTATGGCTGCCATAAACAGACACAGATGTTTCTACTCAGTGCCTGATGAAGGCTTTATTTAAGGGAGCCCATTGCTTTCTTCTGTCGTGTCATCATTTCTGAGAGGCTGCCTCCCTCGTCCCTCACAGTGCATCTAATCAGGACTGATTAGGTGTGTGGTAGTCGTGCAGAGACATGCTCCGGAGGCTGCCCGCTGTTGTGCTTATAGGGTGGTTTCTGCATGCTGGAAGTTTCCTGGATCCGGGAGAAGATGAGAGAGACAGACAGAGAGGAATCAGAGGAAGTCAGTGTCTTGGCATGATGTGGCGTTTCATAAGACAGTTAAAAATCACTCCCCAGCTCTAAATAACAGACCACCACCCAATCAACCTGACTGCGGTCATGGCGACCGCACTGACATCCAAATAAACAAACAATGGCATAATGAAAGAAGTCTCCTTCTTTATGCTGGCTTCACCTCATTCATCTTCAGCCTCCTGTTTCTCTATCATCTATTCCTGTCTGTTTGTTTTACAGCATCCTCATGTGAAGAGAGTTTTTATGAGCGAGGATTTAAGAGTAAAACTTAATTTTTAGATCCTTAAAACACTTGATAGCCACAGATCATTTGTATGTACAATGAATGTAAAACAAGTTATTTTAACATTCTTGATAAAGTAGCTTCAACTAGAAATTTTAAGTGACACTGACTCATTTTGTTATCTTTATTTACTCTCAATACAAAATACCTAAAAGTATGTAAGTAAGCTAATTTCACTTCACATTTCTAGCAAAAGCTGCTTAATCAAGAATGTTTTACAAAATTGAGTTAGTCTTACTTAAAATTTTGATTGATCACTTTCAACAATATTTTTGAATTAAAATAGCTTATCACAGTAAAGACACCACAGTTTGGTGTCAATTGTTGTCAAATGTAACACATAACGCACACAAAACATGTGTTAAAAAAGGGAAATTAATTGAATGATCTGTTAGGGCCTTATTTTACACTAAATGATATCAATACATGTATTCGGAAAAATGTCTGAAGAAATATATTTAATGTATTGATTTCTAATGCCACTTTTAGATATTTCTGTTAAATGCTTTACCACAATAATGTCATTTGTTGCCTCCTTTTTCTACACAGATCATCAGGATAATTACAGTAAATCATTATGTTTTACTAGAATGTGTATGTCACTCAAACTAGGCAGAGAAATTGATTTTCTTTATATTACATGCTCAATATCTCACACAGTTATCTCCTAAAATCCGGGGCAGATCTAGAGGGGTGGCTAAAAATGGCCTTCCCACCCCAGTTCGGTGTCAAATTTAAAACATTAATTAAATTAAATAACATGTTAAAAACCGAAAGAAATAAAAGGATCTGTTATGGCCACATTTTAGACTAAGTTATAGGCTTAAGTTCAATGGAACAATGTCTGAAGATTAATAAAAATAAAGCAATGTATTGATTTCTAATGCCAGCTTCAGATATTTCTGTTCAATGCTTTACTAATGTACCAAAGTAATGTTTGTAAGTTCAAATATCTTCATTTGGGGGCTTTTCCAAGCAAATATTGATAGTTTGTCATTGTGATAAAATAAAAGCATATCATTCTGCCACCCCTCTGGACACCCCATGAATGTTTCTCTAGGACCACCCCTGCCCTTAATGAAAGTTAATGGAATGACATATTCAATCAGTTAACTGTAAAGTCATTTTTCAAGCAAAACTATTAAACAATCTCAAGTTCCAGCTTGTCAGTTATGAGGTCTTTCCTTTTTGTCTTGTGTGATAGTAAATGTTGGGTTTTCAGCAGGGCTGGAACTAATGATTAATTTCATTATCAATGAATCCGTCGATCATTTATGGATTCATGGATTAGTTGGTGGAATCAGTGCTTCCCAAAGCCCAAGCTGACATCTTTAAATGTCATTTTAACCACACCCCAAAGATATTCAGTTTACTGTCACAGATGACGAAAGAAAGCAGAAAATATTCACATCTAAGAAGCTGAAATCAGAGAATTTTATTTTTAGAAATGACAGAAAACAATTCATTGATTATCAGAATAGTTGGAATATAATGGTTGCAGCTCTAGTTTTTGGTCTGTTGCCATCTGAAGACCTTAACTAGGGCTTGAGGGAATTCAAACAGGTGTTTTTCCCTTTTTACAAACTAATGGATAAATCGAGGAAATAAGGTTACTCTTGAACAACCACAAGATGTCTGCTTAAAGCTCATAGCCGATTTCATGAAAACAGACAAATATCACCACCGGAGTGCAAGCTGCATGTCCAACGAGGAAAGACAAATCAGTAATAAATGATATCATGTTCCTGCAGTTACAGTTAGGGCCGTTATGATAATTATCAGAACAGATGAATTATCGGTTGATGATGGGAAATGTATATTATTATAAATAATCTGGACGATTAAATAACAGCAAATAAATTAACGGTCCATATTAATAATAATTTATCTTGAATTCTTATGCAGAATGATTGATGACTTCATGCTTGAATGTTTTTTGATGAACTTTATAGAAAGAATAACATCTGAAGAGTCAGAACGGTTGTTTGTTGTTGTTGTTACCAACAGTTAGATTTGGTTAGAACAGAGCTCTAAAATATTAAATCATCTATCCTTGCTCACTACATCTCAGCCTTTCTTACCCTCAGGTGATTATTGGTTATCGTATCGGCTGAAAAAAAATCCATATCGTGCGTCCCTGGTATTGATACACTCAACTCACGATTTGATACAGTGATTAAGTTAATTAAATAGTTGACAACTAGTCGATTAACTCACTAACGGTTGCAGCTCTATTATTTTATTTGCGATTTAATCAGAAAATAGAGTCCCGACCCATTACACTGTAATAATGCAACTCCAGACAAAACCTTATGTAATCTGACTTGACTGAACTGATTGAGTAGATACTGTTTTATTTTTTTATATATATATATATATAAAATGTGCAACTTGTACGTGATGTGACCTATTATACCACATGACTGTTTACTGTGGGGGCAAAACAGTGTATAGAGGACTGTCTTTATATCTTTCTTTTGAGATTCTTTGAATTTTTTAATTGATTTGTCTTCTTTTTTTAAAATTCAGACACTTTAAAATTGTTCGCAAGAGTTTAAACATGTTTGATTTCAGAGATGATTGATAAAAAAAGAGAGAGGACTCTGCAATAATTACATAAATGTGTGTATAAGAGATCAAGCTTAATTCTACAACAGAATGCAATGAAACAATCAGTCTTTCCTGTTTCACTGTGTTCCTGTAATGTATGCAGCCTCACATTTGGATGTAGTTTATTTAAATGTGTAGTAGATAGATTATTTCTTCAAATAGCTCCATGCTGAAATGCTTTTTACATTTTAAGTCCATTCTGTCATCTGAACTTTCCCAGTTTAAATATTTTATTCTTAACCATTCTTTATTCAGTTTAAAGGGGCTTCATTGGCATGGGAAACAGATGTTTAAGTTTTTTTAAAAAAAGTAAACTTGTAGTTAAAAAAACACAAATACAAAAAGTGTTTTATTGTCTTTATAATAATTCATGTATAATAAATGATACATAAGAATTAGCCTTATTCATGCACAACTTTTTGTGATTTTGATGACAAGCCATAGGCTACCTTTTTTATTAATGCATTTTTATAAATATAAAAAAATGAGTAAGCAAACCATTGACTTTGATGTGTAAAACCTGTTTTTTACATTTTTTTAAAAAAATGGTTTCACTTTTTCTGCGTTCAAAAATAAATGTTTGCTTGGAGGCAAAAACTTACTTTAAAGACTTTCAGATTTAACGATGCAGCACTCCAATAAACAAAGTCTAAAAGTCGTTTTTGGGGGTCCTGTTTTCCTCCCGGAATGTGACTGCCCAGTTAGCCATCGGATAAAAGCAAATGTCGGACAGTAATACCTGCGGACTCACCTGTCTGCTGTGAGAATAAAACCTCCGTACCACCCAGCAGGAACGCCTGCTGTGCTTTTGGCATTTCTAAGCAGCTCCTCTGTATTGAACACGCCGAAAGGCTTTTGGTGCTTTCATGTTCAGTAGGAAAAGTCGCCATTATGAGGCAGGGATCGATTATCAATCAAAATACGAATGAATACGAGTTGAGTTGTCTGTCATGTTGTAGGTTTTATTTATTTAGTGGCCGAACAGCATCTAAAGTGTTTATTTCTAATACTGTTTAATTCATAATTGAACTACAAGCACTGGCTGCAACATTATGTATCCACTTGGTTGTGTTATCTTTCAGGTTGTTTATAAAATAATTCAACAAGAATATAAATAATCATCTTTTGTTAGTGTACCAGTTCTTGTAATAGTCCTTTAAACACACAGAGAAAAGTATTTTTCTATGAGTATAAAATATGAGCAGGCGTGCGGTACTTGAAGGCAGCATTATTGAAGACTCTTGCTCCCCCACCCCCCATACTCACTCTCCCTGCACAAACACATTCACCCTGCGGGCTCGGTGGGGCAGTTGGGAAACTGTGTGTGTGTGGGGGGGCGTTAGAGTGATGAGGAAACGAGTTGATGTGCCCTGGAAGTAATTCTTCCAACCCCCTTCTCTAAGAAAAAAAAAGAAGAAACACAAGGTGGGAGAAGCGGGACCACCAGCAGCACCAGCACCGGCAGCCTTTAACACGGTGTGTGTGTGTGTGTGTGTGTGTGTGTGTGTTCCTGCTGCTGATGGGCTGCTCGTTTTCTTCCTCCATGTTGACACTTGTTGACGCTTTCACGAGAATAAAGATAAAGTGTGAAATTGCAGAATGCAGAATGCAGGATTCAAGTGCATGATTTGTTTTGTTTTTGTTTTTTTCTCCCCCAACATTTTCCGCTTAATGTGCACAAAACAAACAATAACTGAACCCAGATAAATGTAAGAAAATCTCACTATTCAATTAGAGCCATAAAAGATTGTTTTTGTTGATGGGAGAGTTTTTCTTACAGTTGCCCGTTCTTAAAAACTCTGTGAAGTTGAGATGCATTGATTCTTTCTTTTAATGCACTTTTATTTTGAGCTTTTATTTAGTTTCTTTTACAAACAACAAATGAACTTGCATTTAATAAGGAGGGAATTCTGTGTTTCTGCAGCCAATAAGTGATGACTGAGAAGTGTTTTCTCAGTTTCCTGTTCGGTTTCAGAAGCAAAGGATGACAACAAAAAGATGAATAAAACTAATCAAAATAAAGAGAGTGCAACACAAATCCTGTTATTTCAAAAAATAAAAAGTTTAATATTACAACTGCAATAAGTCTGTAAAGTTTTAGTATCTAAATATTTTCTAATTGTAGATGATGCTCCATTAAAGCTTTGATACATGTAATAATATGGGATTTATTCAAATATGAGATGATAATATGTCAAATCTTTCCCTTACAGGAAATATAATTTCATAAAAACAAATAGGCTAATATAATTTTCTAGAGAGTGTATAAGCTGGGCTGCAGGTGTATTAACTGAATGTATTGCTTGTGACTGACTAACTGGGAGGACTGGCTGAAAACCCAGTAAGCTGTCCCTGCTGGTTTGCAAAAAAAAAAAAAGAAAAAAAAAAAGTTTGTGAAAGTGGCCTGACGTCACACTCCCACAATGCTTACCGCCCCATAACTCTGCTGCAGCCTGAGGGGAGCCAGACACACTCTCAGGCCCCGAATATAGACAAATTATTGGGCAGAAATCGGAAAAAAACAACCGAAGAAGCACCCGTGAGGAGAAGGAAGGAGCGGGGAGCGGCGGCGTGGGCTCTCCCCACCGTGGGTTTCTGGTTCGGGTCCGGGGGATGGAAGGTTACCGGGGCTCCATGTGAAAGTGACTTAATGCGGTGCTGGAAACTTTTTGGTGGGTAAAAACTGCTCGTGTTTTTTTTCCTCCTAATGTGGCTGCACGTCCTGGTGTGTGTGCATGTGTGCCTTTTAAAGCGCTTTTCTACGCGCTCCCGCTGACTGACACATCGACGCAGCGGCGCAAGTTGAACTGTTGTGAACGTTACCGTCGCGCGATCGGACTTTGCGTAATTGTGCTTATTCCCGCTGGCTGGCGGCGTGGAGGGATCTGGGTATTTAATTTTTAATTATGCGATCACCTCCTCTGTCCTTCTCTCTCCCTCTCTCCCCCCTCTTTTTATTTTTTGGGTCGACAAATGTGTTGCAAACGCGAGTGTGTGAGTGCTGTACACCGCGGTGCACTTTGTCCAGCGGCCCTCGCTGTTGATGTTCTTTGCAAGTTTTCGTGCCATCCGCTGAGTTTGGAGCAATTTCCGAAGCACTTATCAAGTGTGGCACGCCGCTGCAGAGGACAGGAGGGAGACAGGGGGAACGTCCCGCGGTGTGTGTTGACCTGCGAGAGAGGAAAGTCTGATAAAAGTCGCTCTTTAAATGAGCAACTTTGAACAAACTTTTTGTGTGCGATATCCAGGAAAACCTTGAAGCCATTGTTGCTGACTGAATGTGGCCCCTCCGCAGAGTTATCATGGCTTGTGTCATGTTTGGTCGGATGTTTTGCGTCTCTTGCCCCTTATGTGTATGTGTGTGTGTGTGTGTGTTAGAGAGTGAGAGAGAAAGAGAGAGAGAGAAAGCGAGAGAGAGAGCTTTTCCTTGGAAGCGGGTAAATAACAACCAAGACCCCAGCAAAGGGGGGTTGGGGTCAGAATGTGGGGGTTCGGTTTATGCACATGCTGCAGGCTTTTTACACGTTTGTTGTCAGTCAGGAGTGTGTGAAGCAGTCAAAAGTACAAAAAGTAAGAACTATTGTGGCACAGACAGTCAGACCTGCTGCTGGAGTAGGCAGTAATAATGAGTGTACAGCCAGCTTGTTGAGTTGTGCTGTTTTAGCCTGCTTTCACTTTATTATTCCTGTTTTTAAAGGTGCTATCGTAACTTGGAATGTAAAGATAAGTCATGATACAAATATGTGAAGATTACAATCAGTCAGATGAGAAATGAATCGTGCTATGAAGGTGCAAAGACGTGAGTTTCACTTTTACAAAGAAAAGGAAATATACAGTGTTTTGCACAGTTTATACCTCAGGAAAAAAAAAAAAAAAAATTCTATAGTTTGAAAATATATTGCGTAGATTTGCTCAGTCTGAGCAATATAATATTTTGCCTTCAATCTGATTTTCTTAAAAGAAATCACATTGTGAACCCAGTATGGTGAACTATATCGAATCATAAGTTGAGCGTATCGTTACCAGGGACACACGATATGGATTGTTTTCAGCCGATACGATAACCAATAATCACCTGAGGGTAAGAAAGGCTGAGATGTAGTGAGCAAGGATAGATGATTTAATATTTTAGAGCTCTGTTCTAACCAAATCTAACTGTTGGTAACAACAACAACAAACAACCGTTCTGACTCTTCAGATGTTATTCTTTCTATAAAGTTCATCAAAAAACATTCAAGCATGAAGTCATCAATCATTCTGCATAAGAATTCAAGATAAATTATTATTAATATGGACCGTTAATTTATTTGCTGTTATTTAATCGTCCAGATTATTTATAATAATATACATTTCCCATCATCAACCGATAATTCATCTGTTCTGATAATTATCATAACGGCCCTAACTGTAACTGCAGGAACATGATATCATTTATTACTGATTTGTCTTTCCTCGTTGGACATGCAGCTTGCACTCCGGTGGTGATATTTGTCTGTTTTCATGAAATCGGCTATGAGCTTTAAGCAGACATCTTGTGGTTGTTCAAGAGTTACCTTATTTCCTTGATTTATCCATTAGTTTGTAAAAAGGGAAAAACACCTGTTTGAATTCCCTCAAGCCCTAGTTAAGGTCTTCAGATGGCAACAGACCAAAAACTAGAGCTGCAACCATTATATTCCAACTATTCTGATAATCAATGAATTGTTTTCTGTCATTTCTAAAAATAAAATTCTCTGATTTCAGCTTCTTAGATGTGAATATTTTCTGCTTTCTTTCGTCATCTGTGACAGTAAACTGAATATCTTTGGGGTGTGGTTAAAATGACATTTAAAGATGTCAGCTTGGGCTTTGGGAAGCACTGATTCCACCAACTAATCCATGAATCCATAAATGATCGACGGATTCATTGATAATGAAAATAATCATTAGTTCCAGCCCTGCTGAAAACCCAACATTTACTGTCACACAAGACAAAAAGGAAAGACAAAGTCCTCATAACTGACAAGCTGGAACTTGAGATTGTTTAGTAGTTTTGCTTGAAAAATGACTTTACAGTTAACTGATTGAATATGTCATTCCATTAACTTTCATTAAGGGCAGGGGTGGTCCTAGAGAAACATTCATGGGGTGTCCAGAGGGGTGGCAGAATGATATGCTTTTATTTAATCACAATGACAAACTATCAATATTTGCTTGGAAAAGCCCCCAAATGAAGATATTTGAACTTACAAACATTACTGTGGTACATTAGTAAAGCATTGAACAGAAATATCTGAAGCTGGCATTAGAAATCAATACATTGCTTTATTTTTATTCATCTTCAGACATTGTTCCATTGAACTTAAGCCTATAACTTAGTCTAAAATGTGGCCATAACAGATCCTTTTATTTCTTTTGGTTTTTAACATGTTATTTAATTTAATTAATGTTTTAAATTTGACACCAAACTGGGGTGGGAAGGCCATTTTTAGCCACCCCTCTAGATCTGCCCTGGATTTTAGGAGATAACTGTGTGAGATATTGAGCATGTAATATAAAGAAAATCAATTTCTCTGCCTAGTTTGAGTGACATACACATTCTAGTAAAACATAATGATTTACTGTAATTATCCTGATGATCTGTGTAGAAAAAGGAGGCAACAAATTATTAAAAAGGAGGTAAATTATGGCCTCAAGGCAGCAGTTTTTGCACGGCTGCAACACTCCAGTTCCTCACTACAGATTCATGTCAGAGTTGCAGATCAGTCTGCTGAAGTGAGTTAAGGTGGGTTTTTCCCTCCGCCCCTGCAGCAGGTCTGAGACAAGCGTGTTCCATCAAGGCCTCCAGCTACATAATAAGGAAATGGAAGTGAGTTTGTCACGAGACAATGCCTTTGTTGCTGCCAGTCACCGTGCAAGTTGAGACCCATGTGTTGATGTTTGCTACTCTCTCGCTCTAACAGCCCTGTTGGCCATGGAGTGGCTCCACGGGCTTCAGCAGATTTCATTTCCTCCAGAGATTTCTCAAACATTTGGATTGCTAACTTTGTATTATATAGCACCTGTTTTTAGATGCAGTGACAGATGTACATTGCTCATGTAATTGGCATTAATAGTATCAACATTTTAAAGATCAGAGGTAAATTGGTGAATCGTCAGAACATAAACTCTAAGTGGTAGAATCAGAGAAATGAAACCAACCTTTTCTTTAAAGGGAGCCCTTATCAATCACGGAGTAAACTGACAAAGTGACATATTTTATGGATATTTCATATTATATTCAGTGTATAACAATAACAGTAGAGAACAACTGAAACTGTACAATGAACCCAAACAGTGAACACAATAACTGCAGGAAGTTTGTGTAAAACCAGAGATTTGGATGAATTTTGAGCAGATTTTTTCCTTTGAATATTGATCAGAGGTGAGTTTTCCTGATATTTTTAGAAATGTTTTATACAATTCTGTCGGTATTATACCTTAATTCTTAAAAAAATATGTAATGTTTTTTATTTAATATTTAAATAGGCTTCTTTTTTTTGATAAATTTAGTGTTTTATTGTTTTGTTCTATTAGCTCTTTGGTTGTTATAACTACAACAATTGTTCTAATGCAGGTTGAGGCTGTTTATCGGAGAGGAAAGACTGTCATAAATAATAATATAAACTTTACTTTGTTTTTTCCCAATGAAAAGAATTACATTTGGATATATATATATTTATATATATATATTAACGCTGCAGTAGGTAGGTATGTAAAAGTAACAGTTGTACATGAGACAGATAATCAAAAATGGTTTGGCGTGGAGGCTTGAAGATAATTGATTGTTGATTCTCATTCTCAGTGTCGCAAAGCATATATATTTGACACAAGCCAAGTTGATCACCAACCAAGTATCTCACTGAGCTCTGATTGGTTGTTTTCATTCAGGCCCGGTGGATTCTTTACAAATGCCATTAGGAGCACTAGGAGGAGCCAGAGGAACCTTTGTTTTTCACAGATTATTTTTCTCATGTTCTACTGTCAGGATATATTGAACGTTTCAACAAATATGACAAAAAGTTATTTTAATAAAAGTTACCTACTGCAGCTTTGAAGTTTTCTTACGCGCCTTAAAAGTGCCTTACAACCCCCTGCAAAGTTTTGGCGGGTACTAGTGGGTGTCAGGACCCCCAGTCTAGGAACTAATGATTGAATAAATATTTGACCAAAAAGCAAGTTCAGCAAGCGTTAAACAGTTCAGGATTCAAGTTTTAGTGTGTGAACTGTCACATATACGCTATAGATAATCTGTTACACCTACAGACAAAGCCATGTTTCAAATGCTATATAAACTACTATATGTAGGTGCACTATCAAAATAAATTTTCTGTTATCTGTTAGTGATCATGCACTGAATTAAAGTTCTTCCTGCTTCTAAACATTTTTTTACAGCCATAAAGTCCCGATGATTCGTGTTCTTCTGGTGCCTGAGCATTCTTAGCTTCTCTACTCTTAAAAATATGTTCTGCTGGGTCCATTGAGCCAGCTTCTTCTCATTAACTCCCATGCATTGCTTTACATTACTTCCATGCCCCTGTGGTTGGAGGCAGCACGTTTCATGTTTGCCTTTGTGATTGAGTGAATGTGTTTGCCTGCGAGAGCTCACACACACTGCCTGTTTGTGAAATATGCGCGTGCATGTGTGTGCCTG